AACGTTCTCTTCTGTACGTGTTTGCGTCTCTATACATCGAGTCCTCCACTTATGCGGTTAATTCGTTCTGGAGCTTTCCGCGTCAGTTAAATACCACGTAAATCGAATTGCATGCAGATTATAGAAACTGGGACAGACCGTTGCATTTTTACAACCGAAGATACAAACGTCTTTTGATAATATCTAATATGGAAATTATTCTTTCAACGAAGCATATTTTCGTTATTAGATAGGCCAGTAGTTTCTATATGGTCACTATCTCAGTAATTAAGGGGTCTGGTACCTCTAGCGGTATGGAAAACGAGGCATTTTTTTAAGCAACACTGAAGATAAAGTAAGCATTCAATTATCCTGAAACGTTGCATTGTATTTAGGTATAACAAATGTTGAAAAAAACCCTTGGCAATGTTTAAAAAATATTTATCAGCGCCATGTTCCCGAGCCACTTCTTGCTTTGATGCCCAGCTGGTGTGCAGGATTGTGGTAAAATGGTTGTTATGTACAACAAAAACCGAAATATTCCATTAACGATGAGACATTTCAATTTATAGAAAAATGAACAATGTGCCAGATATTTGAAACTTAAAATCGAATTTTAACACAAAAACGAGTTCTTATTACGAATATTTTGCAGAATTATTTGACAATTTTGAAAAAAAACTGTAAATTTTCAAAGCAATTGATTAATTAGAACTGGAGTAATGCTGCACACCGTTTTGTAAAACATAGTTCCGAGGAAAATGCATTTAACGCGCTACAGGATACAGGACGCAGATACACGTCATCGTTTGGGGCTTTAAATTTTCAGCAAAAACATTGTTCCGACACTGAGACCTTTCGCATAATGTTTTTAAGGCTTCAAACTATTATGTAAGCCATCGAATTTTTCAATATTCTAGAGTTACCAGACCCCTTAAATAATCGTTTTTATATTTGATCTATATAAAACACGTGATTGCACAATGAACGATACCTTCTACATCACACAGAAAAAAAACTCTCTGTTCTTTTTGGGGCACGCTCAGCGCCATTTGCAGAGTATGCAGGGGATAACACGCGCCAGATTCAAAAAGCTGGAAATCGCGATAGAAATTCCAACAGTTATAAAAGAAATTGTAGATGTATTTATAGAAAATATTTTTATAAGGGCAGAAGCGACTGGTCGCGTATATTACACGATCGACGAGTGAAAAAAGTCGCGTTTCCCTTGATGATCCATGTTGGATTTCACGGATCGTTGCTGATCTCACCGCAACAGCAGTCGGGAAGCAATTTTGCGATCGCGGGTCGAACGATCGTCGTTGCCGTGGTGGAAATTTTACTTGCGGTCGTGGCACGATCGTTTGAAATCGGTTGATAACGATAGCTTGGTTTATTCCAAGCGACTTGCGCTATTTATCTTCCACGGTGTATCCTCGATTTTTCGTGTTTTCGTACGGGAATCGCGTGGAAAGGAGTGGCGACCTTGCGGTGGATGACGAAGCGAGGGATGCGTGCCTCGTGACGTTTAACAAGTAGCTGGTGATTATGATTATTTAGTGAGCTGAATTAATTTACCTATCGCGGACGGGATCCTTGCTCGGAGCAAACGCGGTTTAACCGCTTAATGCGAGTACATTCCGATATAGAAACGCACGTTTATTATTATTATTACTATTAGACGAATCTTTAAACGCGAGCACACTATTCGATAAACCAGCGAACATTGTATTTAAAAAATTGTTAGTTAGAACGCGTTAGTTTGAGGTGATTGAAGAGCGAGATATATCATTCGCGGACCCTCTGAAAAAGCAGTCGGAATGAAAGCGACGACGGATTTCCGGAGCACCCGGGGATGCTTCTAAATCTAAATGCGAGCTCACCGGCAAAATCGGGAAGAGAGAGACGAGAAACGGTTAACCCAATCTGGATCGAGGAAGACAGAACTCGAAAAGGAGTGTGGAAACTAGAGAGATCGGTCCCGGGTTCGTCGACCTCTCACTTGGGCCACAGAAAGACGAGTTATGCTTCCATTTTCATCTTTGGCGGACTGCCAAAGTTTCGTCTGGACCGATCTCGTCTCTTCTCCTGCTGCCATCAGTCAGCGACAATATTTCCTTCGTTTTTCCATCTGTCTCCACGTCAGAATGCCAGCGTATAGAAACACGAGCGTGGATAATCAGAAAAACAGTTGGATAGCTGTTCCGTCACACACCGACACTCCGACGAATCTTAAACGCTACTTTCGATGCAATCACTAATACTTTAGAAATAATTGCAGCCAAGAAGAAAATAATCACGTGCAGCCCATTAATTTTTGTTTCGGCGGGCATCGCCTGCTGTTTTCTCCTAAACAGTTGCATCTAATTTCAAGGCGAGAAGGATAGAGTAGAATTCCGCGTGTGCATCGTAAACGTAATTAGGGTTCTGCCAGAGGCGGTTAATAAGCAAGAAAAGCACTATCGTAAATCCTTTGTATCGCTGTCCACGGCCGAGACTCGCCTTTCATTACTTCTCCATTTTTCCTAGCTTTTAATTTATCGAGATTTATCTTCCGCCTCTGTTCACTATCGCGTCAAGTATTAATTATCTCAATTGTGGTGAATCCAATTGCGTCTCGAGTCAAGACGTTCAAGAAGAGAACACAATCGATCATAGACATTCTATAAACCTTCGAAAACGTAATTTAAGCCTTTCGAGAAAGAATAACCTAGGTTTGATATTCTATAATACGGCGTTAAACGAAGGATTTAGAATGGCGCGACGACGATTCACTACAAATAAACTCGCGTGTAGAAGGAGGGATGTGATGTCACCACCAAAGGAGTACCAATGTCGTTCGTACAGAATAAAATTTCACGATCTACGTCCGCAGTTACGCGTTCTTTGCATTAGAATGTTCCATCGATGACAAGAAATTGTTCAAAACTAAATATTTTATTAACAGTTTTTTTATTTTTAATTTATAATCTGTTATAATTTTTATAAATTTTGTTGCTGATAAAAAAAATTCAGAACCATTCTCATAATAGATATTACAAAATTATTTATACACGATTAAAATCACAGCTTTCAATTACGTTTAAAATTGAATTGAATTTTTTTAATATGTAACAAAAAATCGTTCAAAATTAAATATTTTATTAACAGTTTTTTTATTTTTAATTTATAATCTGTTATAATTTTTATAAATTTTGTTGCTGATAAAAAAAATTCAGAACCATTCTCATAATAGATATTACAAAATTATTTATACACGATTAAAATCACAGCTTTCAATTACGTTTAAAATTAAGATTTTTCTCCTATTATGTGTAATAAATTATACTTGTCAGAGATTTGATTTGAACCAGAACGAAGATAAATACTGTTCACAAGTCTCCACGTTATTAAACATTTGAAATTAAACGTTAGATTCGCGTGATAATTTCATGAATCAAGACATCATTATGATCTATTGAAAGAAATTGCTCATGGTCGTACAGTTTTAAATCACAATTTACGAGCCACTATACATACATAATTTCTATCTTGGGATTTCCAGGTATATGTGTTTCTATTTCTTCGACTCCGAAGCGTAAAGAAGTTGTATATTATACTTTAAAACGTGGATGAGTTAATTTACAGCTACTGCGGATCAAGATGATCGATGGCACGAATTAATTAACTTCTTCAGGCTCGTACATTGCGACATACATGGACGTTAAAATTATTTTTTAATATAAAACAATTAATTTGTTGAAATAATAAATGTCATGTAATCCCAATTTATCTGTGTTTACATTAAAATTTTTGTTAGTTAATAGGTGGAAATATACCAACATTAAAAGTTATTATAAACGTGACACGTTCGAAAAAAAGCTCCTCGTTTTCTTGAATTTTTTGCAACATTACGAAGATCGAAACGTTAGGTTAGGAGAGGATGTTATATTTTTAACGACGTCTCTCGAGCACGTGATACGAAATTCATTTTTTGACGTCTATTTTTACCGCTACATCATTCGTTACGATATCGAGAACTTGCGAGCTTTTTTTATCGACATTACGTCGCGCAGGCAAGCCGACAAATGCTCGCGGTGTTCGAACCGGTTGTCAATACGGTGGCGTCGCATTAAATCTGTCCCAGTCGCATTGAATCACGCTTGACACGCTAACAAACTGTCACAATAACTGCTCGTTTGTCCGACCAACGATGTATTTAATTAGAAATCATTGACATTTACTTGTGGATCGATCGTCCGTTCTAAACAAACTGCGTTCACAGAAACCTCTGTGATTAGTTTGAAACGCTTTCATTACGGATACTTATAGGTTATGTAACTCCTGTTCTTTGGTACTTGCAAGTGATTCTATTACTGTATTTACGAGCGAAAAATTGTCCATCGTTCGTTCGTTAACCCATCGATGTGTTTATACGAGAGCACACGTCGCTGGCTATTTCCACGATCTGAAACGCGGAAATTAACAATCGTCGGGATCTCAAAGGTGGAATCAATCCTCCTGCGTGTGGTATTTCGGCACGGTTCGATAAACAAACGTCCGCCTACGATGAGTTTCTTAATGTTTGTTTACGTTTCGTCTCTGAACGATTTGAAATAGACCGACAGAACAAAAAGCACAATCCTTGCGAATGGGAATAAATTGTGAACGTTCGTAAATATAAATAAATATGTAGGCAAAGTCTAAAAATTAAGAGAGTTACTTTTGTGAAAAGAATCCATAAAAGAATTGAAAAAATGAAACTCTAGATCGGAATGCTCCCTTAAGTGACATCATCCTAGATGCGAATAAAATCCTCGTTGCCATTTTCCGATTCGATGCAACGAGTATCCCGGTTTTAGATCACCTTGTATGATACCTTATAAGGTACCAACGAGTCGTTTTAGTATTGCGCGTCATAGTATGATCGTTGCCTTTTACGAGCCTCGCGATGACAAAATATTATCGATCCATTAACCATTCGCAATCCTCGTTATCAGAAACTGCTCTGACAAACTTTCTGTTTCTGTTCTGCCCTGTAGAGCGGAGAATGGCTACGACTGAAGGTTCTGGAGGTCCAACCAGAATTAACGAAGCTCGGTGGTTCGGTGGAGGAAGCTACCGAATTCTCGAATGCACACGACGAAGTTCTGCTTCGATTACAGGTTAGGAAACCCTACGATTTTAGTACGGGTTCTCTATTAATCGTTAAGCGTTTGAGAAAGGTCAAGAAATGGAAGTCTGCTTTTTTAAGTTGTAAAATTATGTGTTTCTAATTTTATTTCATAATCATAAAAAATGATTTTGTTTAAATTTCTGACAAAAGAGCAAACAGAGCCCGGTAGAGGAGTTGCTCCGGCAGGCTGATCAGCTGATTTCGAATCAAAGGCCGAGAGCGGAAGTTTACGCTGCGATGGCGGAAACTCTGGGCCAAGCATGGCGCGACGTGAACGAGCTTTTAGAACGTCGAAAGCAGATACTCGACTCCAACGTGTTGTTCCAATGGTTTGTAAACCAACAATCTTCTTTAATTGTTAATTTAAGAAAAGCAACTATAAAATCTCTATCGACGAAAATACGTTCGGAGTAAAAATATAATCGCAACAAGAAGAAGTTATCTCCCTAGCATATAACGCATTAAAAGAAATTTTATTTCTCAGTGAATACAATAAATAAATTATCAAATAAGCAACTAAATAGTTCTGGCAAACAATAATTCCTTAAACAAATTAAAAAATTTCAAACCGTTCTGGAAAAATTATCTTCGATTGCAGGGGCCAATTAAAATCATTTTTGGTAAATACACATACCTCCGAAATCCTACCCACTTTCGAGAAAAAAATTCGAGTAGGTACTGAACTTTTTAGATGAAATTAAAATATTTAAAATCACACTAAAAAAATCATATTTAGTTACAGGGATCAATTACCGAAAATCTAATTTTTCTTCCAGACCTGACCCAAACCTACTCCAGACCTAACCCAGACCTGACCCAAATCTAATCCAGACCTAACCCAGACCTGACCCAAATCTACTCCAGACCTAACCCAGACCTGACCCAAATCTAATCCAGACCTAACCCAGGCCTGACCCAAATCTACTCCAGACCTAACCCAGACCTGACCCAAATCTACTCCAGACCTAACCCAGACCTGACCCAGACCTGACCCAAACCTAATCCAGACCTAACCCAGACCTAACCCAGACCTGACCCAGACCTAACCCAGACCAAGGTGCCTAAATTTTTCGACGAAAAAAAAAAATTTCAAATCGTTCTGAAAAAATTATTTTCGGTTTCGGGGGTCAATTACAATCATTTTTGGCGAATACACATACCCCTGAATTCCTACTCACTTTCTAGAAAAAAATTCGAGAATGTGTGAAATTTTTCGACGAAAAAAAAAAATTCCAAATCGTTCTGAAAAAATTATTTTCGGTTGTGGGAGTCGATCACAACCATTTTTGGTGAATAGACATACCCTCGAAATCCTGCGCGTTTTCGAGAAAAAAATTCAGTACAGGCTCCACTTTAAACGTTAATAACTTTTTAACCAAACCTCATCAAATTTTAAATCGAGTATTTATTAAAAAATCATTAAAAATCAAATACTTAAACTTTCTGCTACGTGAGCTACATAAAACTGTGATCAAACAATGATTATTCTTATGTGTAAATATTGTTTGTAAAAGTGAAACTTGTTTCTATGCTTTTTATCATAGTTTATAATTATGTTATTTATATGATTTGCAATAAATATTGAAATGCAATTGCCATTACTTTATTCTTTCTTTATTTCGTAATATGGTGCTTTTTGAATTTTGTAAATATCATTGTTAGTTTGGTTTTTATGAGCTTTTTCTCTAACCGTAACAAACTCGTCAAATTGTTTTTCGCTCGGCACTAAAAGGGTTAATATGAAGTATATCTCATTGTTCTTAATTAAAAACAAAAATGAATAATCGATACGTGTCCTTCAGCCGAGCAGAAGAGTGTCGGGAAAATATGAGAGCCCTCGAAATGGCTTGCAACGATACGCTGTTGCCGATCGAGATCGAGGCCGTGAAAAACTTCTTATCGAAGATCCACGATCTCCGGAAAAACATGCTGGAAGCGTTGATGGGCGCGTTGCAAGAGGGAAAGAATTTATTGGACAGGCTGAAGGAGATCGCGAACGAAGGTACTTTGGACTTCAGGCCGGACAGAATTAAATTGGAAGCTGATCACGGTGAGTAGCCGCAATTAATGTTTCCGTTAGAAAAACGGTTAATTATAAACCAATGTCGCTGTTTCCTTTGCGCCTGTTCCCTTTCGCTTTTATTTAATCGATGACATAACTGATGTGTGCCTTTCGCGTGCCGACACGTTGCTTCGTACTTCGTGGTACGCGCACGCTGATACAAATAAACAAGCTTCTGCTGCCAAACGAAATGCAACGTGAAAATTTCCCGACTTTTTATGTCTCTTTCTCTACCAAAAAGAGTAACGTAGATGTAATTTATTTACAGTCTAAATCTCACTCGTAATTGTATGGCAAGGGGTTAAAAGAAATATAAATTTGCATAAAGATCTGCAGTCTGGTAATAAGAAATATTCTGTGCCGTTTCCGTGCAGCTGTGCTGAAAGTCGAAAGATGGTTGGAGGAGCTTCACGATAGACGACGACTGATCGAAGCATCGTTTCGTAGCAGAAAGACTCAATTGGAGCAATGCCTGGCTCTAGCTTTGTTGGCGACCGATCTACGCGATCTCGAAGAGATTCTGAACGACAGGATCGCTGCTCTTTCGAGTAGCTGCGATCAGCTTGGAGATTCTGCGTCCAGCGCGGAATTGCTCCTATTCGAACTGAAGAAGTTACAGACAGAAGCAAAGGTATTTTTCAACGATTCATTCATCCTATTTTAAACACAGTTGTTCGCGTAAACTATTTCTTTCACTGCTGAAGCGTTTACGGAAAAATGCAGGACACCCTGTATATTAATTAATGTATTTTTCTCTTTAAAAAGGTATTAGAGTTCTTAGATCGAAAATCGATCAGTTTAAAAGTTATGATTTTTATTTCGAATTCCCATACATGCGACACACTGTGCATCATGGCGTCTCATTTTTAGCGTAATTTCCCCAGCATTATCTCGTGTTTGCAGGAGTTTCAAGACAGATCGATCAAAATAACGAAGTCGACCGAACGATTAGTGTCATCCGGACACTTTGCGGGCGAACAAGCAACGGAGCAAGCTTATGCCATCCTCGGTGCCGCTGCTGATTATGTCAACGACTTGGACCAGTACGAATCGTTACTGAACAGGGCCGTGGTCTTCTTCGATTCAGCGCGTTCGGTGAGCATTTACCTCCTGCGCTCTTAATCATTTTAATCTAAAGGATTTCTTGTGATGGATGAATATTGAATTTTGCTTCACGAAAAATGAACATGCTAACCCCGGGGTGATGTTCATTTTAAAAAATAGCTTGTGTAATGGAGTATCGGTTATTATTTTGCAGGCTATTACAAAACTGGATCAGTTGGAGATCCAGCTTGTGACAACGGAACATCCTCCATATTCGACAGGATTGGCGCGTTTCCATGCTCAAACGGTCGCTACCATCGAAGACGTTACTTCGAAACCATTGACGGAAGGGTACGCCCTCCTCGATGTGACAGGAAGAGGAGCGCCTGGCGCTGAGGTCAGATAGATTGATTCTGATATTTATTTGCGTGGAATTCGTCGACATGCTTTCAATGAAATTAACTCTGTTTGCTTCAATTCGAGCATCTCTAATATCTCAGTTTCTTTGGATATAGACAAGGTTAAAGATGGCGGAGTCGTCATAGCACATTAAACTAAAAATTCGAGGATTAAAACCTATGTGAAACGAATATTGTTTGACTAGAAATCAATTCAAAAGAAGAATATTTGTAATTATTTTGCAGGGTGTGAAACGCGCGGTGGAGGAATTGGAGAACCGTAAGATCCGATTAATGGAGCGATGTACGGCTCACGAGAAAGAGAATCTCGAGATATCGAGGATCATAAATACGTTCTTGGACAAGCACGACGAGCTACGAAAATGGCTGTCGAGCATACCGGAAGCGTTCCTTCAGGGTCACCAGGACATGGGCAGCGACGTTTCCATGGCGGAGGATTTCTGTCGATTGCATCGTCAACTGTTGAACGATCTCGAGCGGAGAACCGAGGAAGTCGAGCATCTGGAGTTCGAGATACTTCCGATCAGAGAACGATTGGAGGAGTCGCAGAAGCTGGAATTGCAATCGAAGGTCGAGGAGCTTCAGAACTCCTGGGCGAAAACGAAGGACCTCGTCGCGAGCAGGATCGATTTGGGCACCATTTACTGGCAATTTCACGCGGACGTCGAAAACCTGTCGAGAGAAATCGAATCTATCGATCACGAACTGACCAGGTATACGGACGTTTTCAACGAGGTCAAAGTTGAGGAGCTCGAGAGACGTTGGAAGGATCTGCAACCTCTTTACTCGAAACTCACTGCCAATGGAAAGGCATTCTTGGACGCTGCTCTCAAGGTAAGTGAATCTAACAATCCTGGTTAACAAAATATCTTTGCTGATAATATTTAAAACCACTGTTTGAACAAATTATTTTTTAATTATTTCTTTTCTGGTTTAAGTTAAGTTCATACATTAACACTTTAATTCAGAAATTAATAATAAAAATTAAATTTGAACAATTATTTTATGTTTTATGTCCTTTCAAAAGAGAAAAATATTTTCAGGTCGACGATCCCTATTTAGACGTGCAGAGAGCATGTTTGTGTGTCCAAACTCTCTTGGACAAATTTGCTAATAAACAAATACAATTGAAGAGAATCACCAGTGAAATTTTGATGGAGAAACGGATCGAATACGAACGAAAAATCGAAGAAAGTACAAAGGTAGCGGAACGAATATTATTTTTTTACTTGTCATCGTCGACATTCCGAATACATATTTCGTTGATCTGTTCAGACATTGGAAACGGTTACTAAATTCAGCGAGCAACTGTATCCAGTGATAAAAACTCAGTCCTCTGAAACAACGGACATCCTTCAGGATCTGCAAAGTTCGAAACTCCGCGTTCCGCCAGAATTGACCAAAGCAATGATCGAATTGGATTCCAGAATTAAAAGCATGAATTCTTTGGGCCAGAAAGGTATTTAAACAAACGCATAGAGGACAAAAATGATTTCACAAATGGTATGTCGTTACGTTAATTGAAAATATCGATACAGGAGATGCACAAAATGCCGAGAAGATCTCGAAGAGACTCGAACAGATGCACGAAGATTTGCGTACTACCTCGACGGACTACGAAACTCTCCTGGACTCGTTGATTTCCATCTTCCAGCACATCGAACAAGTAAGAGTACGATTATAGTTACATTTTCGAATAACAGGAAGTTTCTAACTAACAAAACTAGTATCTATGTGTGACACAGAAAGATGCAAAATTTTCTGAGCTGACTTCGTAAAGCGAAATTTCTTCGTGTTAGTTTAAAAAAATTCCGTTCAAGGTCAAAGAAGAAATCGAGCAGCTGAAGATCCAAGCGGAGCGCGTAATGACTTTGAAAAACATAGTCGAAGTGGATACCGCTTCCAGCGAAGTAGAAGCGAGGAGAAAGGCCATAAACGATCGATTGAGTCGGTTGAACGCAAAATCGGAAGACGTGATTGCTAGAATCAAGAAACAGGAGCCACCGGAAGCTGGCGTTCAGGACATCGAGAAACTGAATCACGCGGCACTGTTGGCGGTGATTAACTTTACGTTTTATGAGTGCCAAATGAAACAGATCGAAGAACATCGACGGACCTGCATGTTCGCGGAGGATCTAGAGAGGATTCATAGCGAGTTACGCGATCTGGACGAGCATCTGAAGACAGTGGACGCGAAGATCGGTGAAAATGTTCAGGTGGCCAGAGCGGCTGCTGCTTCCTTCGTGCAATTTGAGAAAACAGTCGAGGTAAGAGTTCAATTTTCATTGAGAAATTTCCGAAAAACAGATCACTTCTTTGGTATTTCCCAGTAAATATATTGAAATTATTTCTATTACGCTTGGCGCAGAAAATTACGTAGAATTGGTAAGTAAAAAGTAATTTCCATTAAAATTTTACCCCTGTATAAAGATAGTAATATTAGCATAGAAATATGTACAATAGGTTGTCCATTGCAGTTACTAAAAGTAAATAGTAGTTTTACTAGTTTTTGGAACGTATTTTTAGATTCTGGAAGAAAGGATCGAGACGTTCATTAAAACGACCGAAGAGTCGGTTACTATTACGACACCGGAGATCGCAAAAGACATTTCCTTGTTGAGAGGAAGATGGAGGAATCTTAGACAAAAGGTGGAAGAAACGAAAATACGAATGAATCTGAGCGTCGATTATTTTGTGCTTTTGGAGGAAGCCAAGGAGTGGAATAGAACGGGTAGTAAATTGTTAATGGCGATCGCGAGGAAAGCAACCGTAGTAAAAGTACCGAGAGACGCGACGGAGCTGCTTCACGAAATTGAAGATTTTTTAAAACCGGGTGAAGAGATTCAAGAGATGAGGATCGAGAAACTGAAGAAACTATCGACAATTGTTTTCGGTAAGTAAATTTTTTTATTTCTATTTTGTGCACTTAATATTATATTCGCTCAATGTAATTAACTATGAACTTTAAATTAAAGGGTACCATTATTATAATTCATTTAGAATTTTTACCTCAGGCCTCAGGTAACTTTTAAAACTTGTTTTTCACATCAGGTACTGATAGATTGCCGCAATTCAACGAGGTGATACTGGAGAATCGTCAAATGCTGGACTCGTTTGCTGTCGTTTCCTCGGAATTGCGAACGCTGGCGGAGAATTTGAGGAACGCGGAAGATTTGTGCGAAAAGTTGCGGATCGAGAAACAGGAAACGAACGAGAAGCTGCAGGCAGCTAAGGAAGTGATGGCTGCCGCGGAAGCTGCCAGAGAAGAGGCTGAGAACGCTAGAAGGGTCGCTGAGAAATTTGCGGCGGAAACGTTGGAAAAAGCGACGATGGAAGCGAGGAGAATGAGAGAGGATAAGGAAGCAGAGAAAGCTGCTGCACCTCCGTTGTGTTCGGTGTCTGCGCAGACTGAAACGATCGAGACTACGAAAGACGAGAGTTTTGTCGAGGAAACAGTCACTTCCGCCATCACCACTAAAGAAATTCACATCTTGGAAAAGGTACATTTTCTTTTATTGTAAATAATACCCTTTCGAGAACCTTAATTTAATTAATCGTAATTGTACGTAAATTGTAGACGGAAATCGAGAAAACTGTTCCTCTGTTTGAACGGGAAGCAAGTCCACCGAGGAAGGTCGTGACAGAACAAACGCAAGAGAAGTTGCACGAAAAAATGGAAAAGGAAGAGGTTCCTCCGTTAGCTCCGGAATTTTCCATCCCCTTGAACGATGCCACGGTTCAAGAGGGCGAGAGATTCACCTTCCAGTGCAGCCTTGTTGGCCACCCACCGCCGGAAGTGGTTTGGTACAAAGACGGAATTTCGATCTTGAACAATCCTGACTACTTGACTACTTACACGCAAGGCGTTTGCACCTTGACGATCGAGGAAACTTTCGCCGAGGACTCTGCCAAGTATACTTGCAGAGTGTTCAACATCGCTGGTTCGGCTGAAACGTCTGCTACGTTGACTGTCAGCGGTAACTTTGCATTTTTTACTATTTCACGATACATAGTGCCCTTCCTAAACGTTAATATTTGAAATATTTGTTCTCTGTTGATTAGAAACAACTCCGGAAGAGCAACTGAGTCCACCAGTTTTTGTAAAAGAATTGTTACCATCGGTGGTAACGGAAGGCTCGTCGCTTCGGATGGACTGTGTCGTCGAGGGCAATCCTCTACCGACTGTCCAGTGGTATAAAAACGATACAAATATCGATAATTCGCCGGACTATGTCATCACTTACAACAACGGTGAAGCTGTTTTAAAATTCGACGAAGTGTTCCTGGAGGACAAAGCCACTTACACGTGCAAAGCGGCGAATCGATTGGGTCAAGCTTCCACTTCCGCTTCCCTCAATGTGGAAAGTAAGAAAATTACCTTCTTCTTAACATCATAAAAAAGAACTTTTTGTTGTCTAAAAAATGTCCTACATGAATCTTGGTAAAATATCAAAATATTCTCATCGAACTTGACTTAGCCAACATAAATAAAATAATAGTTCTTTGCACAAGCAAACACCTCCCTTTTCAGAGGCAGTAAAAATATTCCTTTTCATAAATTTGTAGCGTCAGAGGCCGGTCAGGAGAAACCATGTTTCACAACACCCCTATCGAACGCAATGGGTAGAGCAGGTCAGAGAATAAAACTCGAATGCGAAGCGAGAGGAAATCCCACGCCCACGTTGACTTGGTACCACGATGGACGACCGATCGAGGAAACCATGAACTTGAAGGTAAATTATTTCATGCGTGTCTTAAACTCGAAAGACAATATTCAATATGTTTTATTCAAATTATACTTACAAACATTTACGTAGTTACAAACAATAGTACAGTTTATACAAATGTATTTAAAACAATTATTTCTACTGACTGCAAAATTAAATTAAAAATTCACTCGCTAAATTAATTTGCACGTGCATACTGAATACAAATTGAAAAGGAAAGTTAGTTCTCCTTAAAAAAATGTAATTTGAATGATTTTAAAAGTTCATTTGAGTACGATAAATGTATATTCCAACGTCGGAGCGATGTTCATTTTAAGAATCATTAGAATAAACCGAGTGAGGTATGAGTTTTCTAATCGTGTATTTGATGGAACGATAAGGTCTTGAATGAAAGTCAAGAAAGTTTTCCTCGTGTCCTCTCGCTTCCACAATCCCTTCTTCGATCCGATACGAGCATCCCCCGGTATTTTTAGCGACTTGCACGCGCCGAATTCAAAATAGAGCAACGCGTCGAGGCGGGAAAACGAAGAGCTGGAATCGAGAGCTCAGGGTGTCGTGATTCGCTGTTTCAGATACAAACGGACGGGAATCGGAGCAACTTGGTAATCTCGGAGGCGTTCGCGAAGGATGCCGGATGTTACATGGTAGTCGCTAGGAACGAGGCTGGCGAGGCAACGGTGTCCTGTCACGTTTCCGTCAAGGGACGTCTTCCCCACGAAACCAGCGACTCTGAGCCTCCTTGCAGCGACATGGAACCCGTCGTACCCAAGATTCAGATGCCCTTGAAGGATCTCAAGGCTCAGGAAGGCCGGTCCGTTCGTTTGGATTGCGTGATCGTCGGTCAACCCGAACCAGAAGTGAGTCTGCTTCAAAGTTTTATAGCCAAATTCTAAGAAACTTTTTCTGCTTGGTCTTTAAGACTAGATTTACGGATTGATCCAATTTGACTCGTTTAAAATCTTATCGCTATATACATACAAGACAACGGAGAAATTTAAGGACTTCCAGGAGAATAACCAACACGTGTTGCTCTATAGAAAGAGGTTATAATTTATACATAACATATATACAGTTTTTACAGATAAAATGGTTAACTAGTTACCTATAGAAAGAGAAACGAGAATTTAAGTCTATTCTCCTCACTGACTTACTCCTAGTCCTATTCTTTTATTTACCGTTATCTATCGATCACTTAGATCATTGCACATGTGCCTTTTACACAATCTCCCTCTCTATTTTACTTTCTTCCTCTCGTTTGGGTCTCGATATCCTGATTAGAGGGCGCGCTGAGCTACTAACCTCAATTAAAGAAAGTATTCTTTCTTTACATACATACATAAAATATTATTTTCTAAATACATATGCTAAATACGAGTTTTTGTTGTCACAGGTGATCTGGTATCACGACGAGCAACCTGTGAAGGAATCCGCCGACTTCCAGCTGCTGTTCCAGGGTGACAAGTGCTCTTTGGTCATCCACGAGGCTTTCTTGGATGACGCTGGTGTGTACAAAGTAGTCGCCATTAATTCTGGCGGCGAAGCGTCTAGTCAGTGCACATTAACAGTGACTCGTACGTACGACGACTTGGTTAAACGGAAACCATGTTGCACGACGTGCATGGTTCGCTAAAAGAAAAACAATTGTTTTGATTCAGCGGTCTCGGTTCCTGACGAGCTGGACAAAGCGCGACCGGAAGTCGAGGAAACGTTCGCCGCGGGTTCGCCGCCAAAATTCGTCAAGCTTCCAACGGACTCGTTGGTAGCCGAGGGAGAGAACGCCATCTTCGAATGCGCGGTGATCGGAGAACCGAAACCGGAACTAAGATGGTTCTCAGACAGCGTCGAAATCACTGCCAACGAAAGAATCTTGGCAAGTGTTTACAATAACAAATATTAACAAAGATCAAAGAGATGCACTTGACACTAAAAACCCCTCTAAAATGTCTGATATTTCTTTAAGGATAAGCGTTTAATTAATTTCCACTAAACTATCTAATATTATTTGATGTTCAGATGAAGCAGACGGAAGATGGAACAGGCATTTTAAAAATTTTATCGGCGATCCCCGAGGACAGAGGAAATTACGTGGTGAAAGCCACCAACGTCCACGGGAAAGCAAAGGCTTTCGCCAGGCTAGTCGTAAGATCGTTGGGCGATTTTCGAGGAAAAGAGGAGTTTGTTCAGATGGAAGAAAAATTGATCGCACCCACGTTCAAGGAAAAATTTGAAAGCAGAAACGTCCCCGAGGGAGTTTCCACGAAATTCGAATGCATCGTTGTTGGAAAACCTTCTCCAAAGGTAATCTGATACTTTGAAGCAAAGAATACACGTTTGCAAAATCTCCAATCGACTGACAATAGTCAAGTTCACGGAACTTTTGATTAGAGACGATAAATTAAAAAATTTCCCTGTAATGAAACGGTATTATCAAACGTATGAAAAATATTAGTTAAGTCCACAGATTCTAGATTTTGATAATTCAATGATTAACTTGCGAAAATTTTTTATTCTGCAATGTGTAAAAATTGCTTTAAAGTTCTGTGTGGAAATTTAGTAAAATTCAATCATTTTTGTTCAATTAGAGTATTAACGTAATTAATGACTGTGTGAATATTGTAGAAATAATGTCGTCCTAAAATATTTTAATACTAAATTTAAATTTATAAAATAAGAAGAGCTAGCCTTCGACCGGCGATTAATTATTTTTCTACATAAATAGGGTGATGTTTTCTTCGAAATGAAACTTTCGAGTCTCATTTGTTTTTATTCAAGGACTTTATTTAAGTAATTTTCAAAGAGGATATAGGAAAAAGGCAAAGGACGTTTGTATCTTGTTTGGTAAACGAAGAAGTTGGAGCGTCGTAAATCTCGCGACGGTTTCATCGGTAAAAGCAATTACGCGAACAAGAAGCGTCTCGAACTGTGGCGCCAGATCGAGAGCCGTGATTCGAAGGTGTCGGGACGCGTGAAAGATAGGGTGCAAAGTTGGCCGGCCTGTCAGGAGGTAGCCGACCAAGAGTAATTTCGTGCCTCCGGGTTATATTTAAACAGGAACAATGTACCTGATGTGGAAATTCGCGGACGCAGCCGCGGCGCGAGGAACTTCGTTAAATTTTCTCTGACACTCGCGGATCAGGTATCGGTACGTGCATTTCCCGTTGCCTGGTTTATTCAATTCTGTGACAAAATTGATCCACCATTTACATATATCGATCATGTGCGCCTGAAACTTAAGAAACGAGTCGATTTTCGACAATTTTCTGTGACGTGATCAACGTTTAATATCGTTACAAAGTTTAAAGTTAATAAAATGGCCAGTCGGTTTTCGTTTTTTTATAAATTAACAAATTAAATATAAAAGAGTTTTTTCGAGCATGTGGATTTTCTGTGGTATTCTCGAATTAGGTATCGGTGCGTGCGTAGATCATGAATTTCTATTATAGAATCGATCGTATGCGTTTTAAATTTAAAATATTTGTTGATCTTTTAAATTTTCCATGACGTTCAAGGTCTGAGTATTAATTTTTATTGTTTCGTGTGTGTATTTCCCGCGTTCACGATAATTGTTTAATTTTAAAGTCATTTGTTTTTGTATTTAAATTAATTTGCGATGATATATTTTATTTAGTCAAATAACAAATATACGTTACAAATTCGTTGAGGGAGTTGCACGTCCGATTTTCAGATCCAATGGCTGTTTAACGACCGTCCTGTTCATGGAAAGGACTTCTTGGTGTCTGTCAGCGGGGATAGGCAGGTGCTGACGATTCCGGAGACCGGAAGCACGCATGTCGGTACGATTTCCTGCGTGGCGGAGAACGCTGCTGGCAAAGCGATCTGCACTGCTCGGTTAGAGATCGGTAAGTCACGCTATTATGTCTATCAAAGCAATTAGTTTATTATTCTAATCGTTATTTCGACGCGCGAATTATAATCTATTTACAATATGTATTTACTTGGTGGGTGAACCACTTCAACCTTATCATATGTAGGTGTCGCCATTTGGCCGCGAGATTATGAACGGTTCAACGCGTTTTTTAAAATCCTGTAACCAGATTTTGATTTGAAAAAATATTTCGTTCAAGTTCCAACGCGAAATCAATTTACTTTTAGGAGAATGTTTAATTCGTGAAGTGTCAAAATTTCGTGGCCGCGTGAAATGGACCGTCGATAGTTGGAAACGGAACAATTTTTATCGGGAGCCTCGGTCGCGTAGAAATCGTTTACACGATGCCAAAATATCACCGAAACGCCCGCAACGGTGCCACCAACAGAGTTATTAATACTCGTATAGCTAAGTCGAATGGAAGCTTCATTCACGACGGGGCTGATGTTTGGTCGACAGAGTATTAGTATTTCGCGAATGGCAGAGAAAGACGGGGCACGATATCTCGATCTATAAGCAAAGAGGACGACATTACGCCATCGGCGAGGACTGAAATTCGACACCGGCCCGATGCTTTTCGCTGAAAAATTCGAGCGTTGCGCCATCTTCCAAACACCAATAAATACCTCTCAGGCGTTTCGTTGTATTTCATTTTCTAAATTAAATTTAAATTTTTCGAGGATCCTTGGAGACTTGAAAAAATAACAAGTATTATATTTTTTGTTTGACAATTTTTAGTCATAACGAAACGAGTGATTTTTACAACTGGATCGTTTGAAACGATAGTATCAAAAAAAAAAATATTCGAGCGTTGCGCCATCTTCCAAACACCAATAAATACCTCTCAGGCGTTTCGTTGTATTTCATTTTCTAAATTAAATTTAAATTTTTCGAGGATCCTTGGAGACTTGAAAAAATAACAAATATTATATTTTTTGAGATCACGAAACGAGTGATTTTTACAACTGGATCGTTTGAAACGATAGTATCGTGATTTAATCGTAATTTTATTTCGAAATGAAATTTTTGGTGGCGAGACGATAGTCCGTGATCCATTGCCTTGGACCGAGTGTTATATGGAAAGGAGGGTCTTATTTTTAACTGGGGCGACTAAACAAACTCTTTTCTCTTCTTTCACCGACGAAAAGTCACTTTGAGTCACGACTAATATTAGGTCGGTGCACATGCCGCGGCAATTAAATCTGACGTTTCTACGCCCACCTGTACGCGTTCGTGCTCTTATACGTGCCGCGTAAAAACATCCGTTTAGCAATGTTTCAGCATATCTACATTAACAGGATCAAATAGCGGAACGTTCGAAATTAATTTTAATAACGACAACCGTTTGAATGAAACTGCAAACGAAGACAAAATTAGAGAACAATATCCTTGGTAATTTATTTTTAAGACCACTTTCCGTCTCGAAAATTCTTACTTTTCGATTGATTTTCTGACACTTTAGATAAATTCTTGACAACATCGCAAAGGTTGCTTTTACTGCAAGATATTTCACAATCTTCACTCTGTATAGAACTAGCTTTTTTAAAAGAAACATTTTAAACAAATATCTTTATGAAAAAAGTGGCTATAACAATCGCGCCAACGCTGTAAACATTTCGTGCGTCGTTTTGACCTTGACATTCGTTGTCATAATAGTAACAGATATGCATTTGGAGGCATTACATCACTCTGTAGGAACGCATAGTAACGCAAGTGCGAAACCTAATCGCACATACTTCAATAGAGACAAATCATATAAAATATCTCGCGAACTAATCATTTTTTACCGTTTCGTTCTCACACTTTTTCACCTGGAATGACGAGAGGATTCGATTTATTCAACAAATAACATACATTTCTGATAAAATAATTGTACAGTCGTTAAATGCCATTGCACTTATAGAAAAATATTGGGGGAAAAATTCCAAAGTACTAATATTAATTGCGATTTAGTTGCGACGATTAAAAAATTTTCAATCGAAATGAAATTAATCGATCGATGTGGAAGTCTGGTTCCGTCCTTCTTGAACAGGTCAGTTCCGGGATTTCCGTGTATCACGGCGTTGAGAAAAGCTCGTCTTCGTAGCTCTTTCTCTGTTTCGGCCGGTACAGAAAAGCTCGTCTTCGTAGCTCTTTCTCTGTTTCGGCCGGTGCACACACGCAGAAACGACGTTATTTTTGTCGGCACGAATACCCGGCACGTAGCCTAGTCCAGAGTCGCTAACCCAGGGAATTTAAGCGCGTCTTCTTCGGGGAGTCACGCTCCTAGCGAGTCGCATCGGTACCACGAGCCACCGTTCACCCATAAATCGTTCTCTCATCCTGTCATCCTCTTCAACAACCAGATCAGCGTTTCGATTTCACCCCAACCCCCTCCCCTGAGGTAATTTTCAAAGTACTCGCTCTTTAGATTCGTTGAAAGTTTATTTCGTGTGAACGTTCCGCGGCGCAAAGTGGCACGCGAACGCAAGTGTTTTATCGACAAAAATAATTTTCTCTTGGAGAAACAAGTTTCGAATCCAGGAGAGGAACTTGTTTGTGTCGCGCGTGCAGCGTGTCAGTCGGCAGTCAATAGTCGATTGGATACGACCAAAGTGGCTGAACGTCTGGATCTTCGTTAGAGACGGATTTATTCGACAAATGCGACAACGACTAAGTTCTTCGCGCGATCATCGTAAAGTGTGACGATTCGAAGATCGATCTTTGAGCTTGCAACTCGACCGATAACGAAGATTAGGAATAAAATCTAGCATATCGTGTAGGTACAAGTCAAGTGGCGATTTTTTTGACCAATCATTTATCAGTTTTTATTACTTATATACCGGGTGTCCGACCACACCTGGGAAATATTTTAATGAGCGATTCTAGAGGCCAAAATAAGTCGAAAATCAAGAATACCAATTTGTTTATCGAGGCTTCGTTAAAAAGTTATTAACAAAATTATTAATAAAATTGCTCCATATACACGAATTTATTTCTCGAAAGTGGATAGGATTTTGAGGGTATGTCTAATGACCAAAAATTAATATAATTGACTCCTGCAACAGAGAATAATTTTTTTAGAACGATTTGAAATTTTTTAATTTTCTCGAAAAATTTCACATTCTCAAATTTTTTTCGCGAAAGTGGATAGGATTTTGAGTTTATGTCTAATGATAAAAAATGATTGTAATTGACCCTAGCAACCGAAAATAATTTTTCCAGAACGATTTGAAATCTTTCATTTTCCCTGAAAAATTAAGGCAATTAAGGCCCTGTCGATTTTCCTTAAACATTCGATTTTCATTTTTAATCATTTTGTTTGACACTGTACAGAAAAGTTGTCTAATCCTTTTTTGTAGATACCCATGAGATCTACTTCAGAAAAAAGTTTCATTGAAATATACTCACTATTGTAGGAGTTATGGCTGTTTGAAAATTAGACCATTTTTATGGGGTTTTTCTCATTTTGCGGAGTCAAGAAATAACTTTTCGAATATTTTTGGACTTGGCACGTATTCCTTAGCAAAATACGCGTAGTTTGCTTTTTTAAACATTAAAGTCGTGCAATCCGTTCAGGAGTTATGACATTTTAAAGATTCGCATGAAATTTCGAGGTAGCATTTCTGGCCAGATACTATGTTTTCGGTAATGAATTTTTTTCTCGAAAGTGCGTAGGAATTCGAGGGTATACGTATTGACCAAAAATGATTGTAATTGGCCCCTGCAACCGAGAATAATTTTTTTAGAACGATTTGAAATTTTTTAATTTCGCCAAAAAATTTCAGCACCTATTTGAACTTTTTTCTCGAAAGTGGATAGGTTTTCCGAATAGAATTTTGTGTCTAAACGTTTGAACTCGTTTGAGGACAAGCGTTAATTTTTGCAAAGACACGGGCACTATTTCGAAGACTCGGTTAGATCGCGTACGACTTACAAATTGTGCCCCAGTGCTCGATTTCTCGTCGCGGTAGGTGAACGATACTATTTCTGTCGTCGATTGTAGGCAAACCACTTCGTTACCCGGTCGAAGGGTTCTCGGGCTATTTCATCGGCACCCCGATACCGCTTCCAAACTTAACTTTTACGGTTTCTCGCGTCCCGTGAAGTTCAGGGATCGCGTTAGCTTCCCAGTAGAATTCGTGTCGAACGTTTCGCGATTCGCTCGCGAATTTGGGACAAATCATCACGAATTTCGCGGTCCAGATTTTCGCGTCGGGACGAATTCTCGTTTCGAATGCAGAAAATTTGGTGACCAGCCAAAGAGTGTCACTTCTTTCGATCGCCGCGGAATATAGAATTCGTGATAAATGGCATAGTTACATGCTGCTATTTCGATCGAAATACTGTCTCTCATATTTTATAATCGTGGAAGACGGAAATCGTCTAGAATTTCCGTTTCGATTCGAGTAAAAAATGGTGGTCTATTAATATCAAAGCTGATGGTTTTTTTAATATCACGATCATTCGAGACGATCGATATTTATTTTTATTTTAAATATTCTACTAAAAGGAGAACAGAAGATATAGTTGAAGTGATCACCTAGTTTCAGCCTTGCCACTCACTTCTCCCCTTTGAAACGATTAGATCAGGGCGCTTATAAAAGGTATGCCTCGTGTGTACCGTTTGTATTATTAAATTCGGGGCTTCCTGGTCGTATAGTTATGACGAATAAAAATTCGAAGGCTACGGAGCAGAAGGTAGTCATCGGTCTATTGATAACTCGATTGATCACTGTCAGGTGGCTGGCCAAAGGAAGAAAATAAGGTTGAGGAGAGGGTGTTCGAGCTAGTCGAAAGATTACCAAGCGAGGAAATGCACGCGGCAAGTAGTAGCGAGAAGCAGTTCTGCGCGGAGAAAATGGCCGCGCTCGGGGGTGAGAACGAAACGATGACCAAGATGTCCCAGACCATCACGGAATCCTCCACCACGCACACCACCACGAAAAAGGAGTATATCTCGTCGATGATGTCCTCGACCACGTCCAAGTCTGGACAGGAACCCACCAGCGTTTGCGTGAAAACCACCGTTCACAGCACCGAGCAATCCGCGTCGGAAAATGAAGCACCCCCCGTTGTCCAGGTACAATATTCAAGTTTCATCGAACATATATGTATATATTTATATTGTATCTTATCGTAATGCTGTACAGTCGTACAAAGTGGAAGAACACGAGAAGATCATACAGGACCAACCAGGCGAAATTCGACAAGAAAAGACGGTGGTCGTATCTCAGGACGAGGAAGGAATCAAAAGAGACATGAAAACTGCACAGATACCAAAACCAACCAGGAAATCAACCGCGCCAAGATTCGTGTCACCGATCACAGGCATGATCGTAGATCAGGACACCGACATTGTCTTTGAAGGAATCATTGATGGTAAGATAGCAAAAATATTGATGTCCTTCACAAATTCCAACCCCCCACCACCTCTCTGAACAATATATAATTGCAAAAAACAATTTTTGTTTTGTAACATTATATTACATCCCTAGTCAATGAACTCTTGGAATATTTTACTTTAAAACGTTAAAATGTTTCAGTAAAGGTGGATGACATTCGTTTTTGGCAAGCACGCCTCCCTGTCATTAAATCATAAAACGGTCGCTTATAAAATATTTGCAGCTGCACGAGCAATTGTACTCTCGGCAGAATATTTTGTCGTACAGTAACATAACTTTACAATTATTTATTATATCTTTCGTAGGCTACCCTCAGCCTTCGATCAGCTGGTCAAAGAACGGGCAAGAACTGAAGACGAAAGATGGAATGGTTCTAAGTTACGCTCATAATCATGTTCGTCTCGAACTGAAGAACGTTAACGTGAAAGACGCAGGAAGATACACTTGCACCGCGAGCAACGACGTTGGATCTGCCAGCAGCACGGCCGATCTTGTTGTCAAAAGTAAAATGGCGTTCCACTTGTTTCTTAAAACCGCCTGACCCGCGAATTCCAACAATGAAACTATTTTTTAATAAATTGCAGAAACGATATTCCCACCAGTGTTCGGTAGAAGACTCCAGGCTCAAGTTGTGAAGCGCGGAGATCGCGTTAACATGGAAGTAGAAATCACAGGAACCCCGGAACCCACCGTTACCTGGTTCAAGGACGACATCCCGATCAAGGAACGTCCTCCTGAATTCAGAATTAAGCAACAAGGCAATTGTTACATGCTGATCATCGACAAAGGTATGTTTATATTAGCTCGATCGTTGATTATCGAAATTACAAAATTTTAAATCATTCTGAAAAAATTATTTTTGGTGAATAAAAACATACTATCGTACATCCGTTTAGCTAACAAGGATCATGCTGGAAAGTACATGGTTAGGGCAACGAACGCTGGCGGGGAAGCCCAAAGCATAGCCGACTTCGCGGTTTTCGAGCCAACGCCGGACACGATGGTCGAGGTTCACAAAACCGTCATTTACGAGAACATGCAGGACAAGAAAATCACTCAGGTAACCATTTTCTTGCCACAGATACTATTTTTCATAATTAATAATTATCACTACATATATCGAATAACTTGAATATATAGAATTTAAATTTTTAGTGAAATAAAATGTAACAAAATATATTTTCAGAACTAGCAATTATGCAAAATCAGTCTTAAGAAGTTTTAAAGAAAATTTCTAGATCTTCCAATAAGAAAACAGGTTTATCAGCGTGTAATTTCTAATTTCTAAAAATCTCGATAGAAACTAAAATAATGGAATTTCCAGTAAACGCGGTTAAGAATAATTTTTATCACGGAGCATAAATTTCTGTATTCGTATTTACTTAGTCCGAGGAAAAGAAGGGCGAAGACTCTTCCATGAAACAGACAAGCGAATTACTGACGAAAACGATCCATCCAAGCACCGTGATAAAACTGCCACCGAGCGTGACATCCTCGTCGATGTCTGAAACGACCCGCACGATAGAGAAGATCGGAGAGCCGGAAATGCAGATGTCTCGATCGGAAAAGATCTCATCGACCGTCGAGTCCCATCAGACGGAGACTAAATCCGAACAGAAATTCCACATGAAGCTGGAACATCAGACACCGTCGGTGCTAGAGCCGAAGAAAGAAGAAAAAACAACAACGAAGGAAGTGATTCGCGAAGAGAGGAAGGTCGTTGAACCGAAAGCTACGGTCTTCGAAGAGAAATCAGTGATCGCGAACGAGAACATCGAGACGTCGACGATAGCCAAGAAAGACGCTCTGAGCTTCTTCGAATCGATGACGAAGGAAACCGAGACGGGGCCAAAGCGTCCGAAAGAGATGATCAGATTGGTGGACGACACTGACGGCCACGAAGTGAAGGTTGGCAAACTGACGAAGAACTACGAACGATCGACCACGTTCCAGGAGGTGAAGAAGCCAGAGCCCAGACCTCCGGAGCTACAAACTACCAAGAAGGCTGTTCACGAGATCTTCACGAAACTGGAACAAGGGAGTGGCCCGTCTCGAGGCGTGGACAACAAATTGTTCGACTTCCCTTACGAATCTTACAAACCTGTAGAGACTAAGAAGACAGTGACGGAGGAGACGATCACCTCGGGATCCACGTCGTCGATGATGTCGAAAATGGAGACTCGATCGGAGAGTTCCGAGGTGGTGATGGGTGGGTTCAACCTGGTACCAGAACCACCACCGGAGATCGGTTACATGCCAAAGCCCGAGGAGATAAAAAAAAAACGCCCTGACGTGTCGATCAAAGCGAAGCAACTTCAGGAATCCTTCGAAAAGACCCTGTCTCCCATCGATGCGCCGATCGGCGGTGTCAAAATCTTCCCCTCGCCCTCCCCGAAAGTAATCGAAACCCCGAAATTCGCGCCAACGTTTTCCATGCCACCTCCGCCCTTCCAGCTCGATAAGAAAGAGATAGTGGAGGAGGTTTGTGTGAAGAAGGACGTAAACGAGAAGAAGGATCACGCAGCAGCGTTCAGGCCAGTCTCTCCTAGCAGACCATGGTCCTCGTCCTCGGACGTGGAAACGAGATCCCACGTGTCCACCGATCTCTCCGAGTACAGGTGTCACTCTGCCGCCTCCAGTCATCAGGAGATTTTACGATCTGCCTCGCCCAGGCCGTCGGCCGACGCTTTGGCGATGGAGAAGTCCTGGGCGAAGAAGTGCGCCGATTCCAGCAGGAAATCTTGGCCCCCGCAGGAGGACACCACCACCAAATTCAAGCACGAGTGGCAGACACCTCCCGAGGAGTACAAAACCTCCTCCAAAGAGTTAAAACGAGAAGTTGAAGAGTCCCCGGAAGGCAGAATCAAGAAGATCAGCGAGTCATCGAGCAGTTTGGAGAGACGTTCCTGGAGCACCAAGCAAGAAGCGACAGAGAGAATCGTTACTAGAGCCCCGTCGCCCCCAAAAATTCAACCCATCATTTACAACGCCGAAACGATCAAGGTGGATCACACGGTGAACAAGATCGAAGAGAAGTCTCTGTACGAGAAGTACAGCAGCGAGTCCGATACCAAAAAGTCAGAAGTGTCGGAGAAGATCGAGCAGTTCAATTCCAAGAGTCGCTGGATGGACGATTTGAAAGCCCCGAGTTTGGTCAGAAGCGTCGAGACGCCCAAGAAACCAGCACCGATCGATCAGATTATCCTCGAGCCGGGTCCACCTCCAGAAATCGGTTACATCCCAGCACCAATGAGAGAGACGAAGGTGGAAAAGCACGTGGAAGTGAGTTTGGAGCATCACCAACCAGCCAAGATTCCACCAGGCGGTGTCAGAACTATACCTTCGTCTCCCAAAAGGGACGAACCACCCGCATTGCCACCGAAAGATGTTAGAATTACTCCACCACCGCTACCAGCCAAGCAATCAGCTCCTCCAGAACCTTTGGAACCGTTTCCGTTCAAGGCAACTCCGACTTCACCGGCCACCAAGCCAAAGGTAGCTCCTCCACCCACGCCCACCAAGTTCGTGAAAGGATCCTTTGGCATGGAAAGCGACTACGAGTCGGATATGGACGGTCACATGAAACCAAAGTGGAGACCGTACGAAAGCGACAACGAAGAGCCGCGTTATCGGAGGGTCCAAGCTCCGGTGCCCAAGCAACCGACCAGACCAAAGTCCACCGAGCCAGAGCCTCTTCCTCCCTCGAAATTCGAGGTTCCTCCGGAATCCGGCGGTTCATCCAAGTCAGTGATCACCAAAGAGCAGGAGAAATTTTCCAAGAAGACCACTACTACCCTGAAGAGGCAAGAGAAGGAGACGAAACAACAGACGTATCATCAGGTCGTACCACCTGCGCCGGTGGAATTGAAACCCGGCTCTCCTCCGATTTACGTTCAACCAGTCAAGAAGCCAGAATCTCCAAAGTTCAAGGTGAAAACGTTCCAGCAGGAGAGTGGTTACATGGCAGACACCGACGAACCTTTCCAACAGAGAAGCTCCATCTCGTCCATGCAGAAAAGCTTTGGTAAACACGAATCCTCCTCGTCCACTACGTCTCACATGGAGTCACGTTCGTCTTACTCCGAGAACCGATCGGAATTCTTCGAAACCAAGAGCTACGGAAGTCATCATCAGCATCAGCAGCAGCAGCAGGAACAGATGCAATCGTTTGCGCCATCCGTGACGCCCGCCGTGAAGCAACCGGTTCAGCAACGTAGCACCTTCGTCGAGAAGAGTTATGCTTCCTCCGGCACCTCACCATCCAGATTCATGTCTACGAAGGTTCGAGAGCTGACCGTGTGTCTGCATCGCTTTTTCTGCACGCAGGCCAGATTAGTTTCCAGGGAGAAGAGATCTTAGCGGCTAGAGTGCTGCTATAGTGTGTTTTTTACAAGTTTTAGGCATGAATTTACAAATCTTTTCAGGTGTTCGTAAAGGACTGGAGGTGTTACTGATTTACAAAATCAGTAAATTCATGTTATTTTTTAACCTACGGTGTGAAGGCTTGTATTTGTTTTGTTTAAGGTTGAAGTTGCTTTAGATAGTATGGTTTCTTTTTGTGTTTTAACACCATGTTGTATATTTTTTAACCCTCGGTTGGTAATACAGTGTACTCTCTTTTGGATGATTACAAGTAAAATAATGGTAAATTTGCATAGAGAAGTTTGAAAGAAAGATTATACGCGTATCTATGTACCAATCGAGGGTAAATTATATGTTTTTGATGTCAGTTTAGAGACGAGCGAAGTTAAAAAGTATCCTAATTTTCGTTGAACTTTTAGGAAACTGTTTATGCCACGGATCAAACGCAAAAGAAATTCGAAACGGCGAAGAAGATCCTGCCGCCCTCTCCGAGTCCTTCGAAATTCGTGAAGGGCGAATTCCGTGAAAGCGACTACGAGAGCGATTACGACGGCAGAATACCGGCACTTTGGAAGCCACGAGGTTACGAAAGCGACGATCAGTCTTTCAGACCCGTGAAACCCCATCTCGCTGGTCCAGGTATTTACGAATCCCAATATATAGACATTTTAGTTGTACGACTTTTAAATTCGGGAACAAGATCGAAAAGGAGATTTTAAGCGGAAAGAAAGCACCGTCAAAATAGTTAGAGGATCATCTAGTCACTTTATCCCTAAAAAAAGAATTTAATATTTGAATTATAATTTTTTTTTCTAGAAAAGAATATTTTATCGAATACAGTAAAATTAAAAATTGTTTCCAAGGGGGGTCGGTGTAACATAATCGACCAGCCGATACATCGATGGGTCTCTCATTCTTTGACAACTTTTTTCCAGCTTACAACAAGTAGTCCTCCTGGCAAGCTTTCTTCCCTTCTCGTTGTTTACCTCGCAAGACAAGTTCTCCTCTCTTCCTGCTTCGCTTGCTTCTCTCTTTTCTTCTCGGCCACTCGAAGTACGTACTTGAGTTTCCCCAGCTTTTTCTCCGGTTCTCCTTCCCCAACCCCCCTTGGCCCCGTGGCTAACAACCCTCTTCTTCTTCTTCTTCTTCTTCTTCTTCGTTTTCATCGCTTGCTCTCTATTCTGCTCGTCGCTATCACGCTGGTTTCACCTTCGTTCAGAATCCACAAAGACACCTGTAAGCAAAAAAAAGAAATGAAAACGCGGGAGATAATTAAAAGGAGAGCTCTGCGTCGCGTGAAACCGGTTGCCTCGGGGGTGTGTGGTGGTCCGCTTTCTTCGTCTCGCTGGCCCGTTGGTCCGTTGATGAGATCGAGGTCACCCGAGGGAACTATTTTCTAGCGATAGGAAAGCCAGCGTCGAAGGAGCTGCCCACGCCGCCGATCGAAGAGATATCGACGCGCGGAGCTCAGAGAACGAAGGAGCTCGAGAAGAAGAGCGTCGCGTCGAAACCCAAGACGGTTCTTCTACCCGGTTCGCCGCCGGAAATGGCGTACGCACCCCCGCAGCCCCGGACAACCTATTACGAGGCTCGTTCCGGGCCACCGTATCACAACGCGATCGGCACGGAGACCAAGAAGACGGTCAGGATGGACGAATCGACGGAGAACAGCCGGAGGATCGTCACCGTCGAGCAAACCAGTCGCGTGATCAAGTTTGCCGACAATAAAAAGACGGCTGCTGATTTTTCCAGCTTCGATGCTCAAAAGCAAAAGTCTCGGTTCAAGGTGCCTATGCCCAAGAAGTTTGTGCAGGGCCAGTTCAGAGAATCGGACTACGAGAGCGACATCGACACCAGAATCAGACCAAAATGGACGCCATCCGACAGCGACAAGGAGGAGCCGCGCTACAGAAAGGTTCAGCCACCGGCTGTCAAGTCGCCCAGGTCATCCAGCGCACCCGTCAGACAAGAACACGTCGTGTCGCCGATGGAGTTCGACACAGGACCGCCGGTACTGAAGAAACAGACCTCGATGACGCAGCTCAGAGACGAAAGTAGAACGAGAAAGCTAATAGATTCTCGGACGAAACTGCAGAGGGATATCACGACGTCCAAGCGGGACGAAGTGCTCAAGCCTGGCTCGCCGCCCGAGTTTGGATACGTTTCGAGGAGCGACGTGAGAAAGGCCGCCAATCGTAAGAACCACGTCAATCTCTTTCTTTACGTACGCTTATTTGTTGACGCAGGGTGCTTTTCTAACGTAAAATCGAACAAAATCAAAGAGAATCGATCGACGTGGCTAGTGTCTAGGGGGGGACGTAACTGAATTATTTGTCAATTACAGTTACTTAATTGGTAATAACGATTGGCGACAAAATAAACAAAAACAGACATTCCCGAAAGTAAAGAATTAACTGCTGAAATATCCAAATAAAGTATATATTCTGTTTTTGTTTAGTTTTCCGGCAATCATCATTACCAACTTAAGTATATGCTCATTTTGTGAGTAACTGTATAGAATGTTTACTAGATTGTAAAAATAATGCCAGGAAGAATTTGCTATCTGTAAACGTAAAACAGTTTTACTGAGAGAAAGACGTACATATACAGTAATGATTCTTAAAATAACATAGAATCATTAGAGCTCATTTTAAGAGTCATTACCGTAATATGTAGATACTTTGGATATTACCTTTGCTCGTCTTCTAAACTCTTGGTTACCTTTCGTTTAAATTATCGCTACGCATCATCGGCTTTTCATTACAATTCTCCGTCTCTCACACACATACACATACTTCCCTGGCCTGCTAAAAAATCGCTGGCAAGCTCTCTTCTCCCGTAACACGAACAATCTGAAACATCCGCAGACGTCGCGTCGCGTCACATGAGCGACATGACCAGCAGCTTCAAGTCGAAAACCGAGAGATTCGTCAACGACATCCAGTCGGATATGAAGCAGGGCAAGCCGATCCTGAAGCATCCGGTCGACAATCGAGCCAGCGACGGTGACGAGCCCCGAACTTACAGAGAGGAATCTCGAGTCTCGGAACACGGTAATCGTTTATCCACTAATTCGTTTATCGAATCACCGTAAACGCCATTAATATTCGGCCGCCATTATACCGCTACGTTACTGCTCTATTCTTACCTAGACGCTTAGGCGGTTTTACGTTTTACGTTTTATTTACTTTTGCACGTCGCAAATAGAATCTCTCGGAGAAGTTCGGGTCACCCTTACTCTTCACAGGCTCACACACTCGTTTTGAGACTTTAAGAATATTAAAGAAAAAGTTATGTATAGTTATGTAGGTGCCAAAATACGATTAGCAACCAGATATCTCATTGTCAAAACGATCTACGTAGCCTATCGGTGTGCACCTTTTCTAAACAAAACGGGGACTAAATGAAAAGAAATTTGACAGCAGCGAGTACAGGGAGTAAAAATAGCATCTTCGTTAAAAATAATGAGAAAGGACTATACAAAGTAAGAATACAATGACGAACACAGGAACGAAGCAAATCGATCCGGACACCGGCCTGATATACTTCAAATACGACTTTGGGTACGAGTTTGGGATCGTGTTGCCCGGCGAGGGCAAGAAGACGGTGACCAGCACGAACAGGACCATTCAGGGCCAGAGACGATCCAGCGACATCGAGGTTCCGATCGTCCACGAGTTCACCACGAGGAAAGAGAACGGTTTCGCGAAGAGAGCCAGCAGCACGACGTCGTCGGGCCGACAAGGGAAACCGGCGAGCAAATTCGGCACCTCGAAGACGGTCAAGTGGGAGCCAACGTCGGAGAGCGAGTTCTCGGAAGCGGAAGACATCCGAAACGCGAGAAAAAGGCATACCGATGGCGGGAACGCGATGGTGGCGCCAAGCCTCGTCATACCATGTTCGCCATCGCCGTCAAGATGGGACCACACGACGCCCAGTCCGCTTTCCTTGAGTCCAAGCTTACCGAGCCTCTCCCCAAGATACAGTAGTGCCACAGGACCACCCAGCAACGTCGATTCCGCAGGTACTGGCCTGCTTCTGCCTCGATACGCGTTTGTTTATTCGCCTCTATCTGCCCGGAGCCATCCACTTCGAAACTACTTTCGCCTTAGCTGCACCCAATTTCCGCCACTGCACGCACTCGCTTTCACCTTCTCCAAATTTTTCAATGATTTTGCTCGAGTTGTGATTCAGGAACCATGGGAAATATTCTAAATAATTCTTAATTGTTTAGAACATTGAAAGCTTACTTATTTGGGAGCCTAGACTATTGTTTGATTTCACTGCAGGAATATCTTTTCTGCTGATAAAGCGTTCGGAAGAAGCATGAAGAAACGAAAGGTTTAAGAAGGATGTTTATTTGAAAGAGTTTCAGTGTTGCTTCGTTCCTCTCTGTTTTACCTTGCTCCGCTCTGTTAAAAACTGCTTCGTTTCTTCTGGAAAGTTCAACGTTTATCCCGTATTCTTTCTGCCAGACCTCTGTTTCTTTGAGTTTCGGCTTTCCAATGCTTCCGTCCACCTCCATTTTTCCCCCAACTGAATTGCCATTGCTTGTGTGTTGCTACGCAATGGCTTTCGAATTATTCTCGCAACGAGAAGTACAGATTTCTATGCTGTCGAGTGTATCGCTGTCGTTCGATTGAGATTACTCGGGTTAAATCGAGCTGATTATTCTAGGATCACCGTGGCCAACCACCAATGGAGTGGCTTCGAGCAAAGAAGTGATTCAGCCTTACCTCGAAATACTACCGAAAAAGGCTCCTCTATTCATCACGGTAATTTATTTTTAATTAAATATTCTTGAAAATATTACGTTGGGGAAAAACAAATCCATTATTTTCATGTTCAAATATCTACCGTTTTTGTTTTATAATTTGTTGCCGTTCGATTAATAACTCGAAAATCAAAAATACCAATTTGTTGATCAAGGCTTCGTTAAAAAGTTATTAACAAAATTATTAATCAAATTTCTCCACCTATACAAATTTTTTTCTCACAAGTGCGTAGGATTTTGGGGGTATCTCTATTCACCAAAAATGATTGCAATTGACCCCTGCAACCAAGAATAATTTTTTTAGAATGATTCGAAATTTTTGAATTTTCGCCGAAAAATTTCACACCTTCTCGAATTTTTTTCTCGAAAATGGTTAGGATTTTGAGGGTATGTTTATTAACAAAAAATGATTGTAATTGACCCCCGCAAACGAAAATAATTTTTTTTAAACGATTTCAAATTTTTGATTTTCGCCGAAAAATGTCACACATTCTCAAATTTTTTTCTAGAAAGTGGTTAGGATTTCGAGGGTATGTCTAATGACCAAAAATGATTGTAATTGACCCTAGCAACCGAAAATAATTTTTTCAGAATGATTTGAAACCTTTCATTTTCCTTGAAAAATGTCAACACTACCCCCTGTCGATTTTCCTTAAACATTCGTTTTTCATTTTTAATCAATTTGTTTCACGCCCTACAGAAAAGTTGTCTAATACTTTTTTGTAGGTACCCATAAGCTCTACTTCAGAAAAAAGTTTCATCATAATATATTCACTATTGTGGGAGTTATGGCTGTTTGAAAATTGGGCAATTTTTATGGGGTTTTTCTCATTTTACCGAGTTAAGGAACAACCTTTCGAATATTTTTAGTATATCTACATATTCTGTGCCAAAATACGCGTCGACTGCCGTTTCAAACATTAAAATCGGCCAATCCGTTCAGAAGTTATGACGTTTTAAAGATTCGCATGAAAATTCGGGCAGACATTTCTGGCCATACATTATATTTTCGATTAGGAATTTTTTTCTCGAAAGTGCGTAAGATTTCGGGGGTATGTCTATCGACCAAAAATACTTATAATCGACCCCTGCAGCTAAAAATAACTTTTTTAGAACGATTTAAAATTTTTTAATTTTGTCAAAAAATTTCACACCTTCTCGAATTTTTTTCTCGAAAGTGGGTAGGATTTCAAGGGTATGTGTAATGACCAAAAATGAATTTAAGTGACCCCTGTAACCAAAAATAATTTTTTTTAAACGATTTGAAATTTTGTTTTTCGCCGAAAAATTTAGGCACCTACTCGAATTTTTTTCTCGAAAGTGCTTAGGATTTCAGGGGTATGTGTATTCACCAAAAATGATTGTAATTGACCCCTGCAATTGAAAATAATTTTTTCGTGAATGACTTGAAATTTTTTAATTTAATTGTTAATAACTTTTTAACGAAGCCTCCATCAACAAATTGGTACTCTTGATTTTCGTCTTATTTTGGCCTCGAGAATCTCCCTGTACGTCACTAGAGCCATCTAGGTGAAAAATAATGGATTTCTTTTTCCCCAAACTAATTAATTTTGAACGAAATTTCTTTTTCCAACAGCAACTTCACCTTATACTAGAATTTGTAGTTTATTTATATGTAGCGATTTTATAGATAATTTATATTACTTACTACAATTTATATTAAAAATTATTACCGGGAATTTCAGCCTCTGAGAGATATCGCGGTGGTGAGCGGACAAACAGCAAGATTCGAGTGTATCGTACAAGCTGAACCGCAGCCCAACATCCTTTGGTCCAAGGACGGTCGGATCGTCGAGAATTCTACGAGCTACGAAATCCATTATCGAAACGGTGTTTGTCGTCTCACCATTGTGCGAGCCTTTCCAGGTACACGCGTAATTAATTCTACTCGAAAGCTATCGTTATGTATATTTATAGGAAAAAATGAGATTTTGGTTAATCGAATATCTTTTTGTTGCAGAGGACGCTGGCACTTACGCGTGCACTGCGACGAATAGCTTAGGTTCGACAGTGACTTCTGCCACTTTGCAAGTGCCAGGTAACAGACGATCAGTATACGCGCCTATTTAATAATGGTCGAGGAGGGATTTAAAAGAAAAACGCAGCTAATACAAAGGTGGTGGAACATTGAGCCTCTAACTTTGATCGGCCGTAACAATCATAATTCGCCTTCGTTTCGTGTCATTGATCTTATCGTAAGAAAAAGAAAATCGATACAACGAACAGCTTCCGGTCGATAATCGATAGAAATAAACAAAACAAAAGAACGACGGATACAAACAAAGTTCGGCTTAAATGGTAAGCTCGCGTTGAAAACGACCAGAGACAACGAAATACAAAAATACAAAAAAAAAAAACAAAAAAAAAACAAAAAAAAAAACAAAGTATTAATTCTTAACGATTTTTTTCTGCATTTTGTATATGAAAATGATTTTGCGACGGGGGCGAGGAGAACTAGTCATCGATGACCGAAATAGTGAGAAGTCGAGGAAAATTCGGAAAAGCTGGTGAAAAGCTCTTTACTTGTTTTGATGAGCGCGTAGTGGGCTTCTTCGAATGCATTTTTTCTGTCGTTGTTACCGTTGAACGATTTGAAAACGCTTTTTAGTCGGTCGTTTTTCTCTGTTTCTATCTACTTCCTTTCATCTCTATCTTCTTTATCCACTCTTACTTCTCTATTCTCTTGTCGAGCACGTAGCATACGTATTTATAAATATTCTTTCCTATATCCTTTTTCTTTTTTTCATTTTTTTTTGTCGCCTGTCCCGTCATAGATCAGAGTCGCGGTAATTTTTGACGAGATTCGGAAGACCAGCGAGAAGCTGACGCTGAATGCTCCAGTGTCTTTCCCACCGAATAGTTTCGTGGAAATTTCGAGAGTTACTCGCGATCTAAAATTACCACCGCCGCCGTGATTCTGTTCGAAACGATGCTAGTCACTTGGTTAAGCTGAACGCGAGCAAGAGAATTTTATTTACTGTTAGGGGAAAACTGCGGGTAGCCGCAGAAGAAGGTTTCGTTCTCTGATATTGGCTTGTCAGGTGTATCCTTGATTGAAAGCTTCATCGCTTGTAGAGATAATAAAACGGAAGAAGACGATCGAAGACGATCAGAAATTGTTATCTACACTGTCATTCGTCGCAGCAACAATTTATTGATATATTGTGTAAATAAACGTGTGCTTCCTCTGCAATACAAAAAAAATACTTGGGTACTATGGTGTGACGAATTATTTTCTTCAACCCCTTTATTCCCCATTCTCCCTCTCTCACTCTCTGTTCTCTATTCTGTAGCTGATTGTTCTCTGCCGATAGTACTATGCATCCGCGACAAGTTGGCTAGTGTAAGGAACGCGGCTCTGATTGGTTCCCCCACTCTAAAAGGCGGAGCAAACTCCCTGAATTGTCCAGCTAGCCAACTTGTCGCGCACGCGCGGTACAATTTTCACTCGCTGGAGCAAAGCAACGCTGGTAATGGTGTAGAATGGGGTAGGTTAACGTAGTATCAGCATGCTGTAGTATAAGCAGAAGCGGGCAACTTTTATTACGATAACAAATACCAATTTTTAATCAATTTTTAAACGAACTCACGTTTACATTTTATTTGTGAAAATTCACGATTTGCAGACGAATCTAAAATTTGTATTCGTTGCTTCCGTATAAAATTTGTCCAACTTCGTGTATAAAGGGTGAAACGGTTAATTTTGCTGTTGTTTACAAGATGAAAACAACGACTTTCGAGAGCGTTATTGCGATACGTGTCTCGTTTCTTTTTCTTGGCGAACGGTGTGACGTAAGAAGGGAAAAATAAAGCGTTAGGAATAAACGGGACGTTCAATGCCGCAATAACGTATCGAAAGCATTGTTCCACCTTGCTCTTGTTGCACGATTAGTCATACGTATTTTAGGCAGTCACTTATTTTTGGAGGAGAAAAAGAAATATGTGGAGCGCAATTAACATTCGGGGTTACTAACACCAACACTCGCGCCCCTCTATGCACGCCGTGTGGGGATCTTGATTGGGCTTTTCCTTAATCATTCTCATCGCGGGATCACGTATATTTGGTCAAATGAAATTTAATACCTCTGATGTTCGAGAAACATTTAACTATCGGTAAAATCAATTTCCACATCTTATTATTCGAGCATCAGACTTATGTGCTTCGCGCGGAGTACCTGTAATGTATTTTTAAGCGTAGATTAATATTTTTGGAGGGATGAAATGCTCGAATGTTCCCATGCACGATGAACGGCTGTTGGATGATGCGGTATGAAAATAGACGGTAAGGTAATCCCGGAATGCGATGGAAAATGAGTCGACCATCCAAGAATAAACGGGAGAAAAACAAGCGGTTGCGATTGTTAAAGATCTCGGTACAATTTCCTCTCTTCTCTTTTTTTTTTCAGAAAATCGCGTCATAGGTATTCGGATTACAGAATCGTTCTTTCGGCAAATTATTCCTTGATCTTTTTTTGTAACGCATTTGTCAAATGGTTTCAGCGTGTCGGAAACTTTTCTATCGCCATTATACAGGGTGTTCGGCCACCCCTGGTAAAAATTTTAATGGCGGATTCTAGAGGCCAAAATAAGACAAAAATCAAGAATACCAATTTGTTGATGGAAGCTTCGTTAAAAAGTTATTAACAATTAAATTCAAAAATTTCAAATCGTTCTGGAAAAATTATTTTCGGTTGCGGGGATCAATTACAATCAGTTTTTATCATTAGACATACCCACGAAATCCTGCCCACTTTCGAGAAAAAAAATAGAGAAGGTGTGAAATTATTCGAGAAAATTAAAAAATTGCAAATCGTTGTGGAAAAATTATTTTCGGTTGTAGGGGTTCAATTACAGCCATTTTTGGTGAATAGACATACCCCCGAAATCTTGCGCATTTTCGAGAAAAAAATTCAGGACGGGCGGCACTTTAAACGTTAATAACTTTTTAACGAAGCTTCCATCAACAAATTGGTATTCTTGATTTTTGTCTTATTTTGGCCTCTACTATCGCTCATTAAGATTTTTGCTAGAGGTGGCCGAACACCCTGTATGTATACAGGGAGGTCTATGCAACTTGAGTTGCATGGTTTGAAAGGGTACGTTGATTTCAGGTGTACCGTCGCCGTTTTACGGTACTTATCGAGATCAAAATATCGGCGAGAGGACGATCGAGAGTCCACCGAAGTACGTGGCGCTCAGGGATCTGTTTCTGCCGCAAGAGAACGACGTGAAACCGAGTCTAACGAATCGTCAACGTTCGTCGTCGTTCGAGTTCGATCCGTGCGCGGATCACAGGTACGCGTTTCGATCGATCGAGAAATTACAGTCCGGGACAAAAAGATAGCACACTTACAAATTATTGTAATTTTGCGTTTATCAAACATTACAAATTCAGCTCTTTGTATGCATAGATTTTCAGACTGCCCTTACTGATACGTACGAATGAAATGAAACGAACCTTCCTTACTCTGTCGTAGAGTGTAACGAAGCAACGACTCATCGAGATGTTGTTCGTTTTAGTTACGCAGGTGGCAGCTATCTGGACGAGCAAAATGCGACGGAAGAATGCGCAGAGATAACAGCCAGAAATCCAATATCGCGACGGCTCGAGTATTCCGATTTCGAGGCGAACGGTTCGTTTCGCGATGCCTCTGATTTTTCCTTCGATCGCGAATACTTCACGCCCGCGCTGTCCAACGTCAAGCCAAAGAACACCGGTAAGTCGATTCGCTTATAATTACCACTACAGATGGGATCAAGTTCGATATACCGTTGTATTGAAAAAGAATTCGAACGAAACTTGAATAGTTTTGAGGTGTAATTAGTATTTTTCTACGTGGATGTTTAGATGACATTTGCCTTTCTGAACTGAAAATTAACCAAGCTTTTATTGCTACGACAGTGTAACAGAAAATACCGATCATTAAACATATTTCGATGACACAAAATGTATCATCGTACGCCTCTGAAAAGCTGAAACGCTTTTACAGCGCTTGTAGGCGATCCTTCACCTACTCGATACAAATAGAGTATCAATTACAGGAATCTAAAAATAATTGGTTGAAACCGCGACGCGCAGGTAGTATCATTATTTGAATCTATCAACATTGTTAATAAATTGGATTAGAAGAAATTCGCAGGCGTGAAGCAACGCGTTGGCTTCGAAGCGTTAAACGAGTATGAAACAGTGCTGGCATCGGTGGTCTGTCGCGTTGATTAATCTCGATCTTTAATTTCGAACCGAAGACAAGGGATTTTCGGAGAGGTTTGGTAACCCACATTCAGGGTCCTTCGGACGATTACTCGCACTCGTCCGCGAAAATAGCATTCGATGTAGATGCGTGTGCCCCAGGTGGGTATCCTCGTCGAATCTTGGCAGTTTATACACACGGAAAGCGTGTGTTGAACGCACACGGGTTTCTGGTAAGCTTCGAGGCGGACGTTGAATCATAGACCACGCACCCCTTTTCGCCACTTCACGTCGAGTATCCCTCGGGCCCTCGAAATAGACGCGTCGCTATGCGCTACCTTGGCGGACCACGGTGATTCACGAGTGACCCATCTTTCGAAGATCGCCAGAGACCGGTGTTATCGATCCACGGACGCGAATCTTACCAGATATTACTCCTATCTTGCTTCTCTATTCTCTATTACACGGATATTAGTATTTTTTTTAATCCTTTGCGCCCCAAGAATTAATTTTAATTCAAGCAACTGTCGTTTTGAAGAACATTAAAATTATCTTTAGAGACTGTAATAGTCATACATTTATGGGGTGAAAAATTTTCTATAGTTTGTCACGGATGAACAATGTTTGTGCAGACAAAATATTAAATTCATTAACATAAAGAAACAGGAAAAAACTATTTGTAAAGTATAAAAATGTAAATTGAATAATACAACGAATACACTAGCTTTTATATCTTTCAAGGTTGGCGAACGCTACTTTAAAACTAGCAGTTTCATAACGAAAATATGCCTCGAAATATCGCGATCAAATATCATTGATTCACTGATCGTACCGCAGAAAACTCTTCTAAAAATAATATTTAACAGTCATTGTTTCGTAGAAATGGAATTTAAAATTGTGGAGGATATTTTCGTTGTTGATACAATGATTAAAAATACTTCTACCTCGAATAATTTCTTTGAATGCAATCTGGCAATCCGTTCTACTTGGTACATGGTATTTTTTGATACCTCCTTCTGCTTATATTTTCAACTATTGCGTCAAGCGCAACAAGCAAAATAAGATACTTCGCTTACAGCAAAATTTATAATTGGAGCAACAAACTGTATGACACAGTTTGCTTAATAAATACAAATTTTTAATACCAGCCACCACGTTGAACATTGACGTTTATATATCATTAAAGAGTACAACATATTCAAATTAGAGGAAAAGTCGACATGGTATCTCCAAAGCGACTTTGGAGACTCGTATATGCGTGGTAAGCACGCGATGAACGAACGTGAGTAGATTCTGTCGTGATTGCGAAAGTTTTAGCGGCAAAAGGCCGAGTTTTCGCATGCTCCCGTATACGCGTGTGCCTCTCTTACCTCGTAACTCGAAACCAAAGCCATTGTACAGCGAATACGATTCTGGACTGGCGTAATGTCTGAATTACACGGTTGCGCGGCTGCGTGAACAAATTTGAAAGTTCGAACAAATAACTGTAAAATTGTCGAGTTGGACGTCGATGTCGATCCACGTTGATACAGACATTAGCCAGGATTAAAATTGCAACGCGTGTTGCATATATCTCGTGCGTAGCTGCACGGTGCACCGTATGTGCACATCGTAAATGCCTGCGACTACCGTCTGTTTCGCTCCGATTCGTCCAGACACGGAACGATAACGGTTGGGCAGGATTTTTCTACACATCGTGCGAAACAACTATTGAAAATAAATTAGTCCCTTCGATATTTTACAATTTTAATCTCTTCTTGAGGGGTCTGGTAACTCTAGAATATTGAAAAATTCGATTATTTTTTTTTTTTTTGGCTTAAATAATAGTTTGAAGCCTTAAAAACATTATGCGAAAGGTCTCAGTGACGATGACGTGTATCTGCGTCCTGTAGCGCGTTAAATGCATTTTTCTCGGAACTATGTTTTACAAAACGGTGTGCAGCATTACACCAGTTCTAATTAATCAATTGCTTTGAAAATTTACAGTTATCTTTACTATTATATTTATTAGGCATTGACGATCCGTTTTTTTCAAAATTGTCAAATAATTCTGCAAAATATTCGTAATAAGAACTCGTTTTTGTGTTAAAATTCGATTTTAACCAGACCCCTTAAAGAATCAGTGCTCTGAAAAGAGGTGGAGTTAATGGAAGTGACATTTATGGCAATAAATTTGGTTTGCGAGCGAAAACGTTCAGATGCTAATGGCGCGTCTGGCACGTACGTTGCCTGTTCGACGATAAATCGTTTCATTGTCACGTTTTAATTTATCGTGGAACGAAAAGTCAGCCGGTCATCAGAAACATCGAACACTTTGACCTTCGTCGTCTGCTCGGGACGTTGGTCGCCCGATGATTGTGTAATTTATCGGGCACGGGGTCGGTCGTTACATCGAACATGTTACAAAGCTGATTGTTTAAACGTGGCGCCAGTTAACTGTTTCGGCCAGACATTGTAATACATTTCTACATTCACGGGGTATTCGTAAAACAAATCTATTCTTTCTTCTTTAAACAAAATTAAATAGTATAGGTTAGAAAAATTATTTGAAATTAAATCGTACGTCAAAGGATTGCCATAAGAAACAAAGAAATAAATAAAATTAGGAAGCATTGTTATAATTGAAATTGAAAGAATGGTCAAGGTGTCGGGGGGGGTTGAAAGAAATGGCGATTGACCCAGTTCCGTTGGCGAACAGAGCCACGGAAACGTCGCGAGAGAGAAAGAGCGCGTCGCTGGAAGGAAAATTGAAGCAAAAAGGCTAAATGAAACGTAAAAAAAGGGGGATAAGGCTGACGGGAGACACGACTGCTCTCGCGACTACGTGTCTCCACCGCGAATGCTGCGAAGGGGCGGGGAGGGGGGAGGAAGAGCTTGAGGAAGGGGCTGCCGCGGACGGTTTAAGAAGAAGAGGGGGGGCAAAGAGTGCGTAGATGCGTGGGCGGCTGTCAGTGAGCGCGAGAACGCTGCGTGAGCCGCGCGCGCGTCGACTTGCGGCTCCGCTCCGAGTTACGGGTTCGAATCATCGCTCGATTCGAATAACAAGCAACCGAGCAAAGGTACTACAAGTCACCTGGCTGAGAATTCGACTCGGTCGGATGCGAGATTGGCTTGTGATTCGCACGTGTTTTTCACTGTACGCAAGGAACAGTAACGAGAGAAGGACTCGTAAAATAATAAGTAAAGGGGGCCCGCCTTGTTACATTCAATCAGTTTCGATTCGAGACACTGCCTTGGAACTCGTACGACTCTCTGGCCTTCCGCGGGCAAACGTTCTCCAACTTTTTGTTTCATCCATTGATCGAATTCGGTTGTTACGAACCCACAGAAGTTTGCTCATTCGTAACGCGTTATTTCAGTGACCGGTTGAATCTGCCTTCTATTTTCGTTACATTTTTCATCGCATAACAGTGAGATAAATTTAATTCTTCGTAACTTGAAATTCTATTCGACTTCGGGGAAAAATTATACGATAGGATCGCAACACTAATAATGGGATATAAATTTTAAGGTAAATTTGAATATACATATAGTAGCCCCAATTAGAAGTTATTCATATTCTTCGGACGTGTTATCACAAAAATATAATATGACTAATTCGATGAACATACAAGCAAAAATGTGATTTTAACGCTTTGAGTACAAAGTAAACGTCAATTTCTTCGGCAAACGACTAAATTCCAAGAAAACTTTCCAATAGCTATACCGGATTATGCAGAATCACCCCTCTTTTTCGGTTGCTCTATCGATACTGACACCTTGTAAAGCAATACCTTGGTACTTTTTATATTAAGAAATACATTTTTGCACGGCTATGATTTTCGAAATTTCAAGAAACGAGATTACGTATTTTCATCGTCATGATGCAAACCTGAAGTGACAAGTACAATGATGCATCACAACATTGACCTTGAGCACGAAAAATCCAGAATATCTTAATATCGGGGGATGAAAAAGGTTTGCTTAGGAGTTTTTAAACAGACTCTCGTATAAATAATTTTTTAGGCTATAGGTTCAATGACTTTTAACAACTTGATGCGTAAATAATGTTTAAATGTACCCGTTTAAAGAGATTTGGAGGAAAAAAATTATTTATTTTTATTTAAGAGACTTTCCTTTTTAGCGAGAAAGAGACAGGGAACGAAAGTGAAAAAGAGAGAAATGGGGGTGGTGGGAGGGACGATTTTGATTGGAAGGATTAGTGTTCGTAGGGAGGAGGGTGTGAAAAATTTCGACTCGTTTTTGAGCGTCGGGACGCTCCAAGTCTCCCCACCCTCTGGTGGAGGCCCCCACCACGTAGTGGCACGTCCTCGTGGAAGGCCGTGTTCGTTTTCCGAGACGGCATCAGCCGGCAATTCGCATTCGACCGACGTCTTGGTTTAAAGAGTCTCGGGGACAAGATTTTTGATGATGACTTGACTTCTGCCGACTGGAGTGAGCCGCGGTCTCGAGGCAGCACAGACGAAAGAAGAAAAAGAGAAAGCGAGCAAGCAGTTTCAGCCACGAGAGAAACCGAGAAAAAGAGGATTATCGATTACTCCGAATCGAGTAAAATATTTTATCGCGAGTGACAGCCACACGAGGATTTTACTCGTTCTTTTCACCGATCATTTTGTTGTTGTTGAGTGCCCAGTGAGTGCACCACACGGGGAAGTTTCGACGACCAAGTAATTCTCGGGTGACGAAAAACAAGAAATAAAGGGAAAAGACCGATCTTTTGGGGGCCCGTTTCTGAGATCCCCGAACGTCGACGACGAACAAACGATCGATTTAATCGACCCACACGAGTTGGATTTCTCCGTTGATCCAATATGAAGCGACAAGTGTCTCAGCAACAGCAACAGCAGCAGCAGCAGCAACAGACGATGCAGCAGCAGCAGCAGCAGCAGCAGCAAACGACCACGCAACAACAGCAATACATTCAACAGAGAACCGAACAACGACATGTCACTCGACAACAGATCACCAGTCAGCAGAGAGGTCAGTTTTGGCGATGCTTTACAAGTGAAAATCGAAAAGCTTCAAATACTGTTAATTTTCAATCTTGGAAGGAACTCTGTATCGTTAATTGTTAGTATTGGTTTTGTAATATTTCAAGTAGTCGGGCGAGCTATCGAATTTCGCCCGGTTCAGCAAATTCCGAAATATCGTCGGCGCGACGTCTCGGTGAATGTTATTTTTCCCGGTTCGCTCGACGGTCGTTTTTTCGTTTTCGCGTCGAGGTAGAAAATAAATCGAGATCCCTCCGGATTTCTTAGCGGAGAATATCCCCTCGACGAATATTCTATTTTCGAGCGAGAGCACCGCCCCTGCGTGAGCTCTAAAGATAGTTTTCCACGTCGTTCGACGCCAGAGCGTTTCGAAAATTCCTGCACGCGCCCGTAAACGCTCCTAAGGGTCGCCCTCCCCGACCAGGGTGGCCCTTGCGCCTAAAAACCAAACACGCTAACACGCAGCTGTCAAAATCGTCGCGCTCTTGTGTCTTGGTCGTGCTCGCCTCTCTTCCGTCCATCGTTTGGCCCACGGGATATCTGTCATTGGCCCGTGGATTCTTGCACTCGTTCGCCAGGGCTGACGCGAACACAACGACAGGGGAACGGAGGGGAAATACGGCTTCTAAATCCGGCCAGACACACTTTCCACGCATCCCCTCCTCCCACCTCTTTGCGACGCTCGTCGCCTCGGAAGTAAAGATCGACGACGATCGCCTATCGATTAGTAAAAGTAAATATCATATCAGGTCCTGCCGAGTCTTGTATTCAAATTCGAAAAACAGTAAACCCACCTCTTATTTGACAAAAAGATGTAAATTTAACTTCTAAAATGTCGAAACATGATGACGCCGTTGTGTCGATTTTTGGATTTTGCGTCGCGAAAATTTCGTATAGATTGTAATTCAACTTCATTCGAAGCGTGGGAGTGTACTCACGATGCGCGCCAAAACAACGTACAGACACCACTATACATCGATTTTCTAACTATAAACAATTGAAAATCTTCTTAACACTAGAAAGACTGAAACTTAGTATATACCTATATTGCCCAAACGCAGTCAAAATGACTGCAATGTGAAAGAACAACTAATGTGTAAAGAAATTTGTTTAAAATTAATTTTTAATATTATGAATTTAACAACTTGTTAGAACAAGTATCACTGCATAAAGATTCGAATATCAAGTACTACTTTAGCTTATTGAGAAACTGCAATTTATCAAGTATACGCCCAAATCGACAATTTATCATGTGTTGGTAATCGAAAAAAAATGAAAACTGTTATTTCAATACAGAGCCAAACTGGTCATATGAGAAATTTACTCGATTCAATAATAAGAGTCATTTGATTATTTAAAATTTAGGCAATATATATATATATATATATATACTGGAAATGAAGGAGGGGGGAGGTAACTACAATTATTAATAAACGCATTTATATGTTGTACAAAAAGTCACAAAATTCTAAGAAATTGTGTCATTAAATACATAATTGTTTTTCTAATTGAAATTAAAAAGCAGTCAAAATGACTTTCTTGGGCAATCTAGTGTTAAGTAGTCAAGAAAACTGTATGTTAAATTTGAAGAAACGAATCGAGCCTCTAATTTTCCAACTTAAATAAATAGTTTTTTTTCTATTTTAAAGTTCCTCCAGAAATGGACAAATTTAGTTATTAACGTTCGTAACTGATTGAACGCCATTGTTGCAACAGCTCTTGACGCAAGTCCTTGGTTTCCTTTGTAAACTGATTATTTAAAAATATCGAACAAGAAACCCAGTCGCGATAAAATAGTAATCGACTTGCTTTGAACTCACAAGTTGTAACGGTAATGTTCGTTGGTGAAAACGAAACACGTACCAACCTGACAGCTCGTAAGTGCTTCGAAAAGGACGAGAAACGCAGAGGGTTCGGTCAAAGAGTACGAAACAGCGGAGAGAATCGTGATAGTCCCTTCTGAGAACATTCTTAACGAAGGATTGCTGCACGTTAAACAGAGTTAAAACGCTAGAACGCACAACGATCGTTATTCTCAGCGACGGGAATTGATGAGCGTAATTCGCGGTGAAATGACAGTGGACGCGAGCATTCCGAGGAATACGAGCTTGGAGAGGTTCCAATAGCGAGGAAATCGGGAATGAAAATACCGTTTTGTTCCCTCCCTCCTCCTCCTGTTTATGTTTGTCGAACTTGTTGCGCGATTCCATGCAAAAATCGAAATCTTGCCAGGGAACGATGCGTGGCAACTGGGAGGAAAAAAAGGAGTAATATGTAGTTCTGTTTTCGTCGCGTGACTGAAGAAAGAAATACCGAGAACGTTCGCGTCGTTTCCCATGAATCATTTCGCCAAAATACGGCACGAGTCTAATGGTTAAATATTCTCGTCGGTGGACAAAATTCTTGTACTTTTTAATAAAAAAAGAATAAATTTACTTTTAAAAATAAATTGTAGATTTATGTGACAGTTTTTTTACATTATAGTATACTGTATAAACTTTAGAATACAGTTACATTACAATTCTTTCGTGAAATGGGACCGAGAAATTCTTTCGTCGAGAACAGTATTGTGCAACATATTACATGCGAGATTCAAGGTAATGCAAGAATCGTAAACGAATGCACTTTTCTCCACGGGCAGACTGGTGGGGAACAATCGCGAAGAAAGTAACGTAATTTTCCACGAGTCACGGTTATAGTTACGACTGTAAATTCCGAAATCTACTCAATACGGTTTTGTAACAATGGCTTGGCCAACCGCGCCTTGGTCGTTTTTTAAAAATACACTATTAACTGGAATTTAATAAATAATATAAATACTTGTATTTTCTCTGGTATTACGAATCATACGTAAATTTAAATTTAACTTTGCACGAAGAAACAAATATCAGAATTGCGTAACTTCAAACAGTCCATCGCATCGAAGCGTTTTCGTAGATGCTACAGCCTGTAAAATCGTTCGTTTGTTTCCTCGCGAACTATCCAGCAATTTTGGCGTGTCTAAATTTTATCGGAAGGTCGCTGGTTGCGAACTCGACGAAAGAGACTCGGCACGGCCAGACCCAAAAATATCAGTCGCTTATTCGCCTCTGATTCACGATTATATGATACTTGAAACTCCGCCACTTATAATCTTATCGATGCAATTACTTTACAAGCAATTACAAACGGCAATTAGTTCCATTTTCAGTTAGACAGATTTTTTCGAATTAAAATTTATATTCGTTGGTCATGAATAAAATTTGCCTGACCATGTTATAGGATTAGCCAAAAGATCGACGCATATACTTTTTAGGTTTACATATGGCACAAATCGTTGCATACATGGTACAGCTCGCTGTTCGACTACTATACTAAAAGAAAAGTTTGTGTGTAAAAGTTTCTTGATTTCGTTCGACATTGACTCGCAGTCTGGCAAAGTCGGTACTCAAGTTTGGCTCGCAAATGTCAGTCAAATTCGATGAGTGCCAGCGGTGGCATCGCATCTAAAAAGAATACAGGTCGCGTGTGGGCCGCGAGAAATCGCATACAAAACATCCCAACACGCAGCTAACAAAGCCGTATTCGTTAGTCGTGACAAAGTCAGCTATTTCGCGCGACGATGTTGCACGCTGCTAAATCATCATTATTAATAAAGCGAGACCACGATCTCGCGTTACGTGGAATTTAAATCATCGCCAGATATTTCAACAAAATCGTTATAATCGTTTGGCGAAGTTTGAGAAATTTCTTGGTAAATTTTTAAAATAAGCATTGTGGAAATCTATTATTAAAGTTAATTTCGAAACTTCTCTAATAATGTGGAATTCATCTCAGATATTTCAAAATATAATGACAATAAAGTAGTAGTTTCATCGTACAATACCCTAACCGTCACGACATTGAATGGCCGGTTAAGGAGTGTATATATACGAATAGGTCGGTCGAATACTTGTGAGAGAGCGTAGCCCTCTATCGGCGAACGCGAAAAGCATCGCCACAAAGTTAATGGGAGATTCTAGAGACCAAAATAAGACGAAAATGAAGAATAGCAATTTGTTGATCGAGGCTTTGTTAAAAAGTTATTAACGTTCAAAGTTCCGCCTGTAGAATGGCGATCTGTAGTGAATTTTAAATCTTAAGTCTTTTGTCTACCTGTTGTCCACTGAATGGACGTTTATTAGATTGTACAAAGGGCCGAAGTACGGTTAATCGACTTGGTTTTGGCAACGTTGGCCCACTAGCTCGCGCACCTCGACGTTATGTGTATAGTCGAATCAAAGAAGACGGTTGGCTTAAAAATAACTCGACAAATTCGTTGAAAAGATCTAGCCAGAGTGGGAAGTTTGAGAGTTCGTTCTCCGATAGAATGGTGTGTCCCTCGTAGTCTTGAAACAGCTGATCGTGACGGAAGCGAGCCGTCAGCTTGGCGTCGTAAACAATAACGACGAAACGACCACGATAAAGCAGAACGAATATTATCCAATGAGGTCGCGGATAGTCTACCAGGAATGTCCATGAATATCCAGAGTTGGTTTCAAATGGTGATTGAACTGGAAATGTTTTTGCAATAAACATTTCCAAATATTTTCCCAATAGGACAGCGTTCGTTTTAAAGAAGAGAGAAAGAGAAGAGAGGGTAAAGAGAAACAGCATTAGAAGCTGTTTTATTTTGGTCAGTTTGGACTGGCTTTGCGTAACGTCCCCGGCGATTGGTCGAGGTGCATGTAGTCCGGCCGGCGTAGACGCGTCGCGTCGCGTCGCGTCGCGTCGCGGCGTTGGGCGCCGCGCAAAGATAGTTGCTCCTAAAATGGCCCACGGTAACGCGATCCCCATCTGGATGCAAAAATAGGATCCCGTGGTTATCCGACCACGTTACATCCTTCACCCGCCCCCGTCTCCATCCCAGTGAGAATGGGTACCGCTCTCTTTTTCGCCTCGACTCTATATTTCATTCTTTTTATTGCACCGGCTCCCCGCCTGACCTTCTAGCCCACAACTCTTCGGGAACCACACCTTCCATAGCACACCCCGGCCCCCATTTATACCCAAAGATATATCAAAATTCTTTCAAATTATTCCCCAGAGTCCAACACTTTTTCTTATAGTTATTAATACTTTAATACTACATATTGGTGGTTGAGTATTTATTACACAATGGATACATCGCGTGTGAACGTGGTTGGGATAATTCTTTGAAATTATTCACCAGAGTCGAACACTTTTTCTTATAGTTTGGGAAAGACCACCATTAACCCCTTAACGTTCATGCCCGACTCTGACTGCTTTGAAAAACAATATTTGTTTAATCCAACGGTTTAAGGGATGATAGTATTTGTTTTTCTTCAAATTATACGTTAGATACAACATTGTAATTAACAAAAACCGTATTTTTAGAAACAAATCCAGTAAAGAAAACTGATCATTGTTGGTTAACCCGAAAAATATGAGCGTTAAGGGGTTAACACGAACGTATTTGATGTAGTTAATAATGCTTTAATACTACATATCGGTGGTTGAATATTTATTACACAATGGATGCATCGCGTGTGAACGTGGCTGGGATTTCAGAGCGATAGCGTCATGGCTTCTAGTATCCACTTAATCGCGATAACGAAAGTGGCTTTAGCGACGCGCACCAAGATTGGATCGGAAGTTTATTTTCGTTGCGCCCTCCGTGTTGGATCTGACAATTAATTCCCCGTGGCTGGCGCCCGCGTTACATCGTTGATCGCATTGTACGCGTAATTTGGGGGCCGTTGGAAGTTGGAAATGTTTCGCCACGGGAGTTGCACGTCGGCGGTCTTCGAAAAGAAAACAACCAGGATTACTCACTAAAAGCGAAGTCCTTTATTTTTACGTCGAAGCTCGCCCCGATCAAGTGGCACAGATGTTACCTACCGATGATTCAGTCGACTTTATGCAATTATCGCGATACAACGCAAACTCTGTTAACCCTTTCCGATGTAGTTTATCAATCAGTCCATTATTAATAAATGATTTTAAACTTTATTAATCCGATACAAGATACGACACTATTTTATCTATAGTATGAATATAGCTAGAAACGTGGCTTGTAATATAAATTAAATGAATAGGAATTTTCAAAGTAGCAGAGGGGTGATAACGTTAAGAAAAATTTCTAAAATGATAAGAGTATGAATGTTTAGACAGGTAAAATACATCAGCGATTACATTAATCGCATGATGACCTTTGCTGTGTGCGAATAAGGATACCAAAAAATTAACTGAGTCATCTCAGCATTGACCTATTAACCACGCACTTTGCGAGCCTTCACGTATTTATCTTACAATTTTTACGACTACGTCAATGTTTCGAACGTCAATTTCAGAATTTTAAAACACATTCTTGACGCCAACAATTTTGAGAATATACAAATCTAAAAAATAGTTGAAAAATGCCATTTTTATATCGAAGTTATCAAACGACCACGTTTCCATTTTTACAGTTTTCGACACGTATGCGTAAGAAAAGATAAATCGAAATTTGTACAGAGTGTTGCAGACCCAGGTGTACTTTAAGCGTAAGTGTTTTTAGTTGCACCAGTTGCGGCTTAATTGGCTGGCACAGCTCGTAATAAGGAACAGATGCAGTAGATTTTTCTTATAAATAGTAGTAGCTTGTGAAAGCAGCATTTATTTATAGAAGGTGTTCAAACTGTCGGCTCTTCGTTTCAATATCAGCTCGATCGTATTTGCATACGATATTTTCAAATTATTTTTCTTTTTTTCCAAGTCCCTAAACAACATTAATCCACGAGAAAACATATTTGTTCCAAGTAATGCGTTACTTGCTGACATTCTGAACACGTACAGTACGATAGAACTTCGATAATCTTGAAAATTGATGCGATAAGAAGGGACACCATTTATACAGGTTGTTTATTTCGTTGAATAACAAAATGTTTATTCATTTTGTATTTTCTACGCGTGCAACAGTAAAGAGAGCAGGAAAAGTTGTAAAGATACGAATATGATGATGAATACGGATCATCAGGATTTTGCGTGAATGGCGCCTCGGTGTTTAATTAGCGAATTGACTTAATTGGTTGGCGTCCAGACGCAGATGAGCTTGTAGAAAAATACGTGGCCGCCGTGGCGCGTGACGACAGCAGAGAAACAAACGGCGTCAACGGTTCGTTTCCTCGATTCGTTCTAGTCCAGTTCAGAAGAATGAGAGGAAATGCGGCTCGAGGAAAGATGCGTGTCCAGAAATAAGAGTAACGAGCTTCGCGAAAGATTCGGGCGAAAGCACGGACGCCCATTTTTTCTTTCGTTTGAAACGCCGCGGCGCAAATAAACAAACGAAATCTCTTCGAAACCATGTATATATTTATAAAAGAGAAAAAACGAGAAAAAAAATGTAGAATTATCTCGTGATTGTTACAAGATAATTCCTAAAATCTTTATTTTAATTTCTATTTTCCTTAAATTTCTTACTGAAAGTTACTTATCGAAGACAAGACATGTATTAAAAAACTTTTTTAAAAAGATCATTTGTACAATTCTATTATGCAATATATTATAATGAAAAAATACAACTGAGATTCCTTGAGGGCTCTGACAAATAGCAGAACATGAATCATATTTCTATAAACAGTTTAAAATCTGTTGTCTTGATTTGTTGACTACCGATGGCTAATAATAGTTATTCTACTTATTTATAAATTGTAATATCTCATTGAACGACGAAGTAACGTATTATTCTTTCTCTCTTTGCAGTTGAAGGGGAGATTGTGATGCAGTCGACGCCCACGGTACCAGCGTGAGTACTTGGATTTATGTCCACTTTTGGCGAACATTAATATTTAAATATTTATTAACTGTAAACTTGAGTATAAACTGAAAAAAATGATGAATCAATGGCAGTTGTTGCAGTTAATAGTACTACGAATAGTTAAACATAAAAATATTTGTCAATTGTAGCAATAGTTAGCTGAAGTAAAAATAATAAATTGAGAGCATTAAAATATAATATATGTATATGTAGATCGATTTTAGAAGCAAAGGAATTGAATGTAAATTTTTTATTAACAAATTAGTTTGATACTTTAACCTCTTCAGGGTCTATTTATTATTGACAGTAACTATAATTATAAAAAAAAAAATTAAACGTCCACTTATGTGGGCAAAGGCGTGAAGGATCATTTAGAAAATATTGTTGAAATTAAGAACGTTTGCACAGTTTTACTGGCAGGCCCGGCGATCCATCGCCGCCGGTCTTTGAGCAGATCTTCAAGAACGCCAGATTCGCGCAGGGAGGAAATGCAATTTTCGAAGGACGCGTCAGAGGAAACCCGAAACCCACCGTTTCCTGGACGCACAAAGGTGCCCCGTTATTGGAGTCATGGAAAATTCGGATGTCGTACGACGAGAAAACCGGAGCACTTACTCTTCAGATTAATCAGATTGGCCCTGGAGACGAGGGTGAATACACGTGCAGTGCTAAAAATCAATATGGTAAGTTTTCCACATCACCATACTGATCAGCAGCTTTTTTATACGTTGCTGGGAACAAAATAAATGAGAATCATTTCCTCTGCTTAGGCGAGGCGATCTGCTCAGTTTACATTCAGCCAGAGGGATTCGGACCTCCGCAGCAGCAGCAGCAGCAGCAGACGGGTGGTTACAGGAAGGAATACGCGCAGTCTTTCCAATCGACCGAACAGAAGAGTCAAACCGGAAGTCAAAGTTTCCAACAGCGCAGCTATCAGCAAACAGTTGACAAACGAAGTTACATGAACGGATCCTCCACCAGCATCGAAGATTTTAAGGTTTCATATTTTTCAGTTCCAGTCACACATTCACTTAAGCTTTTCAATTTTAATTTATTTTACTTGGAAAAAGAAATTTGTCGACATGAAATCCGTAATGCACGATAATTCTAATAAAAAGAGTCGAAAGACTATAAAATTACTTGACACTTTTCTTCTTCTGGTTCGTGTAAACATTTCGGAAGATTATGGAAATGGAGGAAGGTAATCTGATGGATTTGCAGGTCGACACATTCGAATACAGGCTGCTGCGAGAAACGGAATATCGAGAGTCGATTACACGCCGCTTCGTGGGCGAATCGGACGTGCAGATTTCGACGGTGGTAGATCGTAACCTGGGACCGGTTGCACCTCCGCAAATCGTCCAGAAGCCCAGAAACTCGAAACTCGTCGAGGGATCTGACGCCGTTTTCACAGCGAAACTATCTGGCAATCCGAAACCGAGAGTAAATACAACCATTCGTCGTTTATTCTGAATTTTTTTTTCTCGAAAATGCGCACAATGGCACCATACCTACAATACAGGAAGAGAAGCATTGTATCTCTAACGTGTTCATTTTAGTTAACTTGGTTTAAAAACGGCCAAAGGATCCGAGAGTCGCAACGAGTGGAAATGAGCTATTCGAACCAGCAAGCCACCATGAGAATCAGAACGGCTTTGCCAGAAGACAGCGGCCATTACACCTTGCTGTCGGAAAATCCCCAGGGTTGTACCGTTAGCTCGGCGTATCTGGCGATCGAATCCAGCGATCAAGTGGATCAGGCTTACCAGCATTATCAGCAGAAAGAAGCGGTCAAGACTCAACAAGTAGAATCGACCGGCGAGTCCGACTCTGGCAAAGTGTTGCCGCCGAATTTCGTACGCACCTGCACCGATCGTGAAGCCACAGAAGGAAAGATGACCAGGTAAATCTTTCTTTTTTTTCCAATTAAAATTAAATTGCGTTGGATTACCGTTCCTTTCTTCGCGAGAAGAAATTTCATCACAGTAGAAAAGCATACTCACGGTTGCGTAAATGTGTTATTCAGGTTTGATTGTCGTGTAACCGGGCGCCCGTACCCTGAAGTAACATGGTACATAAATGACCAGCAAGTGGCCAACGACTTGACCCACAAGATTCTCGTAAACGAGTCCGGTAACAACTCCCTGATGATTACCAACGTGAGCCGCGGGGACGCTGGCGTCGTCACCTGCGTCGCAAGAAACAAAGCCGGTGAAACGTCGTTCCAATGTAACCTGAACGTCATCGAGAAAGAACAAGTGGTTGCACCGAAATTCGTCGAACGTTTCACGACCACGAGCGTCAAAGAAGGAGAACCGGTTGTTTTCATGGCGCGTGCGGTTGGCACCCCTGTACCGCGAATCACCTGGCAAAAGGTAAACCTGCAGGAATAATTCCCTGATATAACAATTCTGAAACTTGAATTATTTTGTCGCAAGAATCGAGAGAAATATTTAGACAGAAGGTATAGGAAAATTTGTGTAATTGTTCCAGGATGGCGTGCCGATAACACCCGGACCGGATGTGCGTATATTGACAGACGGCAGCGGAGCTTCGACTTTGGATATACCTTACGCGAAAATGTCGGATGCAGCTTGGTACCAGTGCACGGCACAGAACGTAGCCGGCTCCACAGCCACCCGAGCACGGCTCTTCGTAGAGACACCGAAAGGAACAGCCCCCGAACCAAGACGCCTGAATTTACCCCGACCGACGAAAGTCATCGAACCAGAGTAACTAGCTTTTTCTCTCTTATGGAAAGGAAACCAATTGACAATTTAACCCTCAAGTGGATTCTCAATCTCGACTGAATTATTTTACTTAATGTTGATTTTTAACACTGTTTTACTGTTATGCAAACTGGAAAAGGACGATGGTAAAACTTTAATTATATCTGTAATTTAATTTGTAAAGAATGGAAATAATCGGTGAGAATGTTTGCAGACCTGCGCCTGGCCCCGAAGTGATTTACTTGCGACACGTAGAACGTGCCAAGCCGTATTTGCCTCCACCCGAGGAGGACAGAGTTTATCCACCGCCACGTTTCATTATACCGTTGAGGGACGTCCATCAAATCGAAGGTGGACGAATTCACTTCGAGGCCAGAATCGAACCGGTGGGCGATCCCACCATGAGGGTAGAGTGGTACGTCAATGGAAGAGCTCTCGATGCAAGTGAGTACCTTTCACAAATCTTACGATTCAGTTTTTTCCTTTTTAACTTGTTGTGATTGCAGGTTCTCGAGCGACTTCCATTTTCCGATTTGGCTTCATCTCGCTCGATCTTATCAGCATCGTTCTTCAAGACAGCGGCGAATACGTGTGCCGCGTCGTTAGTTCGACTGGAGTCGCCGAATCTCGAGCTACCCTCAGCGTGACGCGTAAGTTACAAGCGTTTAAGATGGTTCCTTCTTGGTGTCCTTCCGTCGTTAGTACAAGGAGCTGAGAGTTTCGACGAATATTATTTGAAACAAATGACTGTTTCAGCACGCGCAACAATCGAACAGGCTAGTCAACACCCCGACAGCCTCCAGTACATTCAACAGCTCGAGGATTACAGCAAGTACCAAAGGCAGGAGAGTGTGGAGGAGATCTCTCCCCAGCGGCCGGCCTTCATCCGTCCACTCCAGGATCTAGGAGAGCTGCAGGAAGGTCGGAATGCGCACTTTGAGGCGCAACTGACCCCTGTTAGCGATCCCACGATGAAAGTGGAGTGGTACAAGGATGGTAGGCCAATCACAGCTAGTAAGTATCCTTCCATAAATCTTTACAGTTTAGTCTCCTGGCCCACTGTGGATCGGATAAGTAAAATACTGCCTAAATATTGTATGTACCGAATTCTAATAATTTTCCAGGCTCAAGAATCACAACCATCTTCAACTTCGGATACGTCTCGCTCAATATATTGCATCTACGAGCTGAAGATGCGGGTTCTTATACCGTCAGAGCTGTGAACCGCTTGGGAGAAGCTGTCAGCTCCGCATCTCTCCGTGTCTTTGGTAAAGATCTTATAATGTAATCGTTATTAACACTAAAGCTAGGTCATTACGCGACGGTTACGCGAATCGTTCGTTTCAGCACGCACAAATGTTACTTCCGAACTGGGAATCCCCGAGCAACAGAGGTACATCGAGGCTGCCGAGGAATTGGAAGCCTATCAACAGGCTATGCACCAGAAATATGTGCAGGAGCAGCCTGAACCGACCAGCCCACCGGAATTCAAATCTCCTATCAAGGATCAGAACAGCATACGAGAAGGCGGCTTCGCTCATTTCGAAGCTCGCCTCGAACCAGTCGGCGATTCCGATTTAAGAGTCGAGTGGCTCAAAGATGGACGCCCTGTAGAAGCTAGTCAGTATTCCTCACTCTGCAAATTAATACATTTTTATTAAATTTATATTTTGTCTAGACATTCGTTTCGAAAAGGTGAAGAAAATTCGAATTTCCCATATATCGCTTGCTAAAATAAAATTTATAATAATCTTCTTGCGAATTCATAAATACTTGGTTCGTTAACAAAATACACTTGTTCACCAGGTTCGCGAATCACGACTTTCTTCAACTTCGGTTACGTGGCGTTGACCATCAAGTACGTAACGATCCACGACGTCGGTGTGTACACCTGTCGAGCTTACAATCGCGCCGGAGAAGCACACACCACCGCTCAATTGAGCGTGATCAGCAAGAACGATGTCATCTATGACAGTCAACATCCCACTGGGCTTCAGAAACTACAAACGCTGGAAGACTCCAGCAGATATTCGCGAAAAGTACAGGAAGAAACGCAAGTTACTCAAGCACCACGATTCTTGGGAACCCTGAAGGGTACCAACAAGATCGTCGAAGGGCAACGTGCTCACTTTGAGGCTCGCGTCGAACCTCAGAGCGACTTGACCATGACCATCGAGTGGTATCACAATGGAAAACCCATCACTGCTGCGAACAGAATACAAACGTACCACGACTTTGGTTACGTTGCTATCGATATTCTTCAAGTTAGACCCGAAGATGCCGGCACTTACACCGTCGTTGCAAGAAATGCCCTTGGCGAGGCACGTCTATCTGCCACCATGGTGGTAGAAAGTAAGTTCTTTTTAATCTTTTTCCACCTTGGATAGAATATTGGTGGAAATTAAGAATGGCATAATTCTCCATTTCTCTTGTAACTTGTGAAATTATAAATTTATTTCGTACCGGAGTATTAATGAAACCAGAAATTTCACAAATAGGTAAATATATATATTCCTAGGATAGAAATAATAATTTTTAAAATGGATTTTAGCACGCTCAGGCGTGGATACCAGCAGCATGCACCGCACTTCCTACGAAAAGACGCAACGCCTCGAGGAATCGAAATTCACCGAGCCCCAATACCACATCGAGGAAATTTCGAAATCCAAGCCAATCTTCGTGCAGCCATTGAGCGACCCTAAGCCGGTCAGCGAGGGCAAGAATATCCATCTGGAGTGCCGTTTGGAACCAATGGGCGACCCAACGATGAGAGTCGAGTGGTTCCAAAATGGCCGCCCCGTCACCGTTGGCTCCAGATTCAGGACTTATTACGACTTTGGTTTCGTCGCTTTGGACATCGTGCACTCGACCATCCTCGACTCTGGAGAATACACTGTCAGAGCTACCAACCACCTTGGCACTGCTCACACGTCAGCTTGCGTCAGAGTGATCGGAAAGTCCGATGTCGTCACGGACACTCAACACGAGCAGTCGCTAGAGCAGATTCAAATGCTGGAAGATTCATCAAGGTGTGCCTCTATATTTAAATTAAGATCGTCGTATATATTTTAAAAGATGATTTTGAGATGGTTGACCCGTGGACTTTCATTAGTTTTTGTTGTTATAATGTTGACGCAATCTCGACTGTTACACAGGTACCGTAAAACTCAACAAGAAGAAGTGACGGTGATGCAAGCACCCCAATTCACACGAGCTCTGCACAACATCGAGACGGTGGAATTAACCAACGTCCACCTCGAGTGTCGTCTTCAACCGGTCGGTGATGCCACGATGAAGGTCGAGTGGTTCGTGAACGGTAGACCGGTGAAAACTGGTCACAGATTCCGACCATCGTACGAATTCGATTACGTAGCACTCGACATCCTTGGCGTTTATCCCGATGATTCTGGCGTGTACACCTGCCAGGCAAGAAATCAATTGGGCGAAGCCGTCACCTCGTGCTCGGTGAGGGTGCACGCGAAGAAGGACTTGCTCCTGGAATCACAGCATCCCGAAGGCTTGGAAAGAATACAGTATCTCGAGGATGCTTCGAGATACAAGAGACACGAATTGGTCGACGAAGTTGTCAACGTTAAACCCAGATTCGTCACAGCACCGAAGAACCAGGAAAACCTTCGCGAGGGACAACACGCGCATTTTGAATGCAAATTGGAACCGGTCACGGACTCCAATTTGAAGGTCGAGTGGTTCAAGAACGGTCGTCCAGTAACAATAGGTAAAGAAAAATTAAAGAGATAATTACTTTGACAATATTTAAATATTAAACACAACCGCTTTAATTATTCGTTGGATATTACATAGTTTAACATACATCAATTGCAGTGATGCAGTTATAAAATAAAAAAATTTGAAAACCATATTTGATCGACAGGACATCGATTCCGTCCGATTCACGATTTCGGATACGTTGCTCTGGACGTGATCGACCTGATCGCCGAGGATTCTGGAACGTACACCTGTCGCGCCGTGAATCTGGTCGGCAGCGACGAAGTATCCTGCACTTTGACCTGTCGATCGACCGCTCAAGTGTTGATGGACACCAAGAACGAGCTCAGTCTCGAACAAATTCATTATCTCGAGGACAGGAGCAAATACCAGCGACGCGAGGACGTCGAGGAAACGACCACCCAGGCGCCGATCTTCACCACTTCCTTAAACAACGTGGAGATCAAGGAGGGTCAGAGAGCTCATTTCGAGTGCAGACTGATCCCCGTGTCCGACGCAACCATGAAAGTCGAATGGTTCCACAACAACAGACCGGTCAAAGCAGGCTCCAGATTCGTCGAGACGAACAGTTTCGGTTTCGTCGCCCTGGATATCATGTACGCGTATCCTGAGGACTCTGGCACTTACACCTGCCGCGCAAAGAACATTATTGGAGAAGCAATTACGTCGGCGACCGCGGTCGTCCACTGTAAGTTTTCATTTTACTTGATTATTTAATCACTTGAACAAAGTGATGCAAACGAGTACATTGATTAAGTTTCTTATTATTTGTAATTATTTTAATAATTATTTTTCACGAATAGCCAAAAAATCGGTCTACTTGGAAACCCAAAACGAAGAGACCCTACAGCGGCTTCGTTATCTGGAGGATACTTCGCGGTACCAACGGAAAACCACAACGGAAGAAACCGTTACTCAAGCGCCAGTTTTCACGATGCCCATCAAGGACCTTAAAGTCGCGGAGAATCAGGCGGCTCATTTCGAAGCCCGCGTGATTCCTGTTGGCGATTCAAAGCTCAAAGTCGAATGGTTGCGAAATGGAGTTCCGATTTCAGCTTGTAAGTTACTTATTCAAAACGCAGCAATGATTCTTAAAACGAACCGTAGGTAGATGTGAACATTGACAAATTGTTACCGTTTGCAGCGAATCGCATAACGACGATGCACGATTTCGGATACGTCGCTCTGAACATGAAATACGTGAATCCCGAAGACTCGGGTACTTACACTTGCCGTGCAAGGAACGAACTTGGCGAAGCAGTCACGTCAGCGACACTTTTCGTCCAGTGTAAGTAGAGATCGTGCACAGAAAACGAGATCATCCCAAAAATGGAGCTTCAGTTTTCAGCACCGCTTCTCGTAAGCTACAGACGAGCTTCCATCACGTAGAAACAGCTGCGCTTACACGTAGAAATTTTTTTCTTTTTTGTATTTTCTGCACAGCAATTTTTCCCCCAATTTTTTTTTCGCCGAGATGTTCGTAGCAATATTTGTTTAAATATTTTTTGGTGGATTTTGGTGTCCTTCGCAAAATTCACGTAAACTGCACAAGAACATTCGAACATAGATCGTTCGCGCGATCGAGCTCCGCAGCCATCATTAACAGAATCACACACCTTCATCGACACTTCACGATATTCATACTCCATTTTCGGTATACTTGGCGATGAACATTTTTCATTAACGCTCGCTAAGCGATTTCTATCCGTCTTTTGTTTACTTCTACGATGAACTTTTCCAAAATAGTTTTTATGGTGGTACAGCAATATTTATTAACTCTTTATTCAATAAGTAAACTAATTTTTTATTTTATTAACAAAATTTGATACAAAATAAAGTTACCCTTCAAATAACCTTGAAACCGTTCACCAAATAAAAAATAAATAAAATAGTTGTGTAACTTGGAAATGGTAAAGTCCGTCCTGAAGAAGGAAAACGAACAAAAGGACGTTTCCTCGTAAAATGTTTAATCGCCAATTTCCCACGACTCGTACAAATACACGGTTTAAAAACTGTTCCCCGACACAGCCAAAGCAGCCCTGCAATTCGAGACGCAGCACGAGAGTTCGTTGTCGAAGATTCAGGCCCTGGAAGACACGAGCAGGTACCAGCGTATCGAGGAAGAAGAGTTCGTCGTTAAGGAGAAACCGTCCTTCACAGTCCAATTGAACGGACCCACCAACCTGGTCGAAGGACAAAGCGCACACTATGAGTGTCGTATCGAACCCTATCCCGACCCGAACATGAAGGTGGAGTGGTTCCATAATGGCAAACCACTGTCCACCGGTCACAGGTACAGAACCACCTGCGACTTTGGATTCGCTGCGTTGGACGTTCTGACAGTATACGCCGAAGACTCTGGCACCTACACCTGCCAAGCCACCAATAAACTGGGATCGGCCAAGAGCTCGATCAATCTTGACGTGAAATGTAAGTATCACCCTTCGAACGGACGAGGCCCCGAGACAATTTTGCAAACTCGATCTCGAGGGAGACGCGCGATCGCTCGAAGCGAGATAGAAGTATCAATACTTTGATCAAAACGTGATCAAGATAATAATTACTATATCGCGTTGATACTTCTACGAGCTTCCGCGATTACATGCCCCGGGGACAGCAGGTGGATGTAATCACGCATTTTGTGTTACTTAGAAACCCTGTCTGTTTTGCTTCTAGTACCCCCATTGCTTTCAAACACAGTTCCTTGCTTCTGTAAAGTATCTATATACATACGTAAAATGAATGGCCACCCTTCTCCTTTCTGGGTGTTCCACGTTGTTTTTCTCGTTGTTTTATTTAGTTTTATTCGTTTACGCCTGTTGTACGTTATTCTCGACCCTTCTGTCCTCCAAGTGCACCTCTGTGTCGATTAGACCCGGTCGTGTTAATCGATCACACCTTACAGCCCGCTCCTCGATCATTCGCGAAACGCAACACGAAAGTGCCTTGAAGAAAATACAGTACCTCGAAGACGATTCGCGGTACAAACGCACGGACGAGGAAGAATTGATCGTCGCGGAGAAACCAAAGTTCGGCCGTCCGCTGAAGAACATCGAGCACCTGCCCGAGGGCAAGAGCGCCCATCTCGAGGCGACCTTGACCCCTGTCAACGACCCCACAATGGTGGTCGAATGGTACAGAGACGGACGACCGATTCCGCAGGGCCACAAGTTCAAAACCACTTACGATTTCGGTTATGTCGCTCTCGATATCCTCTACGCTTATCCAGAAGACTCAGGAACCTACATGTGCAAAGCAAGAAACGCTGTTGGCGAAGCTGTCACCACTTGCGTCATCAGTGTCGACTGTAAGTCAAACAGTTTTATTCTCAATTTTATTCTTGACTTAAAAATTTTGGTAATCTTTACTGTCTCTAGGGCCATTTCAAATGGTACATTCTTTAAAATAATATTTCAAATTTTGCTGAATTTCGATTGGTCAATATTCAAACAATTCAGCAATTGAAACAATTTACGATCTCGAATATCGAACGAACCTCCTTAACCTTTCGGTACAACCAAATTCATAAGTCGACCAGTAATTATTCCAAAGTATGCGTTTAATGTCGATGAAAAGGAAAAGTTCAAGGTTTCGGTGTTTATCCTGAACAGCTAAACAAGGACTTTATCTGGACACGTTGGACGCCCAGCGTTTGCAGAAGATTCGCGAGCTAGAGACCGTAGAGGTGAAACAAGAGGTTGAAAAAGAAGTTGTACACCAGAAGCCCGTTTTCCTGACACCGCTCAACAACCTGGATCACTTAAAGGAAGGTGAACACGCTCATTTAGAATGCCGAGTCGAACCCATCAACGATCCAAATCTCAAGATAGAATGGTAAACGAAATCGAGAAATTATTAATTTAATATTTTCATGATCGTCGAATCGATCGTTAAATCGGGCGAATTTAATTTTCCATCAGGTTCGTGAATGGAGTCGCTGTGAGAACCGGACATCGGTTCCGCAAAACTCACGATTTCGGCTATGTGGCTCTTGATATTCTTTACACGTACTCTGAAGATTCTGGTACTTACATGTGCAAGGCTACCAACTTGGCTGGCGAAGCTGTCAACACTTGCACCATCAAAGTTGGCTGTAAGTATTCAAAACTCGAGAATTCTAGATCCAAAACAATTTTTTTTAAAGGATAAAAAATTTTCTATTGGCTTCTGACAAAAAGTTCAGAGTTTAGGTAATAAAAATCTTGGTGATTGAGAAACTGTACAATCGAGAACTGATTAATCGAAAATCGCTGTTTTAGAAAAATGAAATTTTGTGTCAAAAAAGAAAATAGTACAAATTCTGCAATTTTATACGATTAATTAGCCAAGCACAAGCGTTATCCTCCTCCACGCTTCCGACCCCTGAAACTCCCTGAAAAAATAAACGATGAACAGCCTACTCGGACAGAAAATTCATCGAGCATGAAACCTAGATTCGGATCATTTTCGTTGGCGACTCGTAGATGCGACAAACAATTTACAGAACCTCGTAAAATGGAGGAAAATTACATTTGTCAAAGAAATCGGTGCGAAACAGCGATCGATCGATGTTGTAAAACGTACCCTAACGACGAAAACTATTTTGGAACGAGAAGAAAATCCGAAATGAATTTTGAGAAATATCGTAGCGAAAGAAATCGGTTCAGAAATACTTGTCAGAATCCAAAGTGTCGACACGTTACGTTTCAAGGCTTGGAAGAAAGACCGTATCGATCACAACTGCTGAAAAATAATAGAACAAATCGATGGTTTTAGTTCCTAGGCATTTCAAACCAGTAATTTATAGAATCTTTAATTCGTTTGACCGTACCATATTAGCGAAACGAGTAAAAATATATTTAACGAGAAATTGTTCTTCGTAGCTCGCCGCAGTATTCTTCTGGACACGCAACATCCCGATGGCCTTGAAAAGATCCGCGAACTCGAGGCCCAAGGACATCCAGCCCGTTTGGAAGTCGAAGAACCACCTGTCACACCGCCAAGATTCGTCACAGAACTCAGGGTAACATTGCCTTTATCTACTTTTATAAATACAATATAATATTTTTTATATAAAATTGCAGTTTTCAGTTTATATGGGCAAATTCAATAAATACATGTTTAGAGAAAGATATGTTTTAATAATTTTTTATAAGGACGAACTCAACAAAAAATTCTTGTATAATTATAAAAAAAATATTTGTTTATTATTGTTCAGGGTACTACTGAAGTATACGAAGGACAAACAGCTCACTTCGAGTGCCAAGTGGAGCCTCTTCACGACGCCAATTTGAGAATCGAATTCTTCCACAACGGCAAGCCTCTGCCATCGGCTTCCCGGTTCCACGTGACGTTTGACTTTGGATACGTGGCCTTGGACATTGGTCACGCGGTCCCCGAAGATGCTGGCCAGTATTCCGTGCGAGCGATTAACGCTCTTGGTCAATGCGTGTCTTCGATCGAGCTGAGAGTTATCCCGAGGGATAACATTATTCTGGACTCTCAGCGTCCCGAAGGAATGGACAAAATCCGTGAACTCGAGGCACAGCAGCCTTGGAAGAGACCAGAAGTACCGGAACCACAAACAAGACAACGACCTGTCTTCACTCAGCCCTTGCAGAACATCGATGCCATTCCCGAGGGACAGACTGCTCACTTTGAGTGCAGACTGATACCCGTAGGGGATCCTACCTTGAAGGTCGAGTGGTTCAGAAATGAAATTCCGCTCGAGACAAGTAAGTCTACGTTCTTGTCTTCCTTTCTCTTGATAGAACAATACAAACTACTATTAGAAAACGAGGATGATCTCGTCTCCCACTAGTAGGTGTTCCAGCTGAAAGATGAAAGTTCACACGATCTGTTTCGTTATTTAGGTTCACGAATAACCAAGGTTCACGATTTCGGTTACGTGTCCCTGGATATTAATCATGTACGAGAAGAAGACGAGGGTGTCTACATGTGCCGAGCTACCAATCCGCTCGGCGAAGCTGTCACAACAGCTTCGATGAGGATTAAGAGTCAGTGTCTCTGTTTACTTTTGTTAATGCATCGCGTAAACGTAATATTTACTAATTGAATTGCTCTCGTGCAGGTAAAGCTAGCATACAATTGGAAACCCAGCACCCTGAAGCTCAGCGTAAGATTGCCCAACTCGAAGCTGACAAACCGAGTCGACCCGAAGAGCCAGAGAAAGTGTTTGATAAACCCATATTCACGCAGTTACTGACCGGACCCACTGAACTCTGGGAAGGTCAGATGGCTAGATACGAATGCAGAGTCGTCCCTGTTGGCGATTCCAGTTTGAGATTCGAATGGTATATAAACGGAGTCGAATTAAAAATGGGTAAGAATCTGTTAATACGTTTAAAATGCAACAATTAGTATCCTTAGAAGTTACTTTCTTCTTACAAGATTATTCATTGTCAAACAGGTTCTCGTTTCCACGTAAATCATGATTTCGGATACGTGACCTTGGACATTCTGAAGGTCATAACAGAAGATTCCGGTGTGTACACATGTAAAGCGATCAACAAAGCTGGAGAAGCTGTTTCCTCGATCTCTCTAAAGGTAAAAGCACGCTCAGCCATCGACGCTGACAGTCTTCAACCCGACGCATGGCAAAAGATCCAACTGAAGGAAGCAGAAATGAACAAAGTGCCAGAAATGTTCGTCGACACGACGCCGCAGCAAGCTCCAGTTTTCACGAAGCATCTTGAAAGCTACGATAAACTCGTCGAAGGGCAACACGTATACCTGGAGGCTCAAGTTGAGCCAAGAGCAGACCCAAACCTCCGCGTAGAATGGTTCAAGAACGGAGTAGCGCTTCAAACGGGAACCAGACTTCGTAGCACCTTCGATTTCGGTCTCGTGACGCTGTCCATCAATGGATTGAGGGACGACGATTCAGCGATTTACACCTGCAAGGCCACCAATTTGCTGGGAGAAGCTGTATCCACTTGCAGCTTGAAAATTGTCGACCGTCACTGGTTGCTCGGTGACACTCTTCATCCCGATGCTCTTCCAAAGATCGATGCTCTGGAACAGCCTCACGTTTCATCCGCCGAACAACCAGAGCCGATCTACGAAGAACCAGTGTTCATCACTCATTTGAACAACGTCGAGTGCGTCGAAGGTGACAATGCACACTTCGAGTGCAACGTGGAACCATCGAAAGACCCAACGATGAAGATCGAGTGGTTCATAAATGGAAAGCCACTTCCGACCGGCGCCAGGTTCAAATCAACCTACGATTTTGGTTACGTTGCTTTGGACATAAATCATGCCTACGAGGAGGACTCTGGAGTAGTCATAGTAAAAGCTACGAACTCCAAGGGCTCGGCCCAGACATCGGGCACCTTGAAATGTACCAGCAAACAAAATATTTATCTGCAGACTCAGCATCCGCAAGGAGAAGCTGGTCTGGAGAAGGTCAAAGAGGCGGAAGATGCCTACTTGTCCAAGTATAGGAGACCAGAAGACGGACCGGAACACGAATACCCGAAACCGATTTGGACGGTTCCCTTGCAACCGGAATTCAAACTGGGAGAGTCCGAGCCATTGCATCTGGAAGGACAAGTCGAACCGAAAGACGATCCAAACTTGAAGATCGAGTGGTACTTTAACGGCAAAGCCTTGGAGCATGGATCTCGCTTCAAGATGACCAGCGATTTCGGATTCGTCACCCTGGATCTGACGGACGTGTATGACCGCGACTCTGGAATCTACACCTGCAAGGCGTACAACAAGGCAGGCGAAGCCTTCACCTCGACGACCGTTTACTGCTCGACCAAAGAGAACATCATCGAAAGGTCGCAACATCCAAAGGGCAAAGAGGGTCTGGAAGCTATCCAAGATCTCGAAGAATCCCTCAAGCGGCAGGATGGTGCCCCGCCGGAGAGCGAGGAAGGTCATCCACCAGTGTTCACCTCTCAATTCGAGAACTTGACCAACCTGTCCGAAGGAGAAATTGCTCACTTCGAAGCTTCCCTTACTCCAACCGGTGACCAGACCATGGTCGTCGAATGGTTCTACAACGGAAAATCGTTGGAGGCTAGCCACCGCACCAGAACCGTCTACGCTTTTGGCATGGTCGTTCTAGAAGTCCTTGGAACGAAGATCGAAGACTCTGGTACCTACTCTTGCCGAGCCACGAACAAATGGGGTCAAGCCGAGATCAGCGTACAACTGGAATGCGTCGACAAATCCAAGGGACAGAAACCTAAATTTACCACGCAGATTCAATCGTTGGAGGGTCTGAAGGACGGCCAGTCGGCTCACTTCGAGTGTACCCTTATTCCAGTTGGAGATCCTCACATGAAAGTGGAATGGTTCCACAACGGGCAGCCCTTGAGACATTCTTCTCGGTTCAAGATGGTATCCGACTTTGGCTTCGTTGTCATGGATATCGCTGGAGTGATGGCGCACGACACCGGAGAATACGTGTGCAAGGCCAGTAACAAATACGGCGAGGATTACACCAAAGCAACTATCAAATGCTTCGGAAAGAGCGGAGTCTACCTCGATTCCTTGCAACCGGATTCTCTCGCCAGAATCCGCGAACTAGAGAGCTATGGTGGCGAACAACCGACAACACCAACCACCCCGGTTACCGAACCACCTAAATTCATCACCCAAATCGCTGACATCACCAAATTGGTCGAAGGACAATCAGCTCACTTCGAAGCTAGACTCACTCCAGTGGCCGATCCGGACCTCAAGGTCGAGTGGTACTACAACGGCAAGAAGCTTCCTCATGGACATCGGTACAGGACTTTCCACGATTTTGGCATAGTCATCTTGGACATACTCTACTGCTACGAAGAGAACTCTGGCGTCTACGAGTGCAGAGCCTTCAACAAGTACGGAGAGGACACGACGAAAGCAACCTTGAAGTGCTACTCGAAATCTAGCCTTATTTTGGACTCTCAACTTCCCAAAGGAATGGAAGGTGGCTTGGAAAAGATACAAACTCTCGAAGATTCGATGATTCGCACGAAAGACGAGAAGGTAGTCGAAGAACGTGGAAAGGCTCCAATGTTCACTGTACCATTGAGCAACATCGATGGCCTTCGGGAAGGGGAAAGCGCACACTTTGAAGCAAGACTTACACCTACTGACGATCCAAAACTAAAGGTACCGTCAGTTACTATGGTCACTTATCATCTTATCATCTATACTAACGCTTATCTTCTTACTAAATTACAAATTATTTAATATCGATTAACGGGCCTTTATAAATTTTACTTTAATTGACCGGCAGTTGAACCTTCGGTAAACCTAACCCAAACCTAACCTAGTAGTTGGTATACAAATATCAATAATAATATTAAGCGTAGCGGTAACTCGGCAGATACTGAAACTACAGCTCCATCTGACGGGTCAGCTGAGAAACTAGGCGAAGAACAGCGGCACTCTTATTCAATTAATCTCTAGTGATAGTTATTGTTAACGGCCACGTGCAACTGCAATACCAAAGAGTAAAATAAACGCAATTGATAATTCCATGAGTGTGTGATTAATACCCACGTGAGAATTAATATTATTGAAAATAACCCTTGGCCTTTCTAGGATTAAGTATCCAAAAATCTTCTGATTAGAAGTAATGTATACCAATGCAATCCTATTTATTTGCAGGTCGAATGGTTCTGGAATGGAAAACCATTGCGTACCGGGTCTCGTTTCCGAACCTTCTGCGACTTTGGCTTCGTTATCCTGGAAATATCGCCAATTTACCCAGAAGATTCGGGTGAATACAGTTGCAGAGCAACGAACGAATATGGCGAGGCAGTGACGACTTGCACCATGAAGTGCACCGGGAAACGAAGCATAATTCTGGAGTCTCAGCTGCCAAAAGGAATGGAAAGCACCATCGATAAAATCGCGGAGCTGGAAGGTCTCGGAAACGAGCCGAGCGCAGCTACTCCGGACGACGACACAGGAAAACCACCGGAATTCATCACGACACCGTCCGATTTGACTTTAACCGAGAATTCTCTGGCTCATTTCGAGTGCAGATTGACTCCCATCAACGACTCGAGCATGAGAGTCGAGTGGTTCCATAATGGAAAGCCTCTGCTGGCTGGTACCAGAATCAAGACGATCCACGACTTCGGTTTCGTCATCCTCGAAGTCGCCAATTGCTACCAACGCGATTCTGGCTTGTACACGTGCAAAGCAACGAACCGTCACGGCGAGGCCACCGTGTCTTGCAAGTTGCAAGTCCGTGGTCGTCAAGGAATCATCCTGGAACCTCAGTTACCATCCAACTTTAAGACTGGAACAGAGAGTATTCAAAAATTGGAGGAGGCCTTGTACAAGAGGGACGAGATATTGACCGAAGAAGAATCGCCAAACCCTCCCAGATTCACGGTCGAGTTGAAGGACATCGAAGTAGAGGAAGGAGCCTCCAGCCACTTTGACTGCAGAGTCGAACCGGTCGGAGACTCCACGATGCGTATCGACTGGTTCCATAACGGGCGATCGTTCGCAACGGGATCGCGAGTACACCAAATCAACGATTTTGGATTTATATCTTTGGACATGTCGTATACCTACGCCAGGGACAGCGGCGAATATGTTTGCAGAGCCACGAACAAATGGGGTTCTGCTACCACCAAAGCAACCATCACTTGCAAATGTACGTACCAAGTCGGAGAGAACTTTAACGATGACAAAAATCTCTGAAAAATGCCTTTGACGTTTCCTTAATATCGTAATAAACTAATTCTTTTCTCGTAAGACAACCCTAACAGACCCTGCCTTATACGCAGGGTATATACATATAGGAATAGGTCGGTCGAGTGCTTGTGAGAGAGCGAATGCGAGAAGTGTACAAGCGTCAACACGAGTAAATGTAAGGTTAAATACACACGTCGGTCGGCAGACTAATTTCTTGCGAAACGTCAAAGCATTTTTGCAGAAAGAAAATATGGTTATCCGTTACACAGATGATATTAACGAATGCTTGAATGTTTCAGCCAAGAAAACGATAGACTTTGAGTCTCAGCTACCATCGGGCATGAGCGGTGAAAAATTGAAGGAATTGGAACGTGGACCGGTGAGCGAGCCACCTGCCGAAGAACCACCGCGTCAACCACCGCGATTCATCACGCATATTCAATCCGCAACGGTCGACGAATCCGAACCAGTTAGGTTCGAGTGTCGCGTGGAACCGAAGGACGATTCAAACTTGCGTATCGAGTGGTATAGAAACGGAAAGCTGATTCCAGCTGGGCACAGATACAGAACCACGTACGATATGGGATTCGTGTCTATGGACATCTTGTACGTCTACCCTGAAGATTCCGGAGAATACGTTTGCAAAGCTATCAATGACCTTGGAGAGGACACTACCAGGGCATCGGTTTCATGCAAAAGTAAATCATACAATAAAGATCGCCAAGTATTTAATTTTAAAATGAGTATTTAATTTATAAATCTATTCCACAGGGTTGCCTAGCATTATCCTGCAAAACCAAGTACCAAAGGGTATGAAGAAGTCGGAGGCGTTGATGCAAATGGAGGCTACCATTAAGAAATACACCTCGGAAGTTCATCTGACCGAGGACGACCTCTACGACGCTGACAAGAAACAACCACCTCGTTTCGTCACTCAGATCGAAGACCAGACCGAACTCGTCGAAATGAACAGTACGAAGTTCGAGTGCCAACTGGCGCCTGTCGGCGATCCCAACATGAAGGTCGAATGGTTCTTCAACGGCAAACCTCTGCCGCAAAAGAACAGATTCACGCCTATCTACGATTTTGGCTACGTGGCGATGAACTTTGGCTGGGTGTATCCCGAAGACAGCGGAGAGTACCTCTGCAGGGCCACGAATCTTTACGGAATGGACGAAACACGAGCAGTAATCCGAACCGCTGGAAAGCCTGGCATTATCTACGAGTCCCAATTGCCAAAGGGCATGAAGAGTATCGAGAAGATCCGAGAGATGGAAGCTGCATGGCAAATGTAAGAGATTTTGTTTCACTTTTACACGATCTGAAATATGGAGTGTGCATGGGAATTTATAAAAAAGCAACTATTACACCGATCATTTTAAAATTTTTCACAAATACTGACTGACTGACTGACTGACTGACTGACTATTGAAGAATATTTAAAAAATTTCTTACAAACGATACGATTAATGGTTCTCATTCTGTGAACACATGCTTGATACACAGAGTACCTGAGGAAGAGGGTGAAGAGGAGAAGGTGCGAGCCCCTCCAACCTTCGTTAGCAAACCGGAACCCGTAACTGTAGAAGAGGGCGATTGGTCCAGATTCTGCTGCCGTGTCACAGGTCATCCGAGACCACGTGTCATGTGGATCATTAACGGTCACACTGTAGTGAACGTAAGTTGTAATTAAAAATTTTTCAGATTGACCGATTCTTTGATGAAGCTTTTCGTTAAATATTTTTATCGTTTACTCAGGGATCTCGTTACAAGTTAACATACGACGGCATGTATCATTTGGACATCCCCAAGACGAGACAGTACGATCATGGAAAAATTGAGGTTATTGCAAGGAGTTCGGTGGGTGAGACTCGCACGGAAACATCATTAACCGTGAAACCAAGAAGCGACGATTATCGTGGAGTGTTGAAGAACTCTCCAAGACGTAAGTTTATCCTGAAACAGGGACTCCATTACATAAACGTGTTGCATTCTTTGTGTTCCACGAACGTGAATATATTTTATTTCAATACACGTCGTTGTTTCGTCGTCGATTCTTCGAATTTTTATATTTGAACATCGGCAATAAAATTAATCAAGACTCGATTTTCAACGAAATGAAATTTCTTTGAAGAATGTAAACCAAAGAATGCAACCACATACAGAAAACAAATGATAATCCGCCAATATCGAACAACGGCACAATAATATACAGGGTGTTCGGCTACCCCTGGGAAAAATATTAATGGGAGATTCTAGAGGCTAGAATAAGTATGATTTTCGTCTTATTTTGACCCCCAAAATCTCCCATTAAAATTGTTCTCAGAGTTGGCCGAACACCCTGTATACCACACGAGAGAAAAGAAAAATAAAGTAAAACGCGGTTGTTCGACTTGATTAGCGATCGATAGAAATGGATCGCGATTGAAAGATGAGCGACAACCGAAACACAGTACATAAGATATCGATACGACACATACATTCTATTCGAGTACAGAAAACACTCGAAACCATTATTCGAACACCAGCCCTATTCCATGTCCTTCTCCTCGAAAACGAATGTTAACGAAAGGATTTGAAAGACTCACCTCATCCCCGAGCACCCCGAGCAGCTTCTTCTTCTTCTTCTTCTTCTTCTTCTTCGGGGTTTGGGAATTCGACGGGCATATTCGAGCAATGTCGACTAAAGTCAAAGGTATCGGCTACTTCGTTTCGCAAACCGGCATTCAGGTATGGAATAAACCATCGAGAAAGCAAACTCGTTCTTAAATTATTTGCTCATCGTTGTTTTTTTCAATTTTTTGTTGTCCGAATGTTATTAGATCTGCACGGAGAAAAATATATCGACGCGCGATTTCACAAACGATGTTTATTCGCTTATCGATCTCAAGCACCGCCGATTCGAAGTTAAATATTTTCCTCCGTGACTGAGATATATTCTATTGCACTGGAGAAAACGGGTTTATTGCTCATTGATTGATATATTGTTCTTAATATTTTTTTTAAGAATAATTCTCACTCGCTGCTTTTAAATCGCACTTCATCACAACTTTATTTAATGTATTATTTCTGCATACTACCATAAATCGGATCAATTAGGTGATTTGACATCACTGTGATAAATCACTATTAGTAATTTTGCACGCCATCTCTAGTACGGGGTAATAATTAGCCGAGCAGAGTCCGTATTTCTCAGAGTGCTGTCTATGTCGTGTTAGTATCAACGTTATTTATAATCCTTGTTCGCGTAGCGAATTTCTTGTTTTAAAAAATATATATGTCCCTTGTTATCCACGTTTCCCTCGTGTCGCGTTTCGTGGAACAGAGAGACGTCGAAAATGTATAAATTATCCACGCATGAATTTCGCAAATTGAAAACGATATTGAATCTCTGCACACGATCGCGAACTCTTGAAACGTTAGAAATTTCAGACCTTCCCCGAAGATGTGTTCAATGAATAAAGAATGAATTTACGAGATCTTATTAACCATGTGCTCTAACCTAAATTGTTCGGATGTCCACCTCTGTCTCCGGTACTCCGGTAGTCCGGTACTCTGGTTTCCGGGCATCTTGTTTCTCCCGCAGGAGACGTCGTTATGTGTTGCATCGCCAACAAAGTACTGTGTCGTATTTCCCCGTGGTTTTAGATCAATCTTTTTTCACGAAAATACAACGTTTCCTTGATCTTAACGCTAGACGCTCGCCATTAAAGCGTGCTCACTGAACCGAAACTGAACTGAAACTGGCGACGACGCATGCCACTAGAGGCGCCCTCTACAAGAACCCCATTTCACATTTCAATTGCGCCAACAATATTTTACGCCTAACGGAACATTAACATTCTTATACATCTTTGATTGAAAATATTCAATTTTATGATTTGAACAAACACGAGTGGTTTTTGCCAACTTGTGCACACTTAACAGATACTTAAGGTATCGTATAAAAACAATGATTGCAGTTCAATTAGAGGTTATCCTGTGTAATTTCGTGTTCGAAAGATACGGTGATATCTTAACAATAGCAAATTGTCGTTAGCATCGGGGAACGTTGTATTTTTGAGCGAAATAGAACGTTTCCGAGCCTAAACGGTTCACGTTCGTCTGGCATGCGTTGTCGGTTGCGCGGCCACATAAAAACGGAGGTCTAACACACCTTTTCCCCAGCGTGGTATGATTACGGGCTGACCCAATACCAATCGGAGCGACAGAACACAGAACTCGAGAGAGTTTTCGACGAGAGACACCACAATGTGTCCCAAGGAATCGAGATCGCGACCGAACACCTCGGCCAGAAGGTCATCAAAGAGCCTGAAACGGAATGGCAGAAGTCCGTCAAGAGCAAGAAGAACGAGGACTACTACAACAAGCTCATGAACCTGGAGGAGGAACAGGTCTTGAAGGAGTCTAGACTGAGGGAAACTACCCATCAATATGCCATCCCTGGTGAGAAGATCGTCGCCAACTCTATGGCCAAGGGAATGGCCCAAAAGTACGAAGAAACCTTGTGAGTACCTTTGCCGTTTTCGTTAAAATTTCTAGTAAAATATTTTATACATAGTTCTTTTTACCTGCTGTGATTGCGTTTCAGGGAGGACAAGAAGGACGAAACAACCGAGGAAACGGTGCAACAAACAACGACGAAGTTCGTGAAGAAACCGTTCGTGGCGGAAGTGGACATCGACGTGGAACGCTCGAAGGCCACAGGAAAATATCCTCCTGAACCATCCGAGTCCACGGTTCACGGTCGCGAAGTCCACGTGGCGAAACAAAAGCAGACCCAGAAAGAGATCAAAGGCGACTTGGAAATCACCCGAAAGATAACGGCGACGGAAACCACCGAAGTAGAACACAAAGCCAAAACGCAAGAGCGCGTTGTTCAGGGTCCTGCGAAACCAGCGAAACCGCCAGTCTTCACGAAGAAGATTCAACCTTGCAGAGCATTTGAGCAGGAGCAAGCGCGATTCGAAGTCGAATTTGACGGCGATCCATTGCCGAACATCAAATGGTACCGCGAAGATTTCCCGATTCAGAATTCGCCAGACCTCCAGATTTACACCTTCAGCACAAAATCGGTGCTAATTGTTCGACAAGTATTCATGGAGGATTCCGGTGTTTTCTCCGTGATCGCTGAAAATCGAGCCGGAAAGGCCAAGTGCAGCGCCAACTTGGTCGTTGAAGAACGCAGACGACAACCAGGAAGAGGAGGTGTAGTACCACCGAGTTTCCTCTCGACTATCCAGAACACCACCGTCAATTCTGGTCAACTGGCTAGATTTGACGCTAAAGTCACTGGAACCAAGCCTTTGGATGTCTATTGGCTGAAGGTAATTTATTTCTTTATCGATTCACGCCTATTTTCACTGATGATTCACTATATGAATGCAACAAATAAACTTTAAATATTGTAATTCGACAATCATTACTTGAGTATCAATAGATAATAAGAGTAACGCCAACAATCGTTCATTTTGTCCGTACATTGTTACAGAACGGCAAGAAGGTGACGGCAGACATTCGTTACAAGACTCTCGAGGAAGACAACACTTACACTTTGCTGATCCTGGAGACGGTACCTGAAGATTCCGGAAAATACGAGTGCGTTGCGTTGAACAGTGCTGGAGAAGCTCGTTGCGACGGTGAATGCACGGTTAGGGGACCTCAATCACCCGCGAAAACAGCGAAACCGACGACGCCTGGCGTCGAAAAGGCACCCGCGGTTCTAGAGCCGCTGAAAGATCAGACAATCAGAGAGGGAACTTCCGTTGCTTTTGCGTGCAGGATCACTGGAAAGCCGGTACCTACGGTGCAATGGAAGAAAGGCGACAAGGTGATAATAATATTTCCGAAAAACGACATTTTTTTCTACCTTTAAGTATAAGATAAACTTGATAAAGGAATTTTTATATTCTTTTAACGAAAGATTCTACTGATGCTAATATCAAAGTCATTCTCAAACATGTTGTTCGTTTATCGATTTAGCATATTCAGTGGAACAGTTTGGTTACACGATAGTTGTATGAATTAATTAATCTCTGCAGGTAATCAAGCCATCCAAATACTTCCAAATGCAGAAGGAAGGTGATCTCTGTACCTTAAGGATCTCTGAAGCCTTCCCCGAAGACGAGGGTGTTTACAAGTGCATCGCCAAGAATCCAGCCGGTGATGTAACCACGTCGGCCAATCTCAGAGTTCTTGGTGAGAATTGTCTTCGATTACTGAACTTGTATACCTAGTTTAACTTAATAAATTAACCAATAAATTCGTAACGTTTATTATCAGCTCCCGACGCGGCGGATGTTCTGCCCAAACTGACACCTCTGAAGGATCAAATAGTTCTGGAAGGGCAGCCAGCGCAATTTAAAACTCAAGTCAGTCCAGCGAAGCCAAAGCCAACGATCCAATGGTATCGCGAAGGTGCCCTCATCCCTCAGTCGCCTGACTTTCAGGTGAGTCGGAATTCTAATCCTATTTCGGGAACAATCTTTTCATTTAGATTTTTCCACTTTTCCATCCCCACCAGTTTTTAGAACTTGGACCAAGTTTGTTTGCAACTCTATCTCACTCGTAACCTAGTTGCTTTTTCAGGAATTGCCAAATGTTATCCGTGTTAGGCTTGATCGTATTATAAGGAAAAGTGAAAAATACTGAGAATGAGCGAAACAGAGAGAAATGTTCAACGTTCCTTTATTCTACTTTATTCAGCTACCTTCATGTTACCTTATCTAGCTCACGAAACCACTATGAAATTAGGATCCCTATTATTCAAAGGAGACAGGTGGAATATACATATGTAGTAGATCGGTTCGGTCATATATCGAACGTTCACTGTATTTTACCGAATGACTTGTGGAATTACTCGCTAAATGAAAGGAAACGTCTGCATTCCAGATGATTTACGAAGGCAATAACGCTGTGCTACTGATAGCAACAACCTACGAAGAAGACACTGGCACCTTCACTTGCCGAGCCACCACTTCGGCCGGCACCGTAGAAACCTCCGCCAAACTCATCGTCAAAAGTAAGAATTGAATAAGAGATACACGTTCAATTGCTAACACGAAGCGCGATTGAATCGACGGGATAAGCCTCTTGCGAAATGGCGGGAAAACGCGCGCACGTTCGAGACAATGCAGCTTTCTCAGATTGAAATTTCAACCAATCGAACGAATTTCTAAGCGAGAATCGTAAACCAAAGGGAAATTTCTAAAATTCACGAATAAACATATCAATATGTATAAAATAAATTAATAGAGACGACTAGGGGACGCGTTGTCTCGGACTTGGCACGCTTTTCCGTCGAACGCGATCCATCGAGGCCCGTGCGTATTTTTATTTTTTCTTCTCGCTTTTTTTGTTGTTTTCTTTAAATACCCCCCTAACCTGCCAAGCAAACTGTTACCATTTTTTTTCTACCCTGTATCTTCCCTGGCCACCCCCAATAATCAAAGTCTCGAAAGAACCCCCGGGGAGTTTGTACTAACTCGTCGTGTTTTAAAAGTAGACGAGCGAGTGAAACGAGACCGTAGAGTAGAGCTCTATCGGGTGCAAGAGGGACAAAGAAAGGATAAATAGAATGTGGATATCGGTGGGGAATGAACTGCGTGACGATTAAATGTCGCGAAGGTGGTGCTGATACAAAAATTGAAACGAATCGAAGCGTCGCTCGAAATTCTCACCGGTGATACGAACGTGGCGCGGACGAAATAAAATTAATTCACTATCGAAAGGTGCGATTCGCGAGCGAGACGCGTCCTCGCGACGTTCGCCGGCCTCGAATTCATCGAACTACCGAGTTTCTTTCGATTTTTGCGTTGTACATAAGCTCGATCCACGCAGAATCACGAGTGATAAGAGAATGTCGCGAAATCAAGCGAAACGTCACGTGACTCGTTTGCTCGTTCGATTTAGTGTCGATGTTCATTATAAAAACAAATATATATTTATCATAAAAATATATAATATATATATAAGTGTATACATTACCCCGATGCAATAAACAGTTAGTCATACCGACGAGAAATTTATAGTTAACACACATACACGCAAATCCCTTTTAACGTTCTATTAATCGATTATTTATTATTGTACAATGGAAAGGCCAATAAAAACAAATGTTTTAAGTACGTACAAGCCTCGTTTGTTGCCGATTCAACAATCTAGTGTTTCACGATCGATTAGTTAAGCGAATTTTTAGTTTCTAAGTGGAAGTATAAGAATTCTTTTCAATTATCGGTAAATGGCATCTCGAAATTCAAAGTGAAAGTTCATCATGCACGTCGAACACCCAAGTATCAATTAAACACCCTTGTTATACTTAAGAATTTAATATAATATACGCTCGTCTTTGGCTGGTACGTTCGCGGTGCCATAAATTCGGACGTGTTTTGCTTACGAAACGAACCACGGAATCGAAGCGGAACGCGGACCGTGACTCACGAACATCGCGGCTCGTAAAACAATTCGCGCCGTGCGTTCGCCACCCCGAAAATAATATGAAACCCGGTTGGGACACGCGACGTAGGAACAAAAATAGGCGAGTTGCATCGTTACGGGATTCTTAATCAGCGTAACGATCGATCAAACAATAAGACGTCAGAAGTCGGACGACGCTTGGCAGATTTATCGCGGCGAAAATAATAGAACGAGGAAACCTCGATGCCCGACTGTTACACGAGAAGTAATCATGTTCTTCTTCTATTTCATTCGCTCTCGCTCGCTATCCTTTTCTTCGACAGCTGTTGTGTATCATCGAAATAAATCGCGAGAAGGTGAAATTTAATTTCCAAAGGAACGAAACGAGGAAAAATAATTTTCTTCCTCGTTGGTCTACGTGTGGCGTAGAGTTTATATATGTATATATATATATATATATATATATATATATACCCGTGTTTTACGATGTTCGTTTCTGTTCCAAGTATCACCTTTCTCTCGGTAACTGGTTTAACGAGCGCAAAGAGGTAAACGTATTTCCTTCAATCGCTTCTGGTATCTACTCGAGTCGTTTGAAAATGAGGGACGGACGCAGTGCCGTGTGCACGCTCGGCTAGGCCCTCTTCTTAGGCTATTTCTGACCACGTGACGTGTATTACATTACCCGGCTATATTTGGTCGCCGGTTCAGAACTCCCCGAACACTCGGTAAATTCACGTGGGGTCTCTCGTTGGGTTCTCGTGCACTCCTACGAGGACTTTCACGTTTTATTCGAGAGGCATAAATATATTTCGCGACGACGTTTCGCGGAAACTAACCGTCGTACAAACGCTTCGAAATTCGATACGACGATGAAATGTTTTGAATTTTCTTTGCTTTTCTCACGTTTCTTCAATTTTAAACCGCGTCCAGAACATATTTCGTATTCTCGTACCAGAAACTACTGTATGTATACTTTACAAAGTAGAAATTCGAGTGTTTAGAAATTTAGCATTCTACGTAGGAGTTTGTGTTTAGATTACCAATGGCGTTCCACGAAGTAGAAGATTAATTTAGAATACTTTGCTCTAAACATAGAGCACTGTTCTTTATTACCAGACTCCCTGGGTTCTAGCGAGGGATCTTCTACGCGCTCTACCGTGGAAAAAGTAGAATAAGACCCATCATCGTGGACGCTGCAGCGTGACTAGCATGAAAGCTGCTTGCGTTTCGACCGAGCACCAAATGCTCGCCGAATGGAACGACGTTCCCGCGTTCTTCACTGCCTTTCGACTATAATCGTCCACGTTTACGTTACGTATACCTAAACAACTCGACAGAATGACTCGAATTGGAATTCAGACTTGGTCAGATTTTTTGAGAAAAGTTACATATCCCATATCGTTAAATCGTACATTTATTGATCATTATACTATTCTTAACCCTTTGCACTCCACTGGCGCCGCTATGGCGACAAACATAATACGTAGTATAGCTCGATTTAAGTTTCATTTATGACAACAGAAATTTAATATAGGAAATATAATTTAAATTATAGGTAATGAATATTTTGTTTAGTTTTAGATGTCACATCACAAAATTGCATTTAGTATTGCTAGTTGTTCATATTAATAATGACTTTCGGACTGCAAAGGGTTATTGTTCGAATCGAAGAATCCAAACGCGTGCAGAATTTAAAAAAATAATTGTCAGGATTTGGTATCTTGAGAAAACTAATCGTTGGTAATTAATGAGTGCATAAAGAGATATTTCTCGCATAATGAGATAGTGTTCGTGTCTTGTTGCAGTATTTGACTAGACTGCACCGTTACGACCCGACGCAAAATTAGACCGTGAATCCGACGCGTTAATCTCGGCCATCCGTCTGATTAATTGCGAAAGAGGGGTAGAATGGGTCGGGTCGTGGCAATTAAACACAGTTTCGCAGGCCAAAGCACACGTGGTCGCGGCCATCTTTCCGCGGGTCCTTTCTCGGTCGAGCGTTGTGCAAAATTTTAATTGGATCCTAGCCTGCACAATGTAGCTATTCGAACAGTCGGAATCATAACCCTCTATAATCCAAATTATTTTTGGCCTTTCAAAAATATTATATAACCGAACACTGATAAACATTTTTACCTCTTGCAATCTAAATCTATTCAAGCATGCTAAATTTATGCATCGATACTACTTATGAATTTAAGTGAACTTTTTTTAAAATAAAACTGATATAAAATAATAGAAAAGTTAAAATGTTAAAAATAAATTTAATGTAGTCGAGAAAAGAATTTTGTTACGGTCTTATAATTAATTTGTGATCCAAGTATACGAGTAGCGTAGAGGAAGAACACATTTTACAGGTAAATAAACACTTGGAACAAAAATAACTTGGCTTGTATTAAATAGTGCATACTATATCGGGGAGAGTGTCCTTAGATGGAATTCGAATTCAGCGATAAGAATGCTCGGATAACGAAGGTTCTTTGGTTAAGATCGACGAAGATCCAGTTTATGGGCGAGAAAACGTATTTCACGCATGGCGAACAAAGCATGGCGGCGATCTTTGGTGTCTCCTCCGTCGACAAAGCGTTAATTGCGAGATCAGCGCGGGAGAAAGAATGTATCAGAGTACCTGGCACGTTCACGTTGGCCATAAATAAAGATACGTCGCGTTCGGGCTAGCTGGGTAGGGACCAAGAAAACTTACACCGCTGTTCCATTCGTCTTCGAGGCTTATTAAATTTATTTCAAGCGTACAATCCCTCTCTTATGAGATCAGATCTATTAAACGAAACCGTAGAAGCGATCACCGCCATCCCTAAACCCTGAACAACGAATTCGAGATGCCAGATTGATTAGAAAGACCGTTACAGCGAGTCCTCCACTAGTTCTAAGTCTAACATAATCTATTTCTGGGCGAAACAAGATCCCAGAGTTCAGAGTCAAGAGATATCGAGTAACTTTTGTTCACAAAAAAACACGATAGTTCCTCGCTAATGTTCGCTGGATTTTTGGAATTGCATTGAAAATATGTATAATTGATAGAAATTTACTTTTCAAAATTCACATAAATTATAATAGTCTCTCTCTATTGTTGGCAGAGTCATCCTCTATAAGACTAACCATACTTTCTCCAAAAAAAGAGAACGAAATTTAAAAATAAGAAAAGATCTATAAAGAGCAGATGTTGAACGTATTACAAAGATTCGAAGCGATTAAAAATTCACTATTTTAAAGTTGTGGAAAAACTAAATTTGTAAAAAAGACTACGTATAACAGAAATAAGAGAGAATAGTAACCTCCTTGAGAACATTAACGAGGGCTCACGGTATCAGTTTCGAGCCTTAGGAAGTTGCAACGCCTTCCAGGACCTATCTCTCTTTCTCCCTACTATACAATTTGGCGTGAAACCTATTATGTAAATATAAAATATGTCTACGGAGGAATTGTTGTAAGTGATTCGTAAGGATCGCGTTTCGAGTAGTAGCGTTCGATTAGTCAGTTCCGTGGACGTTGGGGGGTGACAACGACCTTGAAGAAACGACCACCTGAGGCTCCGAAGACAACTGCCAAGCGGCTAGCAGAGCATCTGTCAGAGGGTCGAAAAAGAACGCGGTGATTCATCGCGGACGGATCTTCTTTTCCGCGGCTCACCTTCGTCTTCGTGACCACCCCCACCGACTCGACGTGGTCGTTCGTCGGTCTCGGGCCGAGCAAGCCGACTATTTCGGCCATCCCAGCTGCCAGTGATTCAGCCACGCCAGAAATAATACGGCGGAGCGCGTGTCAGCGCACTCTGGAAGGCGGGAAGGAATTATTTCTGGTAAATCCGCAGCTCGACTCTGCATACGCGAGACCCAAGTTTCGAGGGTGTACGAAATCTCTCGATGGCGGACATTTTTCTTTTACGCTTCGAAGCCATCGATCGCGACTCGATGCTCTCTGTTCCATGGGGGAAACTAATAAAGAAGATTTCAAATTAATTTCCTGGAAGCCATTTTATTCTATACAGTCAGCTTGATCGAGGGCAAATAAAATATAATAAAAATCATAAACATTATTGCTTCGATCAAATATCTTTGTCGAAGAGCAATTAATGTAATTTATTTAAAATACTGTTGTTGCGATTGTTGTCCAACTCGGTGGATCGTAGAGTTGTGCTTGAACGTCTGAATCACTGGCAGCCGAAAAGCAAGAAACGAACGAAATAACGAAGCCTGAAAAAAGAAAAATTGGGACAAATTAGCGGAGAAAGGGGAAGAAGAAGAAGGTCAGGGACAACCACGTTTGGCTAAACGATGATTTTATTTTTATTTCTGTACATGACCACTCCAATCGTCTGTGATTCATCGAATAAAATTTGTGTGTCCCCCTCTAGAACGCCGGTGTATCGTTGTTTCTATGTCACATGCACGCACACCCGATCGACGAGACGTGTACAATAAACAACGCCTCGTCTCGTTCGAATCATTCTTAAAAAAAGAAATTTCACTCATCGTGATTGCGTTAGGGTGTTCCGTACAGGAATAAAATTACGCTCGAAACCCTGTTTTTTACGATTAAGATAGAACGTATAAGTTTATGCGGCGATCGAACGAATCACGAGATGCGAAATCTGCCGGCGAAACTGTCGTCAGCCGTTGTTTTTTCACTAAGTGAAACCAGCACTTATCGAATAACACCACCTTCGCGACGCTTAATGTCGGTTAGAAGTCAGACGTGTCCAGTTCAAATGCGGCTGCACTTCCATCGAACCGGGTTCGAAACGAGTTTCGAACGCAGCCGATCCGATCGAAGGCAGCCAACTGTCAACGGTCGTCGCGCGTTTTCACGTTACACGGGGCACAGAGTACACTATAGTAGCCTAGCACTTGGTGAAACAACGTTTCACAAAAAACCACCGAAAAGCACGTATCGCTGGTAAAACGTAGAGTCAAGGCCTCGAACGTGCAAGATGAAACACGTTTTATCCCGAGACTGGTAAGCTTGTTCTTCGTCTCCGGCTTCCAGCGGATGACTATTAAGGCTAGACCAAGCTTGGGGTAGAGGTGTGTGCGGTATGGCGTCAGACACGAGTTTCCCCACCACCGGTTCCTCGCCACCCGATGCATGCATCACCGTTCCCTTCACGTCGACCGTCGTTCGGGTTTTTGCATTTTCAGTGGTAAACTACGGCACGGCCACTACCTCCGTCACCTCGTTCTCTAGAATAATGACCTGCCGTGGTTAATAGCGAGCTCAGAATGCTAGACAAGCTTCCGCGTTGCACGACGCCGGAGGACTAGTCGAAGGACTCGAAACATTTTTTATTCGAGAACGTTCGAATTCATATTCAGGGTGAAAATACGGTTAGAAAGATTTGAAGAATTTATAAATACACGAACCCTACAAATTAATTTTTAATATTAATATTCAAATATTATTTATTTATTTATTTATTTAAATAAACAATTTTACTTCGTTGTACGTGAATTACAAAATTACGAAAGACTGTTTATCTGTCCTTCAAAGAAGTCAAGTATTGCAGAATATTTATTAGCAGTATCCGAATTATACCATTCATAAAAAGTACCTACCATTATTCTACTATTACTATTCAACCATCGGTATACGAATATTACTGTTGGACTATCATTAATCAAATTTTACTATTCCATTTTTATTATTCGATTATTCCTGTTCAACTATCATTAATCTAATGTTATTAGTTCACCATGTTCCTGTTCAACCGTCATTAATCATATGTTACTATTCGAATATTATTATTCAAATACTCAATTAGTCAAATATTACTACTATTTCTTTATCGTGTATTCTTTTCATTTTTCTCCAGTTAATAATAACAATAATAATAATAATAATAATAATTACTATTTAATTACGAGTTGACTATCTTTACTTGAATATTACTATTATCCGATTATTACCGTTTGATTATCATTATTCAAATATTAATATTTGCCTGCAGTTGTACAAATCGAAAACTAATCAAATTCTTATTAATAACTGTGAGTAGAGTAGTATAATTGTTTGTATTATCGCATGGGTTAAGAATGTATTTCCATTGTTATTTTAATTATTCATAGTTTGGAGGCGGTGATTAGTGCGATCGATTGGAAAATAAATTCGAAAAAATACATCTGAGAAATATGTTCGTTTGGGTTTCTGCCTCGCGGATGACGAATCGTCTGTTTTTCGTCGTGTTTAAAAATAAAGTCACGCGAGGCTGAGAGCGTTGATATTACGCTCGAAACCTCCTGCCGAGAATAAAAAAGAAATAAATGCACGCATCTGTTCGAAGCGTTTCGCTACTCGAGCCACGGTCAATTCCTTCTCGAAGAAAAAAAATTCTATTCGTACACCGACTCTTTCGAATTGCAGAAAAATGAACGATTTAACGAAAAATTGAAACGAGAAGAGAAATTATTTGTTATCTAACGCGAATAATATTTGTGCGGCATACCTTGGTAATTGGCGAAATCGGTCTGACCGCTTAAACTTATTTATAAGAGAAATCGTCATATTTGTTTAAGGTTATCATTTGCCGCCATCGTTCCCCGAAGGCCAATCCTTTGGCGATTTGCCTTGATTTCACTTTTGCAAGGTTGATTTGGCCCCGCTCCACAAACCTTCCATCCAAAATTGCGAAACATAAATTTTCAAGTGCGTTTACACGTACTCGAGTGGCGAAGGAAAATTTATAACACGCCCAGATATTGTTTTGCCCGTGACAACTTATGAGGAATCGCGTGCTGAGTGTATCTGTTCGCTGTTCACAATTCTTGTTCTCTGACATTGATGCATTATTACTTGCATGCGTTCGCAAATGCTTCGCCAACTTATATTTGCATCTTTTAGCGTAATATTTCTCGCTATTGTCCACCGAAACTGCCTGAAGATAATTTTCTTTCCAAGACGGTGATTCTCTGAACGTACACTCCGGGGCAAAAAGATAGCACACTTACAAATTATTCTAATTTCTGTTTATTAAACATTACAAATTCAGCTTTTTGTATGCATACATTTTCAGACTGCCCTTATTGATACACACGAATGAAATGAAACGAACCTTCCTTAATATATCTATTTTTATTTAAAGAAATACAATTATTGACAATTAATGCTTAATATTTTGTAGAATCTCCTTTACATCTAATAATGTCAATCAATCTGTTTGGTAAAGAATTATACAATTGTTTAATACTTTTTTGTTTAAATTGTTAATTTTACGTATCACCAGTTCCTCGCATTTTATAGCACGATTTGAAGCTTCCTTTCCAGTGTGATGATTGCTAGCCTAAAACAAAATTGTAAAATTACTCTGATACGTATGCAATTACAGAAAGGAAAGGAGGTTATTACGAAGTTCCGGTAGAAGCAGGACCAGGAGCGAAATCCGGTGAAAAAGTACCGTTTGGTTTGGGAACGGGCGGCAAGGACGTGATATTAGAACAGGTGCCGTTGGATGAGAATGGATTGCCATTAGAAATACCGTTAAAACCTGGAGACGAGTCGTTGCCTTGGAGAAAAGGACGCGTGCATCATCGAGCTAGCGGCGTGACGCCATGGCGAAAGGGGAAACCAAAGTCTCGCGACACTTCCTTGGACAAATTGCAGGCCACCGAGAGCCAAGTGAAACCTTGGACGGAGGAGGGGGTCGTTTTAAAGAAAACGCCACAGGTGCCCCGAGAACTGCCTCGCGAAAAACTCGAGGACGTCGAACTGAAACCAGCCAAGATCGAGAAGAAAGAGATCAGGAGGCCGAGCCTCGAAGCTGTCGACTTGAAACCTGTCACCAGGGATGTCACCAAGGAAGTCAGAACCGAAGAAAAGGTTCGAAAGGATCTCGAACAGACCACCGACGAAATTTACGCCGAAGAAGAGGACTCTAGATTGTTGAAAACTTCTCGAAAGGTCGACGAATCCGTTCAGAGGAAGAAGGACGAGCCAAAACCCTGGACGGAAGAAAAGGTTACGTTGAAGAAGTCGAAACCGGATAGAAAAGAGATACCAAAGGAAACCATCGAATCCGTCGAATTGAAACCTTCGAAGATCGAGAGGAAAGACATCAGGAGACCTAGTTTGGAACAAGTGGATTTGAAACCAGTTCCTAAAACTGACAAAGTTACCGAAGAAACGATTACTCAGAAGTCTGAATATCTGGAACAAGAAGATACGTCGTTGTTGGATGTGGCTAGAACGGAAGAAGTGAAGAAACTGAGAAAAGAGAAGATTGAAGAGAAACCAGAACAACAAGCTAAACCTTGGACAGAGGAGAAGATCGCTCTGAAGAAATCGAAACCTGTCAGGAAAGAAGTTGAGAAAGAAGTTGTGGAGACTGTGGAATTGAAACCATCTAAAATTGAAAAGTCACCGATACGGAAACCCAGTTTGGAACAAGTGGATTTGAAACCAGTTCCTAAAACTGACAAAGTTACGGAAGAAACGATTACTCAGAAGTCTGAATATCTGGAACAAGAAGATACGTCGTTGTTGGATGTGGCTAGAACGGAACAAGTGAAGAAACTGAGGAAAGAGAAGATTGAAGAGAAACCAGAACAACAAGCTAAACCTTGGACAGAGGAGAAGATCGCTCTGAAGAAATCGAAACCTGTCAGGAAAGAAGTTGAGAAAGAAGTTGTGGAGACTGTGGAACTGAAACCATCAAAAATTGAAAAGTCACCGATACGGAAACCCAGTTTGGAACAGGTAGATTTGAAACCACTTCCTAAAACGGTGACAGAGAAAGTCACCGAAGAAACTCAGAAGTCTGAATACCTGGAACAAGAAGACACGTCGTTGCTGGATGTGTCCAGGGTCGAAGAAGTGAAAAAATTGACGAAAGAGAAGGTCGAAGAGAAGCCAGAGCAAGCTAAACCTTGGACAGAGGAGAAGATTACTCTGAAGAAATCGAAACCTGTCAGGAAAGAAGTTGAGAAAGAAGTTGTGGAGACTGTGGAACTGAAACCATCAAAAATTGAAAAGTTATCGATACGGAAAACAAGTCTGGAACAAGTGGATCTTAAATCTGTGACGAAGGAAACCACGGAAAAGACAGTGAAGGAATTAACGCAGAAGACTGATTACGTGGAAGAGGAGGACACAACGTTGCTTGATGTTTCAACTGATACTCGAGTGAAGAAAACGAGGAAAGAATCGATTTCGGTGGAGAAAGTGGAGCAACAGAAACCCTGGACGGAAGAAAAGATTACTCTGAAGAAGACTAAGCCTGAGAAGAAGGAAACTCCTAAGGAGGCTGTCGAGACGGTCGAATTGAAACCTTCGAAACCAGAGAAAGCTGAAATTAGGAAACCTAGTCTCGAACGCGTAGATTTGAAACCGCTTCCCAAGGAAATCACTAAAGAAGAGCCACAGAAACCGGAAGGAAAAGACGTTTACGTCGAAGAAGATGACACGTCTCTCCTCCGAGTCGACAAGAAGATCAAACAGAAAGAAGTCGTCGAGAAGAAACCGGAAACTAAACCTTGGACCGAGGAAAGGGTAACTTTGAAGAAGGCGAAAGTAGAGCAAAGGGAAGCCCATAAAGACGTTGTCGAAGAGGTGACGCTTAAACCAACTAAGACAGAGAAGAAAGAAATAAAGAAGGAGACTCTAGAGAAGGTGGACTTGCAGAAAGTCACGGATAAAACGCAGTTCGTCCAAGAAGAGGAAACGACGTTGCTGAAAATAGACAAAGACGAAAAGATTGAGGAACAAAGAACAGACAAAGTTGCAACTTGGAGAAGAGAAAGGAAACCAAAGGAAAAGGCGCCGTACCACGAAGAAGAGGATAAAACGATTCTCGATGTTGCAAAAGATGTCGAGGAGAAGCGTGTGGAGAAAGAAGAAGTGCCGGTGCCATGGGCAAGAGGCAAGAAAAAACCAATCGAGAAAACGCCTTATCAAGAGGAAGAAGATACTTCCCTTCTCGATGTCAAAAAGACTGAAAAAACGACTGAAAAACAGGTAAAAGAAGAAGAAGTGCCTGTTCCGTGGGCACGAGGGAAGAAAAAGAAAGAAGAGAAACCGGAATCAGTCCCAGAAAAAATGCAGCCTGAACAGATACCAGAAGACGAAGAAACAACGCAGGTTCCTTGGCTTCGCGAGAAAAAAGTGCCACGCAAGATTCCTGAAAAGAAGGAGGAACCGGTCGAAGACATTAGATCGGTGACGTTGAAGCCAACGAGGCGAGAGCGCGCTCCTCGGGAGAAAGAAAAACCGGAAGAAGTGACTCTGAAGCCTCTAAAACGCATTCCACGTGAAGAAGAAGAGAAGGAGGAAGTGCAACTGAAACCCATTCCGAAACGTATGCCTGAAGAGAAACCGCGAGAAGAAGTTAAATTGAAACCATTCCAAAAACCAAAGCCCGAGGAGGAGGAACGGGAGAAACCGGAATTGAAACCATTCGAAAGAAAGAAACCGGAAGTTCCGGAACAAGAGAAAGTACAGCTGAAACCATTAAAACGCGAAGAAGTTCCAGAGAAACCGGAAGAAGAACAGCAGCCCGAGGAAGTTGAATCGGTGATGACTTGGGGCCTGAAACGAAAACCTAAGAAGCCTCTCGTGCCAAAAGATGAGAAACCTCTCGAAAAGGAGGAAGAAAAGGCACCCGAAGAACGAAAGACGGTGGAAGACAAAACAATAATGAAAAAGGAAGAGGAAACGATCGAAGATTTTAAATCGCTCGCCCTGAAACCGGTTAAACGCGGTAAGAAACCTGAAGAAAGGGAAGATAAAGAAGAGATCACGTTAAAGCCTGTTAAACATCTTCCAAAGGAAGAAGAAACGCAGGAGGAAATAAAATTGAAACCAGTAGTCAAGCCAAAACCCGAAGAAAAAGAAGTTAAACCGTTAAAACCGGAAGTGGTGTCTAAGGTACCTGAAAAAGAACAACCACAGGAAGTTTCAGAAATGCCGTGGCGTCGTGGTAAAAAGAAACCTGACCAAACAGTCTCCGAAGACGTGATCGAAGACAAGAAAGTTGAAGAGGAGCAGGCAGAAGTATCTGAAGTAAGTTGGCGTAGGCCACGAAAAGAAAAGGTCGTAAAAGAAGTACGAAAAGACGAAGAAGTCGAAGATATTTCATCCGTTGTATTAAAACCTACGAAACGAGGCAAGATACCGGAAGAGAAAGCCGAAAAAGAGGAAGTGGTTCTGAAACCACTTAAAAAATTACCGAAAGAGAAGGAAGCTCCTACAGAAATGGCAGTCAAACCGGTAGAATTACAGAAACCCGAGACAGTCGACATCGGCGAAGTTTCAGAAGAAAAATCTGAATTGCCATGGCGCCGTGGTAAAAAACCAGCTAAAAAGATAGTCCAGCAAGAAGAAGCTAAACCAGAAGAAGTAACTTTGAAACCTATCAAGCGACTAGAAAAACCAGAAGAAGAGAAACCGGAAGAAGTGACTTTGAAACCTGTGAAACCTCGTCCTAAGGAAGAGGAGGCGAAGGAAGAAATAGCTTTGAAACCGTTCAAAAAAGAAAAACCAGAAGAAGAGAAACCGGAAGTTAAATTGAAACCTTTCAGGCGATTAGAAAAACCGGAAGAAGAGAAACCGGAAGAAGTGACTTTGAAACCTGTGAAACCTCGGCCTAAGGAAGAAGAGACGAAGGAAGATGTAACTTTAAAACCGATCAAAAAGGAAAAACCAGAAGAAGAAAAGCCAGAAGTAAAATTGAAACCGTTCAGGCGATTAGAGAAACCGGAAGAAGAGAAACCGGAAGAAGTTACATTGAAACCTGTGAAACCTCGGCCTAAGGAAGAGGAGACGAAGGAAGAAGTAACTTTAAAACCGTTCAAAAAGGAAAAACCAGAAGAAGAGAAACCTGAAGTTAAATTGAAGCCTTTCAAGCGATTAGAAAAACCAGAGGAAGAGAAACCTGAAGAAGTTACTTTGAAACCTGTGAAACCTCGGCCTAAGGAAGAGGAGACGAAAGAAGAAGTAACGTTAAAACCATTCAAAAAAGAAAAACCAGAAGAAGAGAAACCTGAAGTTAAATTGAAGCCTTTCAAGCGATTAGAAAAACCAGAGGAAGAGAAACCTGAAGAAGTTACTTTGAAACCTGTGAAACCTCGGCCTAAGGAAGAGGAGACGAAGGAAGAAATAGTCTTGAAACCATTCAAAAAAGAAAAACCGGAAGAAGAGAAACCTGAGGTTAAATTGAAGCCTTTCAGGCGATTAGAAAAACCAGAGGAGGAGAAACCAGAAGAAGTTACTTTGAAACCTGTGAAACCTCGGCCTAAGGAAGAGGAGACGAAGGAAGAAATAGTCTTGAAACCATTCAAAAAAGAAAAACCAGAAGAAGAGAAACCTGAGGTTAAATTGAAACCTTTCAAGCGATTAGAAAAGCCAGAGGAAGAGAAACCTGAAGAAGTTACTTTGAAACCTGTGAAACCTCGGCCTAAGGAAGAGGAGACGAAGGAAGAAATAGTCTTGAAACCATTCAAAAAAGAAAAACCAGAAGAAGAGAAACCTGAGGTTAAATTGAAGCCTTTCAGGCGATTAGAAAAACCAGAGGAAGAGAAACCTGAAGAAGTTACTTTGAAACCTGTGAAACCTCGGCCTAAGGAAGAGGAGACGAAGGAAGAAATAGTCTTGAAACCATTCAAAAAAGAAAAACCAGAAGAAGAGAAACCTGAGGTTAAATTGAAGCCTTTCAGGCGATTAGAAAAACCAGAGGAGGAGAAACCAGAAGAAGTTACTTTGAAACCTGTGAAACCTCGGCCTAAGGAAGAGGAGACGAAGGAAGAAATAGTCTTGAAACCATTCAAAAAAGAAAAACCAGAAGAAGAGAAACCTGAGGTTAAATTGAAACCTTTCAAGCGATTAGAAAAGCCAGAGGAGGAGAAACCAGAAGAAGTTACTTTGAAGCCAGTAAAACCTCGCCCTAAGGAAGAGGAGACGAAGGAAGAAGTAACTTTAAAACCGATCAAAAAAGAAAAACCGGAAGAAGAAAAGCCGGAAGTTAAATTGAAACCTTTCAAGCGATTAGAGAAACCGGAAGAAGAAAAACCTGAAGAAGTTACTTTGAAACCTGTGAAACCTTGTCCTAAGGAAGAGGAGACAAAGGAAGAAGTAACTTTGAAACCATTCAAAAAAGAAAAACCAGAAGAAGAGAAACCTGAGGTTAAATTGAAACCTTTCAAGCGATTAGAAAAGCCAGAGGAGGAGAAACCAGAAGAAGTTACTTTGAAGCCAGTAAAACCTCGCCCTAAGGAAGAGGAGACGAAGGAAGAAGTAACTTTAAAACCGATCAAAAAAGAAAAACCGGAAGAAGAAAAGCCGGAAGTTAAATTGAAACCTTTCAAGCGATTAGAAAAACCGGAGGAAGAGAAACCTGAAGAAGTTACTTTGAAGCCAGTAAAACCTCGTCCTAAGGAAGAGGAGACAAAGGAAGAAGTAACTTTAAAACCATTCAAAAAAGAAAAACCAGAAGAAGAGAAACCAGAAATTAAATTGAAACCTATCAAGCGATTAGAAAAACCAGAGGAAGAGAAACCTGAAGAAGTTACTTTGAAACCTGTGAAACCTCGTCCTAAGGAAGAGGTGACGAAGGAAGAAGTAACTTTAAAACCGATCAAAAAAGAAAAACCGGAAGAAGAAAAGCCGGAAGTTAAATTGAAACCTTTCAAGAGATTAGAAAAACCGGAAGAAGAGAAACCTGAAGAAGTTACTTTGAAACCTGTGAAACCTCGTCCTAAGGAAGAGGAGACAAAGGAAGAAGTAACTTTGAAACCATTCAAAAAAGAAAAACCAAAAGAAGAAAAGCCAGAAGAAATTACTTTGAAACCGGTTCCTAAAGTAGTGCCCGAAAAAGTTGAAGAAAAACCTGAGGAAGAGAAACCAGAAACTTCTATATTACCGTGGCGCCGAGGCAAAAAGACTAAGAAGGTCGTCGATTTCCGAGAAGAAGTTACAGTTGTTCCAATCGATCAAGAAAAAGTAGTTTCGGATGTGCAGGAAGAAGAAACGACGGTTGTGGAACAGAAAGTAGTGACCGAAGTCGTTCAACAGGAAGTTAAAGAGATTATTGAAGAGAAACCAAAAGAAGCTCTTCCTTGGCGAAGGCCAAAAGAAACTGTCCAGGAGAAGATTGAAATCGTGGAAGTACAACCTGAAGTTGTACAAAAAGAAGATGCAGTAGTAGAAGAAGTGACAGAAACGTCTGAGGTGTCCTGGAGAAAGAAACGGAAGCCAATGAAACCGGCGGAGGAGAAGGAAATAATTCAACTAAAACCAGTCGAAAGGCACGAAGAAGTGGTTGAAAAAGTTGAAGAAAAAGCTGAAGAAGTGGTTCGGAAACCTGTTGAGAAGGCAAAGCCTCGAGAAGAAGAGGTACCCGAATTGAAACCAATCGAATTAGAAGAAACCCCAGAAAAGCCTGATGAAACGGAAGTGTCGGTTGTTGAAATAAGAAAACGTCCTAGGAAGAAGCCCGAAGAGGTGCCTGTACCAGTGGAGAAGGAAGAAGTCGTCGATGAGACGGTGGTTTCCTCCGCAGGTATTCAAATAACCAAAAAGGCGATTAAAATCGAAGCTAAGCAACAAGTCGCTCAAGATGTGGTCGAGGTCGAGAAAAAAGAGATCGAACGAGAAGAGATTCAAGTCGAAGATCGTAAGAGAAAACGCAGACAGCGTACCCAAGTGGACATATCTATCACGGACAAAGACAAGAAAGTCGCACCAAGGTTCATCCAGAAACTTCAACCTGTTATCGCGGAACTCGAAAGCGTCGCAAAATTCACATGCACGGTCTATGGCAATCCATTCCCCGAAATAACCTGGTACAGAAACGAACAAGAACTTCACGCCAGTGAAAAGTACATCATAACTGTCTACGAAACGACAGCCACGTTGGAAATAACGAAAGTGAAGGAAGAAGATGTTGGCATGTATTCTTGCAGGGCCTCGAATCCTGCTGGAGTAGCAACGTCCACTGTGAATCTCGTTATATTCGGTACTGAAAGAACTCTGCCTCGTGATATCTGTGTGATTGTCCTTGTTTTTGCTTTTTATACAATTTATCGATTAAGGAAATATGCTTTAATTTTTGTCTAACGTGCTTTATATGTCTCTCGATAATTGATTACATAAGATGCTCCGTTACAAGTAATGATTCCAAGAAATATTTTTAACGAAAGGTGACAAGTTTTAAGGGAAAGATTTCATAATGGATCACGTATTTATTTTCCCTTGAACTCAGTATTGAAAATTATGTAAAAATAGAAATTTTCAAAAATTGGTCTTGAAACTACCCTTACAAGGGAAGGACTTCAACTGTCTAACTTTGATTTTAACGAGTCTTGGCAAGGTGATGGTATAGTATATGTTCCTGATGATACGTGTAAAATATTAGGTGTAGATACTTGATAATTTTAAAGATATATGCCTATAGAGGGTGTTCGGCCACCCTTGGAAAAAATTTTAATGGGTGTTTCTAAAGGCCAAAATAAGGCGAAAATGAAGAATACCAATTTATTGATCGAGGCTTTGTTAAAACGTTTTAGCATGGAGTTTTGTGGTGTGTTTAGTTCGAATTTGTGGTTACCGTGTGTTGATCGTTGCGTTTGTTTTCTCAGAAAAAGAAGAGGAGGGCGTGGCGCCTCACTTTGCGTCGCCCATCAAGCCGCTGATGGTCGAGGAGCAGAAACCTGCTCTTCTGGAGTGCGTGGTCACCGGAACGCCCATGCCGGAAGTGAAGTGGTACCGCGGCGAGCAAGAACTGATACCGAAAAAAGGTAGAGAGATCAGCTTCAATCCTGAAACCGGAGAGGCGAAATTGCACATACTGGAGCCGACGCCGGAGGACGAGACCATTTATCGCGTCCGTGCCGTGAACAAATTCGGTCGCGCCGAATGCAGGGCGAATCTCGTGATCAGCAACGTGGTAAAGGTCAGCAAGCCAGAAGTTCTGAAAGCACCGAAGATCACCAGACCGTTGCCAGCTCTGGTGGCCGAAAGTGGCAAGCCCTTAACACTGTCTGCTGATTTCGAGAGCAAACCGACACCGGAAGTGAAATGGTTCCGCAACGGAACCGAAGTCGTTCCCTCCGACAAGCGTGTAATCAACATCTACGAAAGCACCGCCGAATTGTTCATCCCCGAGGTGACGAAGAAAGATGGCGGCAAATACGAGGTCAGAGTTCAGAATCCCGCTGGCGAGGCTAGAAGCTCGGGCTCCGTTACCGTCAAAGAACGCCCGGATCAAACTGACGAGGTTAAAGCACCGAGATTTATCCAGCCGATACAACCACAGATCGTTGCCGAAGGAGAGGTCGTCATTATGGAGGCGCAAGTCGAGTCCTATCCCACAGCCTCCTTCCAATGGTTCCACGAAACTCGTCCTCTCGAGGTACGTTTCTTACAGTTACTTGGTTTATTATTGTGGTCCGATAGTAATACAACAAGTACGATGCTTTACAACGATCGCACTTTTCTTGCAGTCAACGCCACAAGTGAGGATCGTGACACAAGAGAATCGTTCGATCCTGATGATAAAGGAAATCAAGCCAGAGTTTGCTGGCACTTACACCTGTCGCGCGGAAAATGTTGGCGGATCGGTCACCTGTACGGCCACCATAAATCTGCTGGATACACAGTGGGAAGAGACTGTCGAGTTGGTTTCACCGACATTCGTCAAAAGATTATCCCCCGTGAGGGTGATGGACGGTGAAAGCGCGAATCTGACGTGCGTGGTGCAGGGAAAACCAACGCCCAGAGTCGAATGGTATCACGACAACAAACCGATCAAAGAAGGCAAAGAAATCACGATTTTACAAGACACGGAAGGTGTCTGTAGTTTAGCGATTACCGAGGTGTTCCCAGAAGATGCTGGCGAATACACTTGTCGTGCTGTAAATCCTGTCGGAGAAGCCGTTTGTTCGACGTCGCTTGTCGTCGAAGGTAAACCGCCATCTTTTATACTTTTCTACTTTTCTACTTTTCTACTTTTCCTATAGATTTTAGACTTGCTTATACATCATTTTAGCCTATGAGTACGTGCCAGATTCGGAAATTGCATCCTCGATTGTTGCGACGTCGCTTACTACAGGGCAAAGTGGGTCCGAGGAAGATCTCTTATCTCCTAAGGTATGTTTAACAAAAATAGTTCATATGTCTGGTACCATTATGTTTCCTACATGGTCGTTGGATAATTTTCTAACATTTGTACGATTTTCAGGAAGCTCCTCTGTTCGACACAGACACGGAGGAATCCGCGCCAGAGATAATCAGAAAACTTCCTCAGTTAATTCCAATCAAAGATGGAGAATTAACCAGGTATGGAAATATTTGATTTGCAATAGTCGAGTCACGGTAAAGCGGTTGATCGTTCTATCGAATCTAGCAGTACGTTATACTCAGAATACGTATAGTTATTACTAAAAAAAAGCTAAAGTATGTTCTAAATAAATATTTGTTGTTTAATACAGATTGGAGGTGAAGACAAAAGGGAAACCGAAGCCAGAAGGAAAATGGTACAAGCAGGGCGTAGAGATCGTGCCGTCTCAAGAGTTCCAGGTCGAGGAATTTGAGGATGGCACGTCCGTATTGACGATCGCTGAAACTTATCCCGACGACACCGGCGAGATTGTGTTCGAAGCGCACAATCCGCTCGGCGTATCGACTACGACAACTTACTTATCGGTAGAAGGTAACGATCCCTTTACAGAGCCAAAAGTGCAATTTCTAAAACGTGGTGGAAGCTTCGCTAATATGCTTGATACGAGTTATTTTCAGCCGCGCTCTTCGATTGGAATCATCATCGGGAATCTCCTAATATATATCCCAAACCTTCATATCAGACTCACACTGAACACTCACATCCTTCACCTACACTTTTTTTATATTCTTTTATTCGACGCTCCGCTAACTCGTTGGACCCTTTCAGTTCCATCCGTTTAACCCTTAAATAATTCCTCCAAGCTACGAGTCTTTCGGTACTTAGAATTATTATTATTCGTTTATCGATGAGAAAAATCCTTTGATACAAAAAGAAGTAATATGTAAGGAACAACAAAATGAAGATTATATACAGTGAATATAGTAACGCTTATAAAATCTCGAATAATAATACTTAAATATAATTTTCGAAAATAATTTCATGAGTGTAAAATAACTATGAATATTTAATTTGAAACGATAAGTTATCAACTCGTAGACTTTCGCGTCGCTGTTTAAGGGTTAAAAAATACGTTTTCTAATTTGAAATAAATGCTTAACAATAGATGTATGTACGTTGCTGGAGGAATGGAACTGAAAGGGTCGAAAGTTGAGAGAGATTTGTAATGTTGGTTTGTTGATCAGGAATCCTCGGAACGAAGGAGTACAGGAAACCATCGTGGGTGACCCAGATGGAGGAGATGCAAGAAGCTCTGAGAGGTAAGAGCCAGTCAGGGAGAATTGAATGCATGCTGAGTGAAGCGGAGTGCAGTTTTTCGACGGACAGTCTGGACGATCGCGCCATCAGGGACGAGAGTTCGACGATAGTCAGCGAATGTTCATCGACCAGAACGCTGATGAACATCGACGACGAAGGTAAGAGATGCTTCGACGAGGAAGAAACTACCCCGAAGAGCTTCTTTCTCTCCAGAAGATACTCGGACACGATGGAGATGAACGCCACGGAATATTCCTGGGAGCTGAACGCGAAAGGAGAAACTTTCGAGAGAAATATCGAGAAAGAAACTCGATCGGTAACCGCGACAGAAATTGGCGGGAAAACGACTTCTGGGAAGGTAAGTAGAGCTGTGAGAAAGAAGAAGTCGGAGACTTCGGAGGAGAAATGTGTCGCAAAAAAGAACGCAGAAACGAAGACAGTGTCCGTGAAAATGAAACGAGACTCGGTTAGAAGCGCCACGAGTAAATCTTCCACGCAGAAGACAAAGTTGAGCGCATCGAGATCGGTCGTGGAGAAATCGGCTAGATCCCCGTCTCCCGTGAGAGAGAAACGCGCAAAGATTTCGGAGCCCCACGTAAACGAGAAACAAAAATACGAGAAACAAAAATGCTCGAAATTGCCTTGGTTGATAAGATCGGAAAAGTCGAGGCGCCTGGCGTCCTCGAAACTGACTAGAGAAAGCAGGAAAGAAGAGTCGTACGCTGGCACGATCATCAAGAACAAGGAAAGCGAGAAAATGATGGAATTTCTGGGGGATCAAACGGGGATGAAAATTGTGCTGGATTTTGACGAATTCCCACCGCCCAGGTCCGAGAAGAAAAGCCATTTCTTAAACGTGACAGAGCCAGGATTCCATTTGTCGCCCATCGAGGAGAACAGCGAGGTCTGTATCGGAAGTGGCCAGTGCAAAGTCCCCGATAAAGCAACGGAAACCACGTTGGAGTACGATCACGCGAGAAAATATCACACTTATCCAAAGTCGAGGATACCTGTCGCGAGATGGTCCAAGGAACGTCGCTTTGGTAAACTGATGGATCCGAAGATGTATCCATTGGAGCCGAGAGAAATCGATTTGGAGGCTTTCCAGCAGCTGCACACGGCCGACAGCCAGGAAGAGCTGCAAGAATTTTTGTTACTGGAGAGTCAGTGTAGCGGAAACCTCGGATTGGCTGGAAATATGTCGACGTCCGAGGTATCTTGCAGCGAGCATCACAGCGAGGACGAAAGAGGCACCATGTCAGGTATCATTTGACAATTTATCCACCCACTAACCATCTAATCGCTATTTACTTTACCACTTTACAGTTTTATTTCGCATGAATTCCTTTTTGTACTACGTGTGTTTTGTTTTTATTTCTTTTGGCTAATCAGATTACTGACATTGGAGTCACGCGAGTCGCACAATCACCAACCAAGACATCAGGTAAATAGTCGGATCGACGATTCTCTTAATTTTATTTTAATTCTCACGTTGCTTTTTTCAGCCACGCAATCTGTACCACGATTCATTCAAGAAATAACGGACGTTTATGCGAGGGAAGGTGAAAGGGTGATATTCGAGTGCACGTATTCCGGAAATCCTGCTCCAGGTATAGCAAACCTTTTAATTTTTATTCTAATAAATATATATAGACGATATTTAAATATTAAACACAACCACTTCAATTATTCTTTAGATATTACATAGTTTAACTATAAAATAAATTGCAGTAATGCCGACCATGGGGCTCGAAAAAAACTACTCGACTCGAAACAAAACAAAAGCCACGGGAATCCCCGCGCAACAAATACAATAATGTACGCGTGTGAATTAAATTATTATATTTGCTTGGGCTTACAGACGTTGTATGGTACAGAAATGACAAGTTGGTCATGAACACGCAAAACGTGAAGGTACGTATCTACGAGGAGGAGATGAAGACGGCGCTGGAGATCAAACACGCTACCGAAGAAGACGACGCCACTTACGTTTGCAAAGCCACCAGCGAAATAGGTTTGGTGACCACAAAAGCCAAACTGCACGTTACGGGTAAACTATTTAACGAATCAACTGCGAGCAAAGAAGTTGATAAACGATGCATATACGCGAGAAATTTATTTACAGACATAAAAGCTGATAAAACGTTCATGGATGAAGAGGAGATCGTCGACGAACAGATTATAGAAGTAAAACCGAAGAAGAAGCCGGAGGAAGAGAAGCCACATAAGAAGAAGAAACCCGAGTTGAAGAAGGCCAAAGAAGCGAAAGAGAAGGTCAAATCAGAACGTGTTAAAATAGACAAAAAGGAAGTGCGTAAGGAGAAGTTGATCCCTAAAGAACAGCCAGAGGAAAAGTTAGTGAATTCGTCATCGTATAATAAATTCGCCCGCTTGATAGTTTTCAGTTGTTAAATTTCCATTTCAAAATTTATCTTACAGGAAAATCGTCGATGTCGAAGAGACTCAGGTACTCGAAACAACAGAAATTATCGACGAGAAACCTACAGAGGTAATTAACAAATATAGTTTCTTTTTATTATATGTCTTTCGAATTTAAGATTACATGATTAATATTGCATGCAATATATAGGATTTATAAAATGTACAATATATAGCATACTACAATAAGCATATCCTTCTTATTTGACAGCATTGTACATTGACAAATATCAATAGAAATATTGTTGAATAACGCAGGTATCTCGAGCAAAGAAGGTAGTACCGATCCAAGAACCAGTAATGACGGAAGCAACCGCGTCTCTGAAGAAGATCGACGATCAGAAGAGTGGAGAATTGTCAACGAAACCCGAGGAACGTGCGAAACGTGTGGTCGAGGAACGCGAAGGGGTGGTTGTCGTCTCGGAAGTGACCACCGAGGATCTAGCACCAGATTTTATGGTGGAGTCAATGATCGACCGTGCCCAGGTAACTTCGGAAACCCTGCAGACGGTCTCTGTGTCGGAGGTGCAGACGGAATCCAGCGTCCAGGAGATCAAGCGAATGGAAACGAAACAGAGAAAGGCGAAGAAAACGGTGGTGACCGAGGAGAAGGTGTTCGAGGAGAGGGCCATCGAGGAGAAACCGAAGAAGAAGAAGAAGACGGACAGAGTGAAGGCACGAGAAGAGGTGACCATCGAGGAAATTGTCGAGATGCAGAGGGAGAACATCGCGAGAGAAGTCGAAGAGATCATGGAGTTGCTTCACGCGAAAGAATTCGGGCCCGGTGAGGCTCCTCTTCGGGAACTGGCCACCATTGGTTTCCTGGTGAGGCAAGGTGTCTCCGTGAACGAGATCAACGAGAGTCTCTACAGAACGGACAACTTCCCGGCCCTGAGGACCCCCGAAGCTCAGAATGCACTGGTTCAGCTGGTGGAAAGAGAAGGTCACGGTCCACTCATCACTCAGGTTCTCACCGAAGAGACGACCACCGATGAAAGCATCGTGGCTGCCACCGTTGGTTTCCGTGCCTTCATGAAAATGATCGAGCTTCAGCACGTCACCGTCGAGGAGGTGCTCACGCACTTTGCTCCGGAGGACTTCCGACCACGTGCTTGGGAGGTTACAGAGGCCACAGAAGTAAGAGATATTCATTTATACCAATCTTTGGACCACGCTTCTATCTAATATTTCATTTTAAGAAAGTTAAAGATTATCGAGTGTTCGAGGACTCTCAGCCATTTCGAGATAATATAACTGATATAATAATTCTCGTTCAGGTTGAAACGGAAGAACGTGTTACGGAACGAGTGGACATCGTTCGCAAAACGGAGGTCCATTTCATGGGTAAGTCGAGACTGCGTGATGTGAGGTTTGAAACGAAAAGAGACACGAAATCATTAATGGTCTTCAGACTTGCAGCATTAGAAAAAAAACGTTGCACTTTTTTTTCTATACATTAAAAATTATGTATTTTGGTGTGTGCTTGCGTGGCTGCCTATAAATATAATACTTGTACATTTTTCTATTTTTTCTTTTCTTTTTTTTTTTTTGTAAATATTTTGCGGCTTCACAGCTAGATATAAGATCGACTAAGCATGCATTTTTTGTACATACATAGAACTGTACGCGAAGATACTTAAAATATCTTTGCTACAGATTGTACATTTGATTTGTCGAATAAAAGCATTTTTTTTCACAATGTGCCATAATAATCCTGTGTGTTTTTGTCTTCGTCTAATTCCCTGTTCCCAGAGCTCCCACGAAAGCAAAAGAATTTCTGATTGCAGAGAGGAGGGACGAACGAAAGGCTGTCCGCACGCAGGATATTCGAGACATTAAAGGTTTGAAGCAACGAGTTTCAGTGCATGGTATATACATTCGAATAATCGGCCATTCGATCAATGAATGGGAACCATCATTAATAATCTTTCTTATCATATCTTCGAGAAGACACTTCGGTGTCCGGACAGTCGACACCACATCGAGATATCCAGACATCTTTACTTTTCATTCGTGTCTTATTTATGTATTCTAGTCGCCTCGTATTTCAACATTCAACATTCAAAATTCTGAACGGATAGCAAATATTCTGATTCATCGTTTTCTATCAAATTTCGAGCTTACCAATCATTCTAATTTCTTAATGGCTGACTAATAGTGCCAGTATAACGTAGTAAGAAAAAAAAAATAGTTTCGAAGTATGTGCGTATCGATCATACGATACGGTCTCTACGTAATGATTTTATTTTATTATTCTTTCAGATGCATGAAGCTTTACTTGATCGAATAATAGCAGTAAAATTTGTCTGCTTAAGCCGCTATGCTTTCCACGCGCCGTATCCCTCCATTACATCCCCTTTCCATAGTTTATTCGCCCCCTGTTAATCACCTTCCGATCCAACACCAAAACTCAACGCTTCGCGTTACGAGCTTCGCGCTGCTAATGCAGTTTTAATGTAAGTAAGAGTTTTTTAACCGTGTCCACAAGTCATTTCGTGCATTTGGTAGTAAATAATATAACACGTGTTTGTAATTTTCTTCATACCATTCCACCAGTTGCATCATTTTACCTGTTATTTATTTAACGAGAAACTATGAAATTCAATATTTCTTTGAAAGCAAAAGGCTCCACGAAACATACACCAACACGATATTTCATAGTTTCTAAATATACGGTGTCCAATATTTTTCCATTAGTCAGTACCGTTGAATGGAATTTTGCTATTTTCACGTACTTCTTGTTACTGTTACACATTCAAGTTACACACTCACATGCATCTCTTTATAACAGTCTTGTCCTACATACGAGGTAATTAAACGAGAGATTTTGATTTTTCTTTTTCTTTCTTTTTGGTAGCAAGCACGATGTGTAACAGACAAGTATTTCTTCGTTTTTTTTTTGTGTTCATGTTGGTTTGACTTCCGACCGGCCTTTTCTATTTATTTTTACTACTACACGATATTCACACACGCACCACTTGTTATTAAAACAACGTATGCCTTAGTGCCTGCGATTCCGAACCACTGCACACTACTCTATATACCGCAAAACATTCCAGAGACATCGTAATCCAACAATAAAACAGTATTTTTCTACATTCCGGTTACACAGAGATACAAAGATACACCGTCGAACAATTTTTCATCATCGAACAACACAATACTTCTTCTCATACGGTGTAACGAAATTAATCTATTCAGGAAAATGGTCGTAAAGAATTAATCCAGAGAAAGAAATGGTACACATGAAAAATTAAATAAATAATAAATTAATAAAAAATACTTTCTTTAGGATGTATGGTATGAGTCTAAAAATATTTATAACAAATGTCTTATCTTGTCCTGAAAGGGTTAATATTTGTTACGAGCAGTGAAAACATTATTAGGCTGTCGAATAAGTTCTTTCCAATTTTCCAATATATATTTAAATTTAAAGTCTATGAACTGCTTTGTAAATAATTGGCAATAATATCGACAAGAAATAAAGGATATTAAAAAATGAAATACGGTAGTATCCGGATAACTGACCGTGAATCGAATTTGTTTCTATTCGGTTATGCGGGTAAGGTTTGAAAATGGAAATTTCTTATCTAAAAATGAAAATTAGAAAGAAGATATTCGAGAATCTATCAGGATGGCAGAAAAGTATACGATACCTTTGGAAAACGCGTAAAACGATATTAAAAACACGCTGTTGACACTATGTACGCTGATTTTTTTTGTTGTCCACCAACCTTTTTGTTTCTTTTTTAATTTGTACACAAGCTCGTCCGCCGTGCACTGTCCGTAGGTTGTTGACTCTTGTTTCGTTGAAGCACGATTCTTGTCTTAGCAAAAGCATCCGCTCAGTGGCTCGTCGCATGTAGTCTGAAAAAGAATGGTTTTCTTTTACTAGCAATTGAGAGCGAGCGAGCGAGATCGTTGCATACGAAAACACTCGTATTCGATTGACACAAAAATTCTCACATACTTTCCACAGAATACGAGGACACACGGCAAGCACACACAACACTGCGCAAACCCAAAGATACAAGTACGAAGGAACAGATCGAAGAGAGAAAGGAAGATAGGGACGAGGGGGTTCAGGTTGTAGAGATCGAAGAGATCGAGGAAACGGAACAAGAGAAGAAGAAGAAGCGAAAGGACGTGGAGGAAATCGAGGAGGAGACTGAAACAGTAATCGTTGAGACAGACAGAAAGGGCAGACTGACTCGAAAGAAAAAGAAACGCGATGATTTGGAGAAAGAAGTAGAGGAGGAGGAGGAGGAGGAGGAGATTATAGAGGAAGTGAAGAAAGCATTGAAGCCAAAGCGGTCGCAAGTCGGCCGGGATGAGTTGGAATTGGAAGAAATCGAGGAATTCGAGGTGAAGGAAGACAGATCTATGCCTTCCATCGTGTTGAATGTATCTAGTCAACGTCACGAGGTGGTGCCTTTGGACCGTACCACCGAACAGGCACCTGGAAAGCCTGAATTCGAGAAAGCAAAGCTCACCATGGACACCATAACTCCGTTGACGGAGCACCTGGTGCCCGTTCAGGAGAAAGAAACCGACATCAGCGAAACAAAGCCCATCGAACGCAAAGCATCCCTATCCATCTCACCCGTGGAGCCTTACTCGACCATCGAGACGACCGTTCAAGCTTCCACCGGTGAATTCTCGGACACTTTCAAGCCCACGTCGTACGAGGCGACGCCAGCGATCGTTCCATCCGAGAGTCTGGTCGTCAGCGAGACGCTGACCAACGACGCAGGCCTGTCCAGTTTAACGATCGCCAAACAAGAAATTACCAAGACGGCGGACGTCAGCGTGACCGTTCAGGAGGCAACGACCGTCTACGAGACGATGGTCAGTCAGAAGGAAGTGCCCACAGAGGACTTTGTCACGCCACTGACTGCCAGAGCAGAGGACACCATACTCCCGCAAATCGGATTATCCGTCTACGAGGTCCAGGAAGGTCTAGCCGAGGAGAAACTCGAACCGACCAAGACTGTTCCAACCAAACCCAGAGTGAACGTTACAGCCGTCGAGCCACTGGTCGTCGAAGAGGTCCGTGCGGAGGACAAGCCGGGAAAATACTATCCAGAATTGATCGTTCCCACCGAGATCGCCACGCAGACTATCATATCTCAGCGACAACGTGTCACGGAGGAGATGCACGCGCCTGAGAAGGAAGGCGAATACGTGCCAGGAAGGCTGCCCCCGAGCCAACAGGCGCAGATTGGAGTCCCCTACGGGAGCGAGACGGCCATCGTGCAGCAGAATTTGATCCAAGAGAGCGAGGGAATATACGTTTCCGAAAGGAAGACCGACAGTTTCGTGGCTACGACGAACCTCACTCTGTTGGAAGGTGTCTCCGTATCCACCATCGAGACTCAAGACACGGAAGCTAATTTAACGATAGAAGAGACCAAGAAGGCAGTGGCTGATTTGAATGTCATCGAAATACCATCAGCCGTCACGGCGGAGACTGTACCTTCGGAAAAGGAGAAGGATTACCAACCAGGCGAGAAGCCAACCAGCAAAACAGCCGAGACGTCGATATTTTCGTTAGAAATTGGCTCCATCGCGAGTACCATGGTTCAAGAATCCGAAGGAATCTATCATCCTGAGCAGAAACCCACAAAAGTTTTGGCGGAGACGTCCATCAGACCGGAAGAATACGTGCTGGTTTCGGAGATCCAAACAGCCGATTATCCGTCAGACTTTACAGACGAACTGAAATATGTTCAGGAAAGTGGAACGGTGACTGTACAAGCGACGGAAGCTAAGATGGTTCAGGAGACGATGACTCACGATCGCGAGACCAAAATGGAGGAGATGGCTAGGCCCGAGGAACGCGTCGTGGAGACCAGTTACGACGCTGTCAGGGGCGTCGAAGTGTTCCAAACCACCTCGATAGAGAAAGAGGCCGATTTGAAGATATTCGAAATGCCTGAATCGCACCGCGGAAAGACCGTGCCTACTCATCCTGTTGTTTCGTTGGAGGTCGAAATGACCCAGCCAGAGGACAATTTAGGGGAAATCAGCAAGGAAATTCCATCGTCTGGAGTGGCGAAGATCGAACCGATCAGCTTGCAAGAAACCGTCGTGGACGTGACGGTGGCTGACGAGGGACTCGCCCCGGTTCACGAGGACAAAGTTCCTGACTCGAAGGTAGCCGAGGTCGCCATGAACGAGATCGAGAGCTTGCACACCACCATGGTGATCGCCAGCGAGCAAGAATCCGAGTATACTCGGGAGGAGAAGGTGAAGGGAGCGTACGCCAGCACGGAATTTACCACGCAAGACGCCACGATGATCGAAGAGGTGAGGACGCATTCACCAACCGGGGAATACGTGCCCGAGAAGCCCACTTCCGGCGTGGCTCAGCCCTCCCACGTTCCTCTGGAGAGCGTGACGGTGGCGATGCAACAGCTAGCGGAGAAGGAGGATTTGTACAAGACGGACGCGAAACCGGACGGAAAGACCGCTATTGTGGAGCTCACGGAACCCAGACCTGGCGCTACGGTACTCGAAATTATTCCACACGATCGAGAGAACGTTTATAGTCCTGACGCCAGGCCCCAAGACTACACCGCTCAACCGTTGATATCCGGTCACACGGTGGCCTTGAAGTCGGAGACTTTGGCCGAGCAAAGCACCACCGACATCAGCGTCGATCAACCAAAGTCTGGCAAGGCGATTCCTCAGCGAGAAGCTCTGGAGGAACTGGTCGTCACCGAGACGAACGTTGCAGAGACGGAAAAGCTCAGGGAAGCGGACGTTCTGCCAAGCACGCAGAGCGCAGAGATCGAGATCTGCTCCATGACCGAGAAGCTCACCGTCACGGAAGTGACGAGCGCCCTGAGCGAAGAGAAATTGCAAGTCGAGGATATACCGAAAGAGAGAACCGTCACGATGGGAATCACCAGTGGACACGAGGTGGCAGAGATGCAGGAGACGATCCTTGCCAGCAACGTGAACGTTTTAGAGGAAGAGAAAGCGAAGGAGGAGCGCGCCAGTCAACAGCAAACCGGGTTGGAAGTCGTCGAGCAAACGGAAATATCGGTCTCCGAGAAGGAATCGCCTTTGCACGAGGACGTGAAACCAGACACCAAGAACGTAGAAATCGTCTTCGAGGAAGGAGAAAAGAGCGTCGTCGTGGGGATGACCTATCCCGAGGACAAAGAGGGCGTATTCACGCGCGAAGATAAACCAAAAGGCGCAGAAGCTACCGTGGACATCGAAACGCAAGGAGTAGCGTCCAAGTTCGAAGTGTTTAGCGATACTGGCTTGACGGAGCTACCCGACGAGACCGTCACCGAAATAAAGCCTAAAACCACGGTGTTACCCATCGAAGCTGCCGTGGCCGAAGAGGTGCAGACCAGAGAAACCGAGGCGCCATTCAGCGAGATCAAACCAACGGACAAGAAAGCGACTGTCGAGTTCGTCGCAGGAGAAGGTCTGATCGTGTCGGCGGTGACGGCAGAGGACAAGGAAAGCTTGCTGCCGGAAGCGGAGAAGCCTGAAACGAAAGCTGCCAGCTTCGATATTCCGACTCACGTGGTGGCTGAAACCAGCGAGACGACCACCACGGACAACATCGGTGAATTTAAACGCGAAGAGACCACTGCTGCGACAGCTACCACCGATCACGTCACCTTCCATAGCTTGGTGACCTCCGAGACTGCTCCCGGCGACCTGGAGAAACCGATGGAGGACTTTGTGGAGCCCGACAAGAAGATGGTCGATGTCACGTTCGAGGAGGGCATGGGAGTCACGGTGATCGAGACCATCGCGTCCGATAAAGAGAAAGAGTACTTCGAGAAGCTGGAGATCGAAGGTGAACAAGCTACTCTGAGCTTCGACGCGCACAGAGTGGCACAGATGATGGAAGTTACTCCGTCTTCTATCTCGGGAGACTTGACAGTGCCGAAGCCAGCTACGTTCGCCGCGAAGGAGGAACGACTTCCGTTCGAGAGCATCGTGCAGACCGAAACTGTCGTATCGGAGACCGAGGAACGCTTCACGGACAAGCCTGTGATATCCAACAAGGCTCAAGTGTCCATCAACGAGATCATCAGCGCAACGACCAGCACGGAAATACCAGCCGACAAGGAGGATGTCCTTCGACTCCCTGACAAGCCATCGGAAAAACAAGCTAGCGTGGAATTCGCTGGACGCGTGATAGCAGAAAAGTCCGAGGTTACGGTGGACAGCAGCGCTGGTAAATTGGAGGAGTTGAAACCGGTCTCAGCGTCCGCTGTGCCATCCAGTATTCCTTTGGAAGCGGTGATTAGCTCGGAAACGCAACCAACGGAGCTAGAAGGGCTCTTGACGAAGGACAAATTACCGACTCAAGCTCTGGCAGACTTGTCCGTAGTCGAGGAACAGAGCCTCCAAGTGTCTGCGGTGGTTTCGGAAGACAAGGAAGAGGAATACAGATCTACCGAGCTCCCAGAAACGAGAACAGCTGGGAAGAGCTTGGTGTCTGGTCACGTGGTAGCCGAAACTACCATGCAAGTGGTCGATTTCAGCACAGGTGAGCTCTTGGAACAGAAGCCAACCGAAGCAATAGCCATGCCAGAGCACGTTCCGTTCGCTTCGTTGATCGAGACGCAACCTGTCGTGCAAGAAAGCGAGGATAAATTTGTACCCGGTTTGATCCCAGACGACAAGAAAGCGATCGTGGACCTCGAAGAGGGCAGAAACATTGTGACCGTGTCTCAAGTGACTCCAGCCGACAAAGAGTCTCTGTACGTGTCCGAGGAGCAACCTTCCAAGCATCTGGCGTCCGTTGGATTGGACACCACGCATGGAATCGCCGAAACAACGACAATCTCTGTCGAAGACACCGTGGCGGAGGTGGTCGTAGAGAAACTAGATAGGAAAACAGCATCCTCGACTCAGGAAGTGTACCAAAGCGTAGTGGTCACTCAGGATATTGTTCAGGATCAGGAGAACGAGTTCGAAGGGAAATTCAAACCCGTTACACAGAAGGTAGAAGTGTCCATCGAGGAAGGGAAACGCGTGACTACGGTCACGGAGGTCAGCGCGGCTGATCGAGAAGAAATACTGAGGACCGTGCAAGAAGAGAAGACTCGATCCGCGGTGCCAGGTATTGTTGCTGGCCACGAAGTCGCCGAAAGATCAGAAATCGTTCCTCAATTGACCACCGGGGAAGTGGAGATTCCAAAACCCATCACAGCAACGGCGCAAGTGGGCCAAAAACCATACGAGACCGTCGAGACGACCGAGCAAGTCCTGGCGGAAAAGGAAGTGGACAAAGTCGAGGAGATCGCGTTGCAGATGACCAGCGCTCGCGTCACGGTGGACGAGAACAGATTCATCGCCATCACCGAGGCGACCACTGCGCAAGACGTCGAAGAAGAACTCTCGGAGAGGAAGAAGCCTCGCGAAGAGACCGCGAAACCAGCCATGGAGGGTAAAGAAGTTGCTCAACAGACGGAAGTGAATCTGAGAGAAGGACTCGGCGAGGTCCCCCAGGCGCCACGACCAGCCTCCTTCGAAGCTCAGCCCACGCAAACCACCTTGGAGAGCGTCGACGTCAGCGAGACGGTCCCTCAGGAGCATAGTTTGACGTTCGAGGGTAAATTGAAGCTCGACGAACGCAGCGCCACGGTCAGCTTTGTGGAAGGAAAGAGCATAACCGTTGCTCACGTCGTCACACAAGACAAAGAGGACAGTATGGATGCTCTGAAATACGAAGAGAACAAGGCGGAAGTGACGTTGACGAAGGTGGGTATGGACGTTGCACAGACGGCCCAGGTGTTCGTCGATCAGAGCACCGGGTCTGTGCAGCCGCTGGAAAAGCACCAGGCGAAAGCTCATCCTAAGCAAGACACCTTGGAGCCCATCATCGTCGAGGAGACGCCTAGCGCGGAACGCGAAGGCACCTTTGACAATTATCCAAAGACAGTGTCCTCTGTGGCGGTTCCATCGTTCGAAGAGGGCCACGGAATCTCGATTACCGAGGTCACGTCTGCCGAACTGGAGTCGTTGCTGAAGGAACAAAAGCTGGACGCGTCTCAGACAGCCACCAGCACCATCATCACCGAGCGCAATATCCTCGAAACGACCACCGTCGAGTCTCGAGTGAACGTGCCTGACAAGGTTCAGGAGCTGGACGCGACGCCTCAGGTAGCCATTACTGGCCAGGACACGTTCGAAAGCATCATCGTCAACGAGAGCGTCGTCGAGGAGAGCGAACGGACCTTCGAGGGCGCGTTCAAGCCGCAAACTCAAACCGCGGGCGTGGACATCGAGAAAGCAAAGTCCCTGCAAGTTTCCGAAACCATCACCGAGGACAAGGAAAGCGTGTTCGACGTTGCTCCTAAACGCGAGGGCGTCACAGCAACTCAGGACATCAGTCTGCACGAGACCGTTGTAGGCTCGATGGTGGAGAGTATTCAGAGCACTCAAGAGATTCGCGAGGAGAAACAAGCCTCCTCTCAAGCGACGGTCACTCAAACCGTGATAGAAACAGCGGTGAAGACGGAGACGACGGTTGGCGAGAGCGAAGACACCTTCGAAGGGAAGTTTAAGCCCGAAGAACAAAAGGGCAAGCCTCAAATGGAAGGGTTGAGCACGGTCACGGTCACCGAAGTGGTCTCCAGCGAGATCGAGGACTTGCTACCAGCGGCTGTTGCTCCCAAAGAGCAACAAGCTCAGCCCACTTTAACCGGCATGGAAGCTCCGGAAGTGACGCAGGTGATCACAGCAGCCACCACGGAAGCCCTAGAAAAGACGACCAAGTTGAAGGAACAACAAGGCACGGTGGAACTGGAAGAACTCTCCTCCGTAGCGGTCAGCGAAGTAATCTCCAATGAGGCTGAAGACGTTCTCGCGTTGAAAACGGTTCCCAAAGACCAGAAAGCAGAGTTTAACATTATCGGAAGAGAGGCTGCGGAGACCTCTCAGGTGACGACGATCGCTGAAACGGAGGATCTCGCGCTGAAACGGCCCGAGGAACAGAAAGGCAAACCACAGGTGGACGAACTGACTCCGCTGTTGGTGTCGCACGTGATGTCTAGCGAGGCGGAGGAGGCACTTCCTGCCCCGGAAGTTCCGAAAGAGAAAACAGCTCAGCCTAGCTTACTGGGAAGAGACGTCGCGGAGACTCTCCAAGTGTTGACGGTCGCCAGCGCGGAGGAATTGGTTGCACCAATGGCGCCCGAGGAACAGAAAGGCAAGCCTCAGGTCGAAGAATTAGCACCGCTGATGGTTTCTCAGGTGGTATCGCACGAGGCGGAAGACACGCTGCCCACGCCGGAAGTGCCCGTCGAGAGAGAAGCGCAACCGAACTTAATAGGCAGAGACGTGGCTCAAACTATGGAGGTGTTGACAATGTCGAACGTCGACACTTTGGCGGAAAGCAAGAAACCTGACGAGCAAAAAGGAGTCCCGGGTCTCGAGGAGTTTCTCTCTCTGTTCGTGTCGCAAACAGTGTCCACGGAAATGGAGGACGCGTTGCCTACTCCCGAAGTTCCAACCGAGAAGATGGCGCAGCCCAGTCTGCTAGGTCGCGACGTGGCAGAGACGATGCAAGTGCTGACCATGCTCAGCGCGGAGGAACTGACGACCAGTCGAGGACCCGAGGGACAAAAGGGGCAACCGAACGTGGAGGAACTGACCTCCGTGACGATCTCGCAGACGGTGTCTCACGAGACGGAGGAGATCCTCGAAAGCGTGGTTGCACCGAGCTCGGTGACGGCCAAGCCAGCGTTATCCGGAAGAGAGGTAGCCGAGACCAGCCAGGTGCTGACTATGACCAACGCGGAGGAGCTAGAGAAACCTCTCCTGCCCGAAGAACAGATTGGAAAGCCACGAGTGGACGAATTCGAGTCGTTGACGGTATCTCAAGTGGTGTCTAGCGAGTTTGAGGAAACGTTGCCGACTCCTGAGAAGCCCACCGAGAAGATTGCTCGTTCGCAAATGACTGGCAGAGAAGTAGCAGAGAAGACGGAGATACTGACAGTGACGAACGTCGAGGAGCTGCAGAAGCTGGAGCAGCCCGAAGGCCAGAAAGGAAAACCGGACGTGGAGGAATTGAGCTTCATCACAGTCTCCGAAGTAGTTTCTACGGAAATGGAGAAGGAACTGCAGAGTCCAGAGGCTCCTAAAGTACGCAAAGCTCTTCCCCAGTTGTCCAGCATAGAAGTGGCCGAAACGTCAGAAGTGTTGACAATGACCAGCGCGGAGGAGCTACCGAAACCAAAAGCACCCGAGGAACAGAAAGGAAAACCACAGTTGGAGGAGCTGCTCTCGCTGTCGATTTCGGAATTTGCGTTCGGCGAGGCGGAAACCGGACTCCCAACGCCGGAAGAGCCCACTTCGCAGACCGCCAAGCCCAGTCTTCTGGGCATCCAGGTCGCTCAGAAGTCTCAAGTGGTTCCGTCGTCGGCCACCGGGGAGCTGGAGGAATCCGTGAAACCGGAAACCAAGCAAATCGTTCCCGAACAAATACCTTTCGAGAGCATTCAACAGTTGCAACCGGTTCCCCAGGAGAGCGAAATTACGTTCCAGGTGGAGAAAACGACGAAAACAGCGACGGCTGATGTCTCGTTCCGCGTTTCCGAGAGCCTGGAAGTGATGCAAGTCACAGCCACGGAACAGGAAGCTACAGAAGTGATAAAAGGAGTAGCGAAAGAAGCGTCCGCTCAGCCAGACGTGATCAGACGCGAAGTCGCCCTTAAAACCGAGATCCAACCGGAAGTCGCACTCTCCGAGTTCAATGTGACCAAACCAGAAAGTAAGACGGCCAAAGGCGTCGAAGAGATTCAGCAAGGTGTCATAGTAACCGAACACCTCACTGCTGGTGAGCTAGAGTCAGAACTGCCCGAGTCTGTAATACCATTCGCGAAGTTAGCGAGCGTTTCTATCCAAGCCGAACACCTGGAACAAGTCGTGGGTGAGTATTATTCCTATAAAGGTATGCAATTGGCATTGACGGGACGGACGGGAACAATGACGATTAGGAAAGGACGTCGAGACGCGTTGTTGACTGTAGCCATTAATTTTTCATGAGAGCGTAGGAGAGAGGATCTCTGTCAAACTGGGGAATAATAGATCCAAGCAGATTTTCTGGATTTAGGGTCGTGAAATGTGTAGGATAGGTGAAAAGAGATATCAAGGTAGGTATGGATATGTAACAGAATCAAACACGATCGAGACATCACAAGCAATTACACACAGAACACAACAGGCCATACAATTCATAACAAAATTCGATTTATACGTAATATATACAAATAATAAAAAGGTCTACGTAACAATGAACAAATCCTTTTGTCGATCAGGGATATGTCGCGATTAACCGCGAAGTCAAACCAAGTAAGCAACCAACAAACAAACAAATGCCACGACACGTTAATCATATCACACTTGTTCTGTATACATTTCAGAAACTACAGAAGTACCAGCGCAACAACATCATATCACAATTACACAACACACAACAAAACACGATACGCCACAGCAACAGTCGATCGAATCCGACACAGAGGTAATCGAAGAGTACACAACGAAATTCAGGCGCGGGAGTACAGACGATGAGACTGCAGCGGTCAAAACGAAGAAAACGATAATAAGAAAGAAAAAGCCGAAAACAGAGGAAGAGGAAAACAATGTTGTCGTCATCGAAGAAGAACTCGAGGATATTAAACCAAAAATTCCATCCATACCGAAAAAACAATTTATGCCGATAGAAGAAGTCACGACAGTGGAGGATGTCGAAGAAATAGTACCGACGAGAATAGACGAGGCAGAGGAAGTAACGCCAAAGCAAGAAGAAACGGTAGACATCAAAGTAATCGAGGTTCAAGGAACGGACGATACCAAGAAAATAACGAAGAAGAAGATTATTCGGAAACGAGGAAAAACGCAACAAGTCACGGAGGAAATAACGGTCGAAGAAGATGGCAAAGCACCGATAACGACGGTCGTGACGAAACCCAGAGAAATGATCGAAGAGAAACCAATACTCGAAACGGGAGAATATGAGGAGGAGGAAGTACCGGAAGAATATACAAAACCGATTGCTCCGTTACAATACGTTACACCTACGGTAGAGAAAGTAGAAGAACAGGTCACCATTACGGAAGAAACCACAAAAGAAGGCAAACCGAAAAAGACAACAAAGAAGAAAATTATTACACGCAAAGGCAAGGAACAACAAGTTACAGAGGTATCTACGGTGGAAGAGCAGGGCAAGGCTCCAGTGACAACAGTAACAGAAGGTCCAGTCGAAGAAGTGGTTGAAGAAATAATAAAACCGTTACCTGCACCAGAGCGTATTAAACCAACGGAAGTAGAAGAAGTTCGGGAGCAGGTAACAGTCACTGAAGAAGTAACGAAATTAGGTAAACCTAAAAAGACGACAAAGAAGAAAATAATTAAACGAAAAGGACAAGAACAACAGGTAACAGAAGTTGTCACGGTCGAAGAACAAGGAAAAGCACCAGTGACAACTGTAACCGAGGGTCCTGTTGAAGAAGTAGTTGAAGAAATAATAAAACCATTACCTAAGCCAGAATACGCCAAACCATCCGACGTAGAAGAAGTCCGCGAGCAAGTGACCATTACACAGGAAGTCACAAAATTAGGAAAACCAAAGAAGACCACAAAGAAGAAGATTATCAGGCGAAAGGGACAAGAGCAACAAGTAACAGAAGTTGTCACGGTTGAGGAGCAAGGAAAGGCTCCAGTAACGACAGTAACTGAAGGTCCTGTTGAAGAAATAGTTGAAGAACTTATAAAACCTTTACCTGCGCCCGAACGTATTACACCAACGGAAGTAGAAGAAGTTCGCGAACAGGTGACAGTCACTGAAGAATTAACAAAACTAGGTAAGCCTAAGAAAACAACAAAGAAGAAGATTATCAAACGAAAAGGACAAGAACAACAGGTAACAGAAGTTGTCACAGTTGAAGAGCAAGGAAAAGCTCCGGTAACCACTGTAACTGAAGGTCCAGTAGAAGAAGTAATCGAAGAAGTAATAAAACCACTACCTAAACGAGTACGTATTCAGCCAACGGAAGTAGAAGAAGTTCGAGAGCAGGTAACAGTCACTGAAGAAGTAACAAAACTAGGTAAACCCAAGAAAACCACAAAGAAGAAGATTATCAAACGAAAGGGTCAGGAACAACAAGTAACGGAGGTAGTCACTGTCGAAGAACAAGGCAAAGCACCAGTGACTACTGTGACCGAAGGTCCAGTCGAAGAAGTAGTTGATGAAGTAATAAAACCGTTACCTCGGCTAGAATATGCCAAACCATCTGAAGTAGAAGAAGTCAGAGAGCAAGTGACAGTTACACAAGAAGTAACACGAGAAGGCAAACCCAAAAAGATCGTAAAGAAAAAGATCATTAAACGCAAAGGAAAAGAGCAACAGGTAACAGAGGAGGTCACGGTTGAGGAGCAAGGAAAAGCACCAGTAACCACTGTAACCGAAGGTCCAGTAGAGGAAGTAGTCGAAGAAATAATAAAACCATTGCCTGCACTTGAACGTGTCGAACCAACGGAAGTAGAAGAAGTTCGTGAACAAGTTACAGTCACAGAGGAAATAACGAAGCTGGGTAAACCTAAGAAAACCACAAAGAAGAAAATTATCAAACGCAAAGGAAAAGAGCAACAGGTAACAGAGGAGGTCACGGTTGAGGAGCAAGGAAAAGCACCAGTAACCACTGTAACCGAAGGTCCAGTAGAGGAAGTAGTCGAAGAAATAATAAAACCATTGCCTGCACTTGAACGTGTCGAACCAACGGAAGTAGAAGAAGTTCGTGAACAAGTTACAGTCACAGAGGAAATAACGAAACTGGGTAAACCTAAGAAAACCACAAAGAAGAAAATAATCAAACGCAAAGGAAAAGAGCAACAAGTGACAGAGGAGGTCACGGTTGAGGAACAAGGAAAGGCACCAGTAACCACTGTAACTGAAGGTCCAGTAGAAGAAGTAATAAAACCATTACCTAAACCAGTACGTATTCAGCCAACGGAAGTAGAAGAAGTTCGAGAGCAGGTAACAGTTACTGAAGAAGTAACAAAACTAGGTAAACCCAAGAAAACCACAAAGAAGAAGATTATCAAACGAAAGGGGCAGGAACAGCAGGTAACAGAGGTTGTCACAGTTGAAGAACAAGGAAAAGCTCCAGTGACAACTGTGACAGAAGGTCCTGTCGAAGAAGTGGTCGAAGAAATAATTAAACCATTACCAGCACTAGAACACGTAAAACCATCACAAGTGGAAGAGGTGCGTGAACAAGTAACAGTGACAGAGGAAATCACTAAGTTAGGAAAACCAAAGAAGACCACCAAGAAGAAAATTATCAAACGTAAGGGAAGAGAACAACAAGTGACAGAAGTTGTTACAGTGGAAGAACAAGGAAAGGCACCGGTAACGACTGTACATGAGGGGCCAGTTGAGGAAGTCGTAGAGGAGACAATCATGCCACTACCTGCGCTAGAATCTATCAAACCGTCTAGTGTAGAGGAAGTGCGCGAACAAGTAACAGTCACTGAAGAAGTAACCAGAGAAGGCAAGGCTAAGAGGACCACTAAGAAGAAGGTTATTAAACGTAAAGGAAAAGAACAGCAAGTAACAGAGGTTGTGACTATTGAAGAACAAGGTAAAGCACCAGTGACAACAGTCACAGAAGGTCCTATCGAAGAAGTCGTCGAAGAAGTAATTAAAGCACTACCTGCACCAGAATACGTACAGCCATCTGAAGTTGAAGAGGTTCGCGAACAGGTAACAGTGACTGAAGAAGTTACTAAAGAAGGTAAACGAAAGAAAACCACCAAGAAGAAAGTCATTAAGCGCAAAGGTAAAGAACAACAAGTAACCGAAGTAGTTACCGTCGAAGAGAAAGGAAAGAGACCTGTGACAACTGTCACGGAAGGTCCTGTAGAAGAAGTGGTTGAAGAAACCATAAAAGCATTGCCTGCTCCTGAATTTGTTAAACCATCCGAAGTCGAGGAAGTACGAGAACAGGTAACTGTTACGGAAGAAGTCACTAAAGAAGGTAAACCAAAGAAGACCACCAAGAAGAAGGTGATTAAGCGGAAAGGTAAAGAGCAACAAGTGACCGAAGTAGTTACTGTTGAAGAAAAGGGAAAAGCCCCGGTAACAACCGTGACAGAGGGTCCTGTGGAAGAAGTTGTAGAGGAGACATTAACGCCACTACTTGCACTAGAGTTCGCCAAACCGTCTAGTGTGGAGGAAGTGCGCGAACAGGTTACTGTTACTGAAGAAGTCACTGTAGAAGGCAAACCGAAGAAGACCACCAAGAAGAAAGTTATTAAACGTAAGGGAAAAGAACAACAAGTAACCGAAGTAGTTACAGTTGAAGAAGAAGGTAAAGCTCCAGAGACAACTGTAACGGAAGGTCCCGTGGAAGAGGTATTTGAAGAAACAATAAAGCTATTACCTGTTCCTGAATTTGTTAAACCATCCGAAGTGGAGGAAGTGCGAGAACAAGTAACCGTTACTGAAGAAGTCACTAGAGAAGGTAAACCAAAGAAGACCATCAAGAAGAAAGTTATTAAACGCAAAGGAAAAGAACAACAAGTAACCGAGGTAGTTACTGTTGAAGAAAAAGGAAAAGCTCCAGTGACAACTGTGACAGAAGGACCAGTTGAAGAGGTACTTGAAGAAACTATAAAGGCATTACCTGCTCCTGAATTTGTTGAACCATCCGAAGTTGAGGAAGTTCGTGAACAGGTAACGGTGACTGAAGAAGTTACTAAAGAAGGTAAACCGAGGAAAACTATTAAGAAGAAGGTAATTAAACGCAAAGGTAAGGAGCAACAAGTAACCGAAGTAGTTACTGTCGAAGAGAAAGGAAAGAGACCTGTAACAACTGTCACAGAAGGTCCTGTAGAAGAAGTAGTCGAAGAAACCATAAAAGCATTGCCTGCTCCTGAATTTGTTAAACCATCCGAAGTTGAGGAAGTGCGAGAACAGGTAACTGTTACCGAAGAAGTCACAAAAGAAGGTAAACCAAAGAAAACCATCAAGAAGAAGGTTATTAAACGCAAAGGAAAAGAGCAACAAGTAACCGAAGTAGTTACTGTTGAAGAAAAAGGAAAAGCTCCAGTGACAACGGTGACCGAAGGCCCTGTTGAAGAAGTGGTTGAAGAAGTAATTAAAGCATTACCTTCCCCAGAATACGTACAGCCATCTGAAGTTGAAGAAGTTCGGGAACAAGTTACTGTTACGGAAGAAGTCACTAATGAAGGTAAGCCAAAGAAGACCATCAAAAAGAAGGTCATTAGGCGCAAGGGTAAACAACAACAAGTAACCGAAGAAGTTACTGTCGAAGAGAAAGGAAAGAGACCTGTGACAACTGTCACAGAAGGTCCTGTAGAAGAAGTTCTTGAAGAAACCATAAAAGCATTGCCTGCTCCTGAATTTGTTAAACCATCCGAAGTTGAGGAAGTGCGAGAACAGGTAACTATTACCGAAGAAGTCACAAAAGAAGGTAAACCAAAGAAAACCATCAAGAAGAAGGTTATTAAACGCAAAGGAAAAGAGCAACAAGTAACCGAAGTAGTTACTGTTGAAGAAAAAGGAAAAGCTCCAGTGACAACGGTGACCGAAGGCCCTGTTGAAGAAGTGGTTGAAGAAGTAATTAAAGCATTACCTTCCCCAGAATACGTACAGCCATCTGAAGTTGAAGAAGTTCGGGAACAAGTTACTGTTACGGAAGAAGTCACTAATGAAGGTAAGCCAAAGAAGACCATCAAAAAGAAGGTCATTAGGCGCAAGGGTAAACAACAACAAGTAACCGAAGAAGTTACTGTCGAAGAGAAAGGAAAGAGACCTGTGACAACTGTCACAGAAGGTCCTGTAGAAGAAGTGGTTGAAGAAACCATAAAAGCCTTGCCTGCTCCTGAATTTGTTAAACCATCCGAAGTCGAGGAAGTTCGGGAACAGGTAACAGTGACTGAAGAAGTTACTAAAGAAGGTAAACCAAAGAAGACCATCAAGAAGAAGGTCATAAAGCGCAAAGGTAAAGAGCAACAAGTGACAGAAGTAGTTACTGTTGAAGAAAAAGGAAAAGCTCCAGTGACAACTGTGACAGAAGGACCAGTTGAAGAGGTACTTGAAGAAACCATAAAAGAATTGCCTGTCCCTGAATTTGTTAAACCATCCGAAGTTGAGGAAGTACGAGAACAGGTAACTGTTACCGAAGAAGTCACAAAAGAAGGTAAACCAACGAAAACCACCAAGAAGAAGGTTATTAAACGCAAAGGTAAAGAACAACAAGTGACAGAGGTAGTTACTGTGGAAGAAAGAGGAAAAGCTCCAGTGACAACGGTGACAGAAGGTCCTATCGAAGAAGTCGTTGAAGAAGTAATTAAAGCATTACCTGCACCAGAATACATACAGCCATCTGAAGTTGAAGAAGTTCGCGAACAGGTAACAGTGACTGAAGAAGTTACTGAAGAAGGTAAACCAAAGAAGACCATCAAAAAGAAGGTCATTAGGCGCAAGGGTAAAGAACAACAAGTAACCGAAGAAGTTACTGTCGAAGAGAAAGGAAAGAGACCTGTGACAACTGTCACAGAAGGTCCCGTAGAAGAAGTTGTTGAAGAAACCATAAAAGCCTTGCCTGCTCCTGAATTTGTTAAACCATCCGAAGTCGAGGAAGTACGAGAACAGGTAACTGTCACGGAAGAAGTAACTAAAGAAGGTAAACCGAGGAAAACAATTAAGAAGAAGGTAATTAAACGGAAAGGTAAGGAGCAACAAGTTACCGAAGTAGTGACTGTCGAAGAGAAAGGAAAGAGACCTGTAACAACTGTCACAGAAGGTCCTGTTGAAGAAGTGGTTGAAGAAGTAATTAAAGCATTACCTGCCCCAGAATACGTGCAGCCATCTGAAGTTGAAGAAGTTCGGGAACAGGTAACAGTGACTGAAGAAGTTACTAAAGAGGGTAAACCAAAGAAGACCATCAAGAAGAAAGTCATTAAGCGGAAAGGTAAAGAACAACAAGTAACGGAGGTTGTAACAATCGAGGAACAAGGAAAAGCACCCGTAACAACTGTAACAGAGAGTCCTGTAGAAGAAGTGGTTGAAGAAACCATAAAAGCATTGCCTGCTCCTGAATTTGTTAAACCATCCGAAGTTGAGGAAGTACGAGAACAGGTAACTGTTACGGAAGAAGTCACTAAAGAAGGTAAGCCAAAGAAAACCACCAAGAAGAAGGTGATTAAGCGGAAAGGTAAGGAGCAACAAGTGACAGAGGTAGTTACTGTGGAAGAAAAAGGAAAAGCTCCAGTGACAACGGTGACGGAAGGTCCTGTGGAAGAAGTAGTTGAAGAAGTAATAAAACCTTTACAAGCTCCAGAACACGTGAAACCATCCGAAGTCGAGGAAGTACGTGAACAAGTAACAGTGACCGAAGAAGTCACTAAAGAAGGTAAACCGAGGAAAACTATTAAGAAGAAGGTTATTAAACGCAAAGGTAAAGAACAGCAAGTGACCGAAGTAGTTACTGTCGAAGAGAAAGGAAAGAGACCTGTAACAACTGTCACAGAAGGTCCTGTAGAAGAAGTGGTTGAAGAACCCATAAAAGCATTGCCTGTTCCTGAATTTATTAAACCATCCGAAGTCGAGGAAGTGCGTGAACAAGTAACTGTCACTGAAGAAGTAACTAAAGAGGGTAAGCCAAAGAAGACCACCAAGAAAAAGGTGATTAAACGTAAGGGTAAAGAACAACAAGTGACAGAAGTAGTTACTGTTGAAGAACACGGAAAAGCCCCGGTAACAACCGTGACTGAGAGTCCTGTAGAAGAAGTGGTTGAAGAAACCATAACAGCATTGCCTGCTCCTGAATTTGTTAAACCATCCGAAGTCGAGGAAGTACGAGAACAGGTAACTGTCACGGAAGAAGTCACTAAAGAAGGTAAGCCAAAGAAAACCACCAAGAAGAAGGTGATTAAGCGGAAAGGTAAGGAGCAACAAGTGACAGAGGTAGTTACTGTGGAAGAAAAAGGAAAAGCTCCAGTGACAACGGTGACGGAAGGTCCTGTGGAAGAAGTAGTTGAAGAAGTAATAAAACCTTTACAAGCTCCAGAACACGTGAAACCATCCGAAGTCGAGGAAGTACGTGAACAAGTAACAGTGACCGAAGAAGTCACTAAAGAAGGTAAACCGAGGAAAACTATTAAGAAGAAGGTTATTAAACGCAAAGGTAAAGAACAGCAAGTGACCGAAGTAGTTACTGTAGAAGAGAAAGGAAAGAGACCTGTAACAACTGTTACAGAAGGTCCTGTAGAAGAAGTGGTTGAAGAAACCATAAAAGCATTGCCTACTCCTGAATTTGTTAAACCATCCGAAGTCGAGGAAGTTCGTGAACAAGTTACAGTTACCAAAGAAATAACTGAGGAGGGTAAACCTAAAAAGACGACCAAGAAGAAGGTTGTTAGGCGTAAAGGAAAAGAACAACAAGTAACCGAGATCGTCACTGTCGAGGAACAAGGAAAAGCTCCGGTGACAACTGTGACTGAAAGCCCTGTTGAAGAATTGGTTGAAGAAACTGTGAAACCACTACCCGCGCTAGAATATGTAAAACCAACTGAAGTGATGGAAAAACCGGAAGAAGTAACTGTCACTGAAGAAGTTGTGGAGGAAGGCAAACCAAAGCGGACTGTGAAAAAGAAGATTAAACAGAAAGAAGTTCGCGAAGTTGTCTCCGATGTTGTGGCGGAAGTGGATGAAACTAAACCTGGCGAACTTCCTGTTGGTGAAACTAAGAAACTCGTTAAATTGCAGCGTGTTAAGGTTACTAAATTCGAAGCTACGAAACTAGATGTGCAGGAAGTATCCGTAGATAAACCACAATTTGCTCAAATAAAATTGCGCAAGACACCAGTAGCGAAACGTCCAGAAGAGAAGAAGAAGAAAGAGAAGTTTCCTCGTATTTTGCTACGAAGTCGCATTACTGCCACCGAGTGGCCTCCAGGTCTCAAGCACTTGAAGCTCACTGAACTCGAACCGAATGAAATTCAAAATGGCATTCTGTCCCGTAACGTCGAGGAAGCCGCAACCTTACCAAAATTGAAGAAGAAGAAGAAGGTGAAGCACTTGGAGAAGGAAATAGCCAAGTTGGAACAGCTCGATAAGGAATTTGCTGAGTTGAAGAAAGAATTACCGTTGGAGAAGCTGGACGAGCCAGTACCTGAAGAGAAGCCGGAACGAAAGGTCAAAAAGAAGAAGAAACCTGAAGATAAAGTAACGGAGACTGTGAAACCTCAATTGATGAGAATCAGTATCAAAGAACAGAAAGCAACTAAACCGAAAATCCAAGAACCTGCCACACCTCTGTTTGCACAAATCAAATTAAAGAAAGCTCGTGTTGTTCCGAAGAAGGTTGACAAGGATGAAAGCAAGTTTCCAAAGATTTTGTTACGCAGTCGCATAACTGGCCACGAATGGCCGCCATCTATACAATATCCAGTGATAACCGACTTGGAGCCAATTTACGTACAAAGCGGTATAATATCTCGAACGATGGAAGAAGCAATGAAGCTGAAGAAGGTAAAACGCAAGAAAGTGAAGCTTTCTGAAAAGGAGTTGATAGAATTGGAAAAACTGGACCAAGAATTCGAAGAATTAAAGAAAGTCCCATTGGAGAAGGTCGAAGAGTTAGCCCCGTATGAACGTAAACCGAAACCTAAAGAAGTCGAAGAAGAGAAACCAAAGAAATTAAAGATTGGGAAAGGAAAACCTCGGCCTGTAGAAGAGGAAGACCAAGAAACTGTTCGTTTGAAGAAAATACCGGAGAAGGCTCCAAGCGTTTCCGAGGAAACGGTTCCCGTTCCGAAAGAGAAAGACGAAGTGGAGAAACCTAAAGAGAAGAAGGACAAGCCCGAGTATCCCGAGTTAGAACCGTTCGAGCCTTACGATGTGGAAATCGGTGAAGTTGACTTGGAAGAAAGAGAGAAGCCAGAGTATCCTGAACCAGAGAAACCAACGCCTAAGAAAGTTCCAGGTAAAAAGCCAAAGAAGGAACGTAAAACACCGGCTCAAGACACAGAAGCTGTCCCCATCGTGCCTGGCGTTCCAAAGCCTCGAGAACCCGAAGAGGAAGAAGAGATCAAGAGAAGAATTCCTGAACGCGATGCTCCAACCGAGGAACCAGAGCAGATAAAACTGAAACCGTGGAAGAAACGCGACGAACCGAAGGAAGAAGATAAAGTACCCGAAGAGTACATAAAGTTCGTTCCGAAGGACGACGACATTGTTGAAACTGTTGAAGTTGTCACTACCGTAGAGACCGAAGAGACACCGGAGAAGAAGGTACGAAAAATTAAAAAGAAGAAAACCACCACCAAGCGTGGAGACGAGAAACCAAAGGTCGTCGAAGAGACAACGATAGAAGAAGATGGCGTCGAGCCTGTCGTTACCGTCGAAGAATTCGACGAGGATAAACCGGAAGCTTTGCCAGTCGTGTCTGTCGAGAAACCCGCGCCTGTGGAAGAGATCAAAGAAGAAATAGTTACGAGCGAGATCGTTACCGAAGAAGGGACAAAGAAAACGGTGCGCAAAAAGCGCGTGACGAGGAAACGAGAAGGTAAAGAACGGGTCACCGAAGAGGTGATCGTCGAAGAGGAAGGTAAACCACCATTAACAGCAACAATAGAACCCCACGAAGACACTACACCAGAAATACACGAAAAACCCAAACACAAAAGACCGATTAAACCCAAAGCTGATGAGAAAGTACCAGAAGGTAAGCCCATTTCTTACGTATTACTATCACCATTACCTACAATTAGACGTTACAACGTACATGTGTCCTTACGTGTCTTTATTCGCTACGCATAACAAGAACAGGAAACAAAGACATGATTGACAAACATACTTTATATCATATTATCAATGCACCTAATTTCTATCTGCTTCGTACATCGATTATTGATTCGTAAATGGTTTGTGATTTGTCGAGGAGAGCTTAGAAATCGATTCGAAATCATTGGTTCATGTACCGATTTAAAACATTTTGTTCTTATTGCAGATGTCACGGAGAAGGGATCGCAACAGGTAAGATTATATGTACGATTTATATTTGTATTTTCTCTGGTAATAATAACGAAGAGATATTAAACTGGCTCGATTTATGTACGTAGCAGGAAGTCATCGAGGAAGTCGAAGAAGTCAAGAAGGTCACGAAGAAGAAGAAGAAGCCTGTTACAGCTAAAGATGAAGTGACGGAAGAAATCGTGGAAGAGATAACGATAGAAGAACCTGAGAGACAGAAGGCTAAACCAATCGTGGAAGAGGAAGAAGAGACGGTGACGATAACCGAGCTCGATGTGAGGAAAGCGCCCAAGAAGAAGAAGGAGGTTGTCATCAAGGAAGAGGAGGAAATTTTCGAGACCATCGAAACACCCACGCAAAAGATCATTAGAAAGAAGACACGCCCTATGAAGAAGGGCGGAGAAGAGATCGTGGTCGAAGAAATAATTCAGAAACCCCGCGAAGAAACTATCGAAATGGAGGAGCAACAAATAATGGAGGTCGTGGAAACTCCAACGAAGAAAATCGTTAAGAAGAAGAAGGCGATTACGAAAGACGACGGAGTTCCGGAAGAGATCGTTGAAGAAATAATTATCGAAAAGCCACAGAAAGAAAAGGCGAAACCCGCCGTGGAAGAAGAAAAGAAGACCGTTAAGGTAACGAAGGTCGATTTGAAGAAAGCACCTGAGAAGCCGGAAGAAGTCGTCGAGGAGGAAGAAATAATTGAAACGATCGAGACTCCGACGAAGAAGATCATTCGTAAGAAACCCAAGGGGAAGAAAGACAAAGTGGTCGAAGAGATTATTGAGAAAACGGTGGAAGAAGGAAAGACTATGGAGGAACAGGAAATTGTAGAAATAATTGAAACGCCTACAAAGAAGATCATCAAGAAGAAGAAAGCAACGATAAAGGAAGGTAAAGCGCCCGAGGAAGAAGTCGAAGAAATTGTGATCGAAAAGCCTGTCAAAGAAAAGGCTAAAAAGGACATAGTCCCTAAAGAAGGTGTAGAGATCACGGAAATTATCGCGGAAACGCCTGTCGAGAAGCTTTTGGAAGAAAAAGCGAAACCGGAAGAAGCCACGCCATCGGAAACAACAGAAGAAAGAGCTAAAGTAATGGAAGTGGTGGTTAAGAAAGCGCCCAAAAAGAAGAAGACTGTTACTGCCGTCGAGACAACAGAAACTGAAGAAATTGTAGAAGAAGTGAAACCTGAGGTGCCAGTGGAAGAAAAAGCAAAACCAATCGTTACGGAAACGGAAGGCGTCCAAGTGACCGAAGTGGTTACAGACGTGACTACGGAGGAACTTCCTGAGAAGGTTAAACCTAAAAAGAAGAAAGCAACCGAGATCAAGGAAACAGAAGAGAAAGTAGTAACAGAAAAAGTAACGGTAAAGGAAGCACCAAAAGAAGCTGTGCCAGAAGTGGAAGAACAACCGGTCGAAGAAGTGCAAGAACTTGTTCCTGAAAAGCCAAAGAAAACTAAAGCAAAGAAAGAAATTACTCCGAAGGAGGGTCTCATAACGACCGAAGTAGTCGCTACAACTGCGGAAGAGATATTAGAAGTTGAGAAACCCGAAGAGGACAAAGCTTTGGTGACCGAAGAAGAAAAAGAGACAGCTACCGTTGAAGAAAAGAAGGTTACTGTGAAAAAGGCACCCAAGAAAAAGGTGAAACCAACGGAAACTGAAGAGGAACAAGTAGAAGAAGTTGTGGAAGAAATAACGCCTGAAGAACCAAAGAAGAGGAAAGCTAAGAAGGCTGTTCTTCCTAAAGAAGAAATACAAACGACCGAAGTGGTGGCTGAAGTTACAACGGAAGAGATACCTAAAGACAAGAAACCGAAGGAGGAGAAGGCTGTGCCCACGGAGGAAGAAAAGATTCAAGAGGAGGCAAAGGTCACTGAAGTTTCCGTAAAGAAAGTACCGAAGGAAAAGAAACCGAAAGAAGAACCGATTGTAACAAATGGTGAAATGATAAAAGAAAAGCCTGAAGAAAAGGAGGTTCCTGTTGAGAAACCAGAAGAAAAAGAGGAAGTTGCAAAAGTTCCTAAAGAAAAACCAAAGAAGAAGAAATTGCCGACAGAGAAGAAACCTACTGTATCAGAGGAGGAACAACGCGAAGATAAGATAGAAGAAATAATAGAAGAGAAGCCAAAGAAGGTGAAAGCTAAGAAAGAAGTCGTTCCAAAAGACAGCGTAGAAACGACTGAAGTTGTTCCAGAAAGCGTGGCGGAAGAATTGCCGACCAAGAAGCCCGACGAACGCAAAGCTGTGCCCGTCGAAGAGAAAGAAGATGTGGTAGAAATAACGGAAGTGCCGGTAGAAAAGGCTCCGGAAGAGAAGAAGGAAGAAGTAACTGAAGAGAAACCCGTCGAAGAAGTGCCTAAGAAGCCAAAGGTCGTGAAGAAGAAGAAGAAACCAGCCAAGAAAGACGAATTGGAAGAATGGGTGGAGCCTGAGTATGAAAGACCTGTTCTGGAGCCCATGCCTGAGAAGATTCAATGGGAACCGACGAAAAAGAAGAAAGAGAAGAAGCCTTTGCCTGAATCCATGCAGAAATTGGTTCCACAAAAGATCGAGAGGAAAGAGTTCAAGCCGACAAAATTAAAGTATTCCGAACCCACGGAAACGATACAATTCGCTGCCATCAAACTGAAGAAGGTAGCAGCCCCGAAGAAGAAAGAGGTCGCTGAGACTAAATTGCCAAAGATTATGTTGCGCAGTAGAATCACTTTCGTTGGTGATTATCCGCCAGAATTGCAGGTTCCAAAGATAAGTTACATGGAAGAAAATCCAGTTCAAACGGGTATCCTTTCTAGAAATACGGAAGAAGCTCTGAAACTACTGAAGAGAAAGGTAAAGAGAGTTAAGCTTTCTGAAAAAGAGGTTACACAATTGGAAAAGTTGGACCAAGAATTCGAAGAATTAAAGAAAGTTCCATTGGAGAAAGCCGAAGAGTTAGCCCCGTATGAACGTAAACCGAAGAAAACGCCCAAAGAACCGGAGGAACCACAGAAATTGGTCGTTGGAAAGGGTAAGGTACTGGAAGAAGAGAAACCTGAGCCTGAAAAAGTGAAATTGAAGAAAATACCTGAAACGAAACCGGAAGAAGTTACAGAACCCGTTAAGAAACCTGTAAAACCAGAACCAGAGGAGGAAGTTAAGCCGGAAAAGAAAAAGAAACCAAAAGTGAAATTGGAACACGATGAATTTAAACCACTGGAATTTGACAGACCAGAATTGGAGAAATATGAGCCTGAGGAAGAAGAAAAACCAGAGAAACCGGAACCTGAGCCAATTCCAAAGCCATACGAAAAAGAGAAGAAGAAGAAACCGGATCAAGAGATTGAGCAGATTCCGTTGATAAAGGGTGAACCAAAGCCACCAGAACCGGACGAGGAACCAGAAGTCAAGTTCAGAATACCAACGAAAGAGAAACCAGAAGAGGAACCAGAAAAAATAACGTTAAAAGGTTGGAAGAAAGATAAACCTGAAGACGAAGGTGAGAAAGAGTTCCCAGCAAAGGAAGAGGAAGAAGCTCCGAAAGCTCCGAAAGAAGAAGCTGAAGATGTCACTGTGAAACGGAAGCCTAAAGCTAAAAAACCCAAAGAGAAGCCTCCAAAAGAAGAAGAAGTTACAATTAAGAAGCCTGAACCTAAGGAACCAGAAGAAGTTCCGGAAATAACCGAAGAAATTACTTTGAAGAAAGAACCGGTGAAACCAATCGAGGAAGCTCCAGCCGAAGTTACGATCAAAAAGCCAATTGTCGAAGAAAAGGAAATAGTAGAAGAGGAAACGGTGACGGAAGTTACTTTGAAGAAGAAACCGAAAAAACCAACTGAAGTCGCGGAAGAAGCGATCGTAAAGAAACCAAAGAAAAAGCCTGTCAAAGAGGAAGCAGCTGACGAAGTTACACTGAAGAAAACTGTCACAGAAGAAAAGGAAGTGGAGGAAGTTGAAGAAGAAGTTGTAATAAAGAAAAAACCGAAGAAGGTACCTGTACCGGAAGAAGTAAGTGAAGAGATTACACTGAAAAAACCAGAGCCGGAAGAAAAGGTGAAACTTCCGGAAGAAGTAAGCGAACAGGTAGAACTAAAGAAACCAAAGAAGAAGAAGAAGCCAGTAGAAGAAGAAGCTGCCGATGAAGTTACCATTAAAAAGGTTGTTGTAGAAGAAAAACCGGAAGAAGAGGTTCCTCAAGAAGTGACGCTGAAAAAGAAGAAGCCTAAAGAGAAACCTGTTCCAGAAGAAGTCACTGAAGAGATTACATTGAAGAAACCAGAACCGGAAGAAAAGGTAAAAGTACCGGAAGAAGTAAGCGAACAAGTGGAACTAAAGAAACCGAAAAAGAAGAAGCCAGTCGAAGAAGAAGCAGCTGATGAAGTTACCATCAAAAAGGTTGTTGTCGAAGACAAACCGGAAGAGGAGGTTCCAGAAGAAGTAACGTTGAAAAAGAAAAAACCGAAGAAGGTACCTGTACCGGAAGAAGTAAGTGAAGAGATTACACTGAAAAAACCAGAGCCAGAAGAAAAGGTGAAACTTCCGGAAGAAGTAAGCGAACAAGTGGAGTTGAAGAAACCGAAAAAGAAGAAACCAGTGGTCGAAGAAGCTGCCGATGAAGTTACTATCAAAAAGGTGGTTGTCGAAGAAAAACCGGAAGAAGAGGTTCCTCAAGAAGTGACCTTGAAAAAGAAGAAGCCTAAAGAGAAACCTGTTCCAGAAGAAGTCACTGAAGAGATTACATTGAAGAAACCAGAACCGGAAGAAAAGGTAAAAGTACCGGAAGAAGTAAGCGAACAAGTGGAACTAAAGAAACCGAAAAAGAAGGAACCAGTGGTCGAAGAAGCAGCTGATGAAGTTACCATCAAAAAGGTTGTTGTCGAAGAGAAACCGGAAGAAGAGGTTCCTCAAGAAGTGACGCTGAAAAAGAAGAAGCCTAAAGAGAAACCTGTTCCAGAAGAAGTCACTGAAGAGATTACATTGAAGAAACCAGAACCGGAAGAAAAGGTAAAGGTACCGGAAGAAGTAAGCGAACAAGTGGAACTAAAGAAACCGAAAAAGAAGAAACCAGTGGTCGAAGAAGCAGCTGATGAAGTTACTATCAAAAAGGTTGTTGTCGAAGAGAAACCGGAAGAAGAGGTTCCAGAAGAGGTAACGTTGAAGAAGAGGAAACCTAAAGAGAAACCTGTTCCGGAAGATGTAAGTGAAGAGATTACATTGAAGAAACCAGTACCAGAAGAAAAAGTGACAGTGCCGGAGGAAGTAAGCGAGAAAGTTGAATTAAAGAAACCGAAAAAGAAGAAACCAGTGGTCGAAGAAGCTGCTGATGAAGTTACTATCAAAAAGGTTGTTGTCGAAGAGAAACCGGAAGAAGAGGTTCCAGAAGAGGTAACGTTGAAGAAGAGGAAACCTAAAGAGAAACCTGTTCCGGAAGATGTAAGTGAAGAGATTACATTGAAGAAACCAGTGCCAGAAGAAAAAGTGACAGTGCCGGAGGAAGTAAGCGAGAAAGTTGAATTAAAGAAACCGAAAAAGAAGAAACCTGTAGTCGAGGAAGCTGCTGATGAAGTTACCATCAAAAAGGTTGTTGTCGAAGAAAAGCCGGAAGAGGAAGATGCTCCGATGGAGGTTACTTTGAAACCGAAACCTAAGAAGAAGTCAATTCCAAAAGAAGAAGAAGAAGAAGAAACTGCTGAAGTGACTTTGACGAAACCAAAACCGGTCGAAGAAGAAAAGAAACCGGAAGAAGGTGAACTGACTCTGAAGAAGAAGCCAAAGAAGAAACCCGTTGTTGAAGAAGAAGCTGCCGAAGTAACAATAAAGAAATTAGTGCCCACGGAAGCTGAAGAAGCACCAGAAGAATTCACGATTAAGAAGAAGAAACCAGAAAAGAAGCCATCTGTAACGGAAGAAGTAGAAGAAACCGCGATAACCATAAAGAAAGCTCGTGCTCCGGAAAAGCCTGCCGAGGAAGAAGAAGTGTCGACCGATGTGCAAATAAAGAAGAAAAAGCCAATTCGAAAGGTCGAGGAAGATGCTGCTGAGGAACTGACGATCCAAAGAATCGAAGAAGTTGAACAACCTGAGGATGAAGTGCATGAATTCACGTTCAAGCGTAAACCACCGAAGATGGCTCCTAAACCGATCGAAGAAATTTATGAAGACGTTACCCTTCGAAAACTGCGACCAAAGAAGAAACCCAAACCAGACATTAAAGAAGTCACGGAAACAGAGAACGTGACATTCAGACCACGCAGTACAAAGACCAAGGAAGACGTGGAACAAGAATTTAAAATATCTTTGAACACGTACGAGGAAGAAGACATCTCCATGTCTGGAAAAGTTCGTCTGAAGCCAAAGAAACGTCCGATGACGTTCTCCGAAGAAGCTGGAGAAGAAACCATCAGAATTATGCAGGAAGTGGAGGACGATTCAGGCCCGATCATTGAAGAAATAATTGATGAATCGGACGAGGAAGCCAAGGACGAATATAGCATCGAGGAATTGGAAACCGACGAGATGAATTTGCCTTTGAGGAGAAAGAAAAAGAAGGTACCCAGGCCGTACAAAGTCGAAGACGTCGAAGAGGGTGACGTGAAATTGAAATTGAAACGCGAGAGAAAGTACTCGATCGAAGAAACCGACGAGTCGTTGGCATTAAAGCTGAAGAGCAAGAGACGTGTTTCCACATACGACGAAGGTTCGATAGAATTTTTCGATTATCGGCTTCGCAGATAACATTTAATCTGATGTAACATGCTTTCAGCTAAAGTAGAAATTAACGTTCGTCAGACTATCGATCTTTAGTGAGTATGTTCGCCCTTAATATCCTCCCAACTTCTTCCTTGCTTCTTAATCCACTGCGAATGAAAAGCATATCGGTACTCCGTATAACGTATTTCAATTCAATAGATATTAAATGCTTAATAACGCGATACTAAATCTGATAGTAATATTTACTATCCTGCAAAATCACTTTTATGCGTATAATAAATGAAAAGTTAATCGTATTAACGGATATCGATTCTAATTGTTGGATCTTCGTTAAAACTTTATGTGAAATATTGCAGAAGAGGCCACGCTTAGTATCACCAGAGAAGAGGACATTTCAGAGGAAGGTACGTTTATTTTTAAATAACCTTATTAATAATTTACATAATTTACGGAACTTTTTAGAAGAGATCGAGTACATAGTTCGCGATGGCGACACCATGTTCTCGATCTGCTCTTACGTGGCAGAAACTGACGAAGCCATCAATCTTGTCGAAGGAGAAAGAGTTTATGTCATCGGTAAGTTACCTTAACGAGAAAGTAACGTATAAGGGGATATTTATTCGAGACAAGAGTATTACACGCATAGTATCGTTTCAGATCACACAAATCAGGACTGGTGGTTCGTGAAGAAGCATTTGACGAATGAGAAGGGTTGGGTTCCAGCGCAATATCTTCTCAACGAAGTACACTATACCCATTATCTTCAACGCAAATTGCACGAGAAAATCGACAAATTGCCAGTGTTCGAAAGTGAGTTTGTTTATAATTTTCATTTCTTTTATTGGTACAACATAAAAATGGAAATGGCAGATAAATTAGTCTTTTAAAATTATTAGGAATATCACATATACGCATTGAGAATTGATATTTAACGAGCATATTAACGTTTCAGAACCCGTGCCCGGTGAGCAATCGTCTGCACCGAAATTCGTTGAAAAACTACAGCCGATTCACACGCCAGATGGTTACACGGTTCAATTCGAGTGTCAAGTGGAAGGTGTACCGAGGCCGCAAATAACCTGGTTCCGACAAACCGCCATCATTAAGCCGTCTCCTGACTTCCAAATGTATTACGACGACGACAATGTGGCGACTTTGATCATCAGAGAGGTGTTCCCCGAGGATGCCGGCACCTTCACCTGTGTCGCCAAAAACACGGCTGGATTCGCGTCCAGTACCACAGAATTGGTCGTAGAAGCGCCTCTTTCTGATCACGGATCAGACCTAACTGGTCCATCGAGAAAGAGCCTTTCGAGGTGAATGACTTTTCGATTCTTGCGCGATATTTTCATGTTTCACATTTAACATTTAAAAATTTATAGCATTTTCGGGCATTTAAAATTTATAGTCATTCGATATTATTTCAAGACGATCGAATATTCTACGTTAACACTGCGTAATAGCATTTCGATGTTAATTAATATAAACGAACACGTGCAGAGAATCGTCCCTAGCCGACATCTTGGAGGGAATACCACCGACGTTCTCTCGCAAACCTAAAGCGAAATACGTGAACGAGGGCGACGACGTGATATTAGAGTGTCGACTGGTAGCTGTACCCGAACCGGAAATAACTTGGTACTACAAGGACACGAAAATCACGAGCAAAGAGAACATCGTGGTCGTCACTGAAAGCGACATGCACATGTACTGCAGCGTGATCAAGATCACCAAAGTGCAGAAGAAGCAGGAAGGAAAGTACACCATCGTTGCTAAAAACAGAGAAGGTGAAGCTAACATCGAGATTCCTATGAAGGTTTGTACATCCCCCAGTGATTCCTTTAAAGTACATTACTTCGTGTTTGAATAATTTATATTTTTTTGTAAAACACCTGCAGGTAAACATTCTCTATAATCGTATGGAAAAGACGAAAAAGGGAAATAATAAAACAATTACGTTTGTTTATTTTAATTCAAATTATCGAGTATAAATTCAAATCCAAATCTTCCATTAACGATCATTTCTTTCTGTATAAACCTGGCGAATAAGAATTGATGTATTTCGTATGCTTGCGTAATTTACAGGTCAGGACAGGAAAACACGAACCACCGGAGATTCTAGAACCCCTACAATCATACGTGGTGAGAGAAGGAGAAACCGTGTTATTGTCGACTCAAATCGTCGGAAACCCTGCGCCCAAAGTCACCTGGACCAAGAACGGCAAACCACTAAAGGGCTTGTCACCGAAACAAGATGGCCACGTGAACACATTGACTCTCATTCAACCCCAAGTGTCTGACACTGGGGAGTATTCGGTAGTGGCCACCAACGATCTTGGCACTGCCGAGACTAAAGCAACATTGACAGTCGAAAGTAAGCATTCTATCATCAGCCTTGCAACAATTTTTAACTTTTTTACGATAAACGCTTGCCACGCATTTGCATATCACATTAAAGGGAATTAATTGAATGTACCATACAAATTGGAACATTTTAACCACTTGAATTTTTTATAATTTTCTCGATCTATGAAAATTAATAATATTAATTTAATTAGATGTATAATATTTTTCTACAATAATTTCTGATTATTTCCTTAATTGAGAAGACGATAATGAAATCATGAAGTATAATAAATAACGAAATATGAAATTTAAAGCAAATATGTAAATATTTGGAGAAGTGGTTAAAGAAACTTTGCATTAGATTCGAACTTGTTAAAAGATCACGCTTATATTAACATCATAAAACGCTTAACTAATATATTTTTCAGTCAACTCGAAGCCTTCGTTGAGCATTAATATCCAACAGCACACGTATGAACACTTCAGCGTGATTAAGGGTAGGATATGCTTCTGCTTTTGCTTATGGTGTTTTATAATAGAAATCTCTTGTATGCACGAACAATAGAAATCGTTAGGAATTCGAAGAAAATAGTGGTATTTTTGTACTTTGTAGAAATACCAAGCGGAGCTCCAGAACCGCCATTGTTCACGGAACGGTTCCAAGAAGTTACTGTTCCAGAGAAAGGTACATTTAAACTGGTGGCAAAGGTTACTGGAAATCCTGTACCAGAAGTTTCGTGGTTAAGGTACAGTTATTTATTTAATTACTTCCACTTTTCTTTGAATATAAGGAATATTTCTTCATAATTTTAGTGAGCACTTTAATTTAAATAACTCAGATTCAGACATTATTCTCGAAGAAGTTAAGACTGTGAATTAAATTACTAAAGACAGTGGAATTAAATTACTGATTAAAAAGAATCCTATGGTTTAAATATAATCTAATGCGATCTAAAAAAAAACGATTTATAATTTTTCAAGAATAGGTAAATTTCAATTTTAAAAGAATAATAAAATTTGAGGAAAAACTCAGGGATGAAACGTATTTGTTTGCATAAATTTTTTTTTTTTTAAATTTGCTCTTACAGAAATTAAAGATCAAAAGTGTATTTTAGTGGAATGGTGGGAAAAAATATATTTATAAGCGATATCGTTCGTCCAACAGGAACAACATGCCGTTGGAAAAATCTCCGAACATCACGGAAGTCTATGACGGGGAGAATATTTCCTTGGAAATTCGAAACGCGGATTCAGAGGTGGATTCTGGCGATTACAAATGCATTGCCAGCAATCCCGTTGGAAAAACGTCGCACGGTGCAAGGGTCACGGTGGACGTCGAAAAAGTAACGTTTACGAAGATGTTGGAGAAGGAAGTCGTCGTCGACGAATACAAAATGCTGGAACTGACCTGCGAAACGTCCCATACCGTCTCCACGAAATGGTGGCACAACGACAAGGAGATCAGTGGAATGGATCACCGCGAAATCATCCAAGAAGGACACGTGCACAAGCTGGTAATCAAGAAATCAAGCCCCACGGACGAGGGTATTTACGAGTGTACTGTGAAAAATCAATCAACGTCCAGCAAAGTCACGGTGAAAGGTAATTTTTTTGCTATACCCGCTTAAACGGTCTGTTGTATGTTTTATCGTATTATAATATTATATCTTCTGTTGCTTCACTAGACTAATACAAATTAATTCAACATCTTTATTCTACTTCTAACTGCTTGTTATTGAGAAATCTGATCCGTTTGTACAGCCACCAAACCGGAGTTCGTGAAGAAGTTGTTAGATTGCGAGGTGAAAGAACGCGAAGTCGCCATTTTGGAGGTAGAGATTACGTCGCAGACGGCTGACGTTAAGTGGTCTAAGGACGGCGAACCATTAGGACCGGGCAAAGAGAAACTAGAATTCGTGAAAGATGGTACTGTCAGAAAGTTGCTTATCAGGGGCACATCCGTCCACGACGAGGGAGAATACACCTGTTCTCTCTTGGATCAAGAATGCACCGCGGAAGTCACTATTATCGGTGAGCATTGGTTTATCAATATGTATTACTAGAGACGTACGGTAGGGACAGATATTTTTCTTATCATTGTACAAGTATGTTATAAATATTTTACTATATTTCGAGAGTGAAACGTAGTCAAGATAACCTTTTAAAAATGTATCCCTTCCAAACATTGACCACTATTAATACAATATTAAATTAATCCATTCTTTCGTCGAGTATTAATGAATTATTTTTTAAATTATCCCAGAATTGCCACCAGAAATTATTACCAAGATGCAAGATGTAACAATAGCAAGGGGCGAAAAGGCAACATTCGAGATCGAATTAACAAAAGGAGATGCATTGGTACGATGGTTTAAAGATGGACAAGAGTTGCAATTTTCCGAACACGTCCAACTATCGATCGATGGCAAGAGGCAAAGACTGAAGATCTACGACACGGAACCAGAAGATGCGGCCGTTTATTCTTGCGAAGTTGGCAAACAAACCTCGTCGGCTAAGCTGACTGTCGAAGAACCTGGAGTCGATTTCATCACTAAACTACCAGACGTGACTCTGGTGCCGTTGAACGCCGATGCCGAATTCGTGATTGAACTGTCTCAAGACGTTCCAGTCACGTGGTACAGGTAAGATTAAATTACAAATAATCACGATGAAATTTTCTATAATACAGGATGTTCACCTTATATGCGAAGAATCCTTTATGAAGAATACCTGACATCTGAAATGACATGTAATAATATAATAATGTCGCAGGAAAACGGAAGTCATCAAGGACACACCGAAATACACAATCATCGACAAAGGCACTGTAAAGAAACTGATCGTCAAGAATTGCACGACCGACGACATTTCGGAATACTCGGCCATTGTGACGAACGTGAAAACATCGTCAAAATTAAGAATCGAAGGTAAAATTCGAATCAATCGAAACGAATTCTAAATTGACTGATACGTTATCATTTTAATATTAAAATTCCATTCATCTTAAGTTAGAAAAATTTTAATTTTAAAATGTAGAAAAATTGAATAATTAACATCGTTGTAATGTACACTTTCAGTGGTCGAGACGCCACCAAAGATCAGCCCCGACACACCAAGGAAATACAAAGTGAGGAAAGGTGAGGACGTCGATGTTGTCGTGAAATTCAGTGCAGCACCGAAGCCAACCAGCCAATGGACAGTAAATGGTCACGTGATTACAAAATCTAAACGAGTTGCGCCGACGATCGACGAGGAATCTGCAACCCTAACTATCAGGAAGATCCAAGAGGAAGATGTTGGCGACTACACTGTCAAACTAACGAATCGCGCTGGCGAGGCCAGCGTCGACATCACCGTCGTCGTAATGCGTAAGTGTCGTGGTTTGTTATATTTTTGTTAATTTTATTGAGTAATATAGCATAGAAACTTAACGAGATGAGGTTTTCCCTTGCAGAGGTACCAAGCGCACCCGGAGCACCTGAACCATTGGAAACAACCAACGACAGTGTTACACTTCACTGGAAGAAACCAGATTCGGATGGTAATTCTCCTATCGTCGAATACATTCTGGAATACCAAGAGAAGACTACAACTACGTGAGTATACGTAGTTTTTTATGTGGTTTTTCTCGCTTCAAGGAACAACTTTTTCAATATTATTAGAATTTCTACATAGTGTTCAGCAAAATACGCGTTGTAAAAATTGATTTGTCCGTAGTTGGACCAGGGTCACAGAAACTATAACAGAGACAACGCACAAAGTGACGAAACTAACCACGAACAAAGAGTACACCTTCCGAGTGACAGCCGTGAACGAAGAAGGCCCAGGCGAAGTATCACCGCAATCGCCATACGTGAAGATATCAAAACCGTCAGCCGCGGAACCACCAGTCGTCTTGGAACCTCTAAAGAGTGTCGTCGTAGGCCTAAAAGAAACAGTTACTCTTTCGTGCGTCATTGGCGGATCGCCGCTGCCAGACATCGTTTGGTACAAACTTTTATTTCAACGCGTAAAACAATATTTATTTATTTATTTATTTATTTATTTATTTACGGATAAAAAAATTACCCTTTGGTACAAATTGAATAGAACATTGTAGTAATAATAAATAACAATGAAATGTTTTCCAGGTTGAGAGACGGTGAAACATTCGAAGACAGCAGTATCACGTATGAAAACCATGTGACAAAGTATACCATCACGGAAACAACGGAAACTTCATCGGCAACGTTCACAGTTAAGGCGAAGAACAACGTTGGAACAGCAGAAACAACGTGCGAATTGAAAGTACAGGAAGCACCGAAGATTATTTTCGACGAGACATTGGCGAACCAAAAGTTACCAGTGAACGGTCAATGGAAGATCGAGATTCGAACCAGTGGCTTCCCGAAACCGGAAGTTACGTGGACGAAGAACAGCAAGAAAATTGTCGAGAAACACGTGACTACCCGTACCGAAGAATACACATCTACCATTTCTATTTCTTCCCTCGTCAGAGAGGACACTGCCACTTACACAGCAAAGGCGAGCAACCAAGCTGGTAGTTCTTCGGTTGACTTACATCTCAAAATCATAGGCAAGTTGCAAACGTTTCTAATTCATTCATTCAATTGTATTAAATATATTTGTAAAAAGAAACGGCAAACGCTTAGACCTAAAATGAAGACCTTCTTCGGGATAACTGTGTATAATTATAAGGAGTACATATATCCAAACACCTTGTATATTTATATTACATTGTTACCTCTGAAGAGGGTCAGTTAGGTCCGGGTTAGATTTAATATTATATTTTAATGTTTGAGAATCAAGTTGTTATATCGATGTGTTTTTAAATCGTTTAGACAAACCAAACAAACCGCAGGGGCCGATTATCTTTAAAGAAATCAGACAAGATCGCGTTACCCTCGAATGGCGACCACCAGCCGACGACGGTGGAATTGAACTCGATAAGTACACCATCGAGAAATGCGAGCCAGGCAAGGCTTGGGTAAAGATCGTCGATATCGACAAGGAAGTAGAAAGCTTTTGCGTGCACAAACTGCAGCAGAATGCCGAATACATGTTCAGGGTCATCGCCAGAAACGCTGTCGGTGCATCAGAACCTTTGGAATCGGAACCGGTCAAGATGAGAACTTCCTTCGGTATTATCGATTCCTATAATTGCCTTTTTCCATACATTTCCATTGCTGTTAAATAGTTTGATTAACGTTAAAAAATTAATGTATCCGCAGAACCACCAGGACCACCAAGAGGACCACTAGAAGTATCCGGAATGACGAAGACATCGTTTACGATAAAATGGCAGCCTCCAGAAAACGACGGTGGAACACCAATAACGGAATATATTGTTGAAATGAAAGAAGAATCGAAGAAAAGTTGGCAGAAGGTTCGATACAAATTATACGTTACAATGTCCCAGAAAATATTGTACATTTCACAACCTTAATTTATTAACTGATAACTAAAATATGGAATTTCAAGCATTTTTTCCGCAATACCCGTAACAGTTATATAAATTATGGTTTTAAATTTTGATTTTTTTCAAATTGAGATATATCTTCTACATATAATATACAATGAATTAATAAACTAAATATATCTTTAGATATAACTTTGACAAACGATTTAAAAATAACTTGCATTTTCGAGTATGCATTCTGGAAACTGGGGGAAGCTATACATTTTTTTTTAAACGAAAATAGAACAATTCGTAGAGAAAAAACGTTGAATCTCCCATGCATTTATATTAATTTTTTATTTACAGATCGGCAGCACCAAACACGAAATAACCAACTTTAGCGTGTCAGATTTAAAGACAGACGTACCATACAACTTTAGGATAACAGCTAAGAACAGTGTTGGCACTGGTCCGCCGTATGTAGCCGAAGAACCAATTGCACCTGGCAAACGAATCAGTAAGCAAATTACCTCAAGAACTGCCTTATTAATTGCTTACAATATTTATTAAAGAACTACCATATTAATTGCTTTCAATATTTAAAATTTCATGATAAAATCCAATTTAGTACCACCAATCCATCCAATTTAAACTCATTCGCGTTTAACTCTTCATTGTTGTCTCGAAATATTTTTTTTCTTTATGAAATCTGCATTCATAAGGCTTCGCTTATTATTTAACGCTTTCGCTATCACTCAGAAATAACAAAGCTCACCGAAAGCAGCATGTACGCTCTGCTGGGTATATTTCCGCCTTCGAAAGTAGTAATCAGCAAAAGTAAGTGTATATGTGTAATGAGCAAACGTTTCTCTTTCTTTGGAATAACCGTCTTGAATTATTTTTAGCACCACCGTCGAGTCCTCAACATGTACAAGTGACGAACGTTACCAGCAAGAGCGTGACTCTCAGTTGGTCACCACCAGCTAGCACAGGAGGAACCGAACTTACAGGTAATTTAAAAAAAAACCTTTTCTATACAGGATGGTCCAGTGATCGCGATACAACAAATGAAAAAAATGAAAATGTGAAATAAATTTCTTTCTTTGTTTTCAAACGAAGCCCTTATAGTCCCCTTCTCCTTGTATCTGCCGCTAGACCTTACTATGTATAACATGTACATAACTACACGTATTTTGACATTTCAACAGGATACGTGATCGAGAAGAGACCATTGATTGGAAAGGGAGCAAGATGGACGAAAGTCGTCACTTTGGACGCCTCGACGCTCCAACATTGCATCGAAAACTTGAAAGAAAGCGAATTCCTCTTCAGAATCTTCGCAGAGAACAACATGGGACTCAGTCTACCTACAAATTCGGAACCAGTCACCTTAAAGACGCATGCCAGTGAGTAATCATATTTTTGTTTGAACGAATAGACTCACAATCGGTGTGATTGTTTGTAAATTACCACTTTTTCACAGCTGTACCATCGCCACCCACTGCGCCATTGGAGATCAGACAGATCGCAGCAAACACAGTGGTAATTTCGTGGGGCAGACCAGAGTCTGATGGCGGCGCACCATTGGAGAGCTACAAAATCGCCATCAAAGACGCGAAAAAGACGATGTGGATGGAAGTGGGCCGCGTGAACGCCGACGTGCAAAAGTTGAACATCAGAGACCTCCAAGAAGACCACATGTACCTGATCAGGATCTTCGCCAAGAACGAGATTGGCGTCAGCGATCCTTTGGAATCTGACGAACCGTTCAAAATTCTACCAGTTACCGGTAACATCTTAATGCATTATGTTTTCGATTTTATTTTCTTCGCTGCCTATGTATAGTCATATTAAAACATAAAATTCTAATGGGTGAAATTGTGTCGTTTTGCAGAACTTTCGGTAGTGGAGCCACTCGCAGACCCCACGGAAAAGGGTGAAACCGCTTCCTTGAGCTTCAGCACGGAGAACACGAGTTCTTGGCTTCGGGAACACAATATGGACGCCGACATTCACTCGTACGCGAGGGCGAGACTTCTCAGACAAGACGAATACTTCTTCCGCATTTGGCACTATGCTAAGAAGCTCTTCGAATAAGCATTTCTACGATTTAAAGGCGGAAAGAGTGGGAAACGAACCCGTTCATTCTTCTTCTTCTTCTTAACAAGGACCATAAAAAATTTAAGGCGTAAGACATCCGAGAGAAAAAAATAAGGAAACACGTAGGGCAAAGGTTTAATTATTAATTTCGTACGATACGAAAAATTCTTTCTAATTTGAATCAGGTGTATTTATACGGTTGTTATTTTCTTCTTCCACGAAATTCAATATCAACGAAACAACGAAAGAACGATATTATTGAATTGTTCCTCCCTAGAATCGAACGTGTAGCGACTAGATTTAAATTAAGAATCGATATACTGGATGGGTGTAGAATCTAGTCAGCGTAGAGTAATGTATTTTTTCTTTTTTCGTTTCAACGGACCAAGACTTCGTCACGTATGCTTGGAATCGATACGCGGAACCGGAGGGGAGGTGTCTTTCTCTAGCCGCGTCGTTGAAAATTCCAGTCGAATCGACAGGAGTTTGTTTTACCAAAGAAACTAAGAAACTCTATAAAAAATCTTTACGATGCTATCTTTCTTTCTCTTTTCTTTTTTTTTAATGAAAATGTTATCGGTGTGGTCGTAAAGCTTCCAGTGTACATACATATATTGTTTCTTCGTTTCACGAGTGCGTTTAAATTTGACGAGACATTAAAAGTTGATCAGTCGTTCCCGTGACTTTTCAACTACGCGAACTTAAGAAAGAAACTTCCTTGAGATTCCTTTCCACGCAAAGAATATTCTCGTCGAAATATCGACGGAACCCCATCAACCCCCGAGACTCTGATCTGAGGAGAATGTGATAATCGAATACCTTGCGCAAAGAAGTGATTTAGGAACGATTAAGAATACTTGACCTCCCTCACGACCTTCAAATCTTAACTCCTCCCCTCCCACCTTCTCCCCCTCATTGCCACGAATCCTTTGTATTTATATTATCGCGAACGGAAAGCAGCAGTAGTTCAGTTACACACCAGAGTTTGCGAGGATTACTTTTAGTATTTATTCGTAATATATAATGTATATTTAATTGTTACTCGTTACCATTGCCGTTATGATAATTCTTAAATAATTGCCATCGCCGTCGAAACCGATGTTGATGCAACTGGTCGATAAGACTAGATTACACAACGAAGAAATGCCACGCGTTGTTGGTGTCGCGAGACGTGCAAAATATAGATGCAAAAACAACATGAAACATTTCACCAATTATTACGTGTGTCGCATACTTCTTCGCGTTACATACTGTAAGACATTTTACGAATTAAATTATTGCAAATCGTACCCCCATTGGTGTTTCTTTATTCGAGAAATTTCACTACGAACCTTAATTATCCTTTTGTTGTATAATGTAATGTAGGATCATACGGATCAAGGATTGACAAACAAACACACCCGTTGGTATTTTAACGAACGAATATATATGTAACAGAAAAGAAAGAGAAACGATAATTTACAGGAACGGTTCGACGTGCGCTTCTCTACGTCTCGACGAGAACTGCCCGATGCCGAACGTTACCGGAATGTTCAACAATGTCGCCGAACGTTCGCGGAACGAGAGCTTGTCTTTTGCACGCGGCACTGTGATTCTCTCTTGTTACATTGTAATTATTCCGACACGTACCGAACCCACGTGTAATATTCAGAGATGACTTGTGTTGGCTAGGCACTAACAAACTAAACGGGGCAAGGGCAAGGAGAGGAAAGTCTACGGGTGCCCTAACCGATTCCCAACCACCCTCCATTAATAAAGATCTTCTGTGATCAACGATCGTTGGTCGAAGAAGAAACGAACGAAAGTTTCAGGTATACGAATCGACCGGTCACCTTATGGACTTTGATCATCCAATCAGTCTGACTGCCATACCGAGTTATTTTTTAAATAATTAAGGATTTTCGGTGGAGTTGTCAATGAGATACTTACATCCTTACGTATTTTAATAATCATAATCGATTGATGCTCAATTCTGGACCGTACAGCTTTAATTCCGTTAAAAAATAATAAAATTTCTGTAATTTCATTCTCTGTCTCACTTCCTTTTCTGTTAATTTCTAAATCTGTTGGTAACGTTGCGAGTGACACGGAAATGGTAACGGGCCGAAAAAATACATTAGGTGAAAGGTTTACTCTCGTGGTTACGTATTATAATTTTCTGTATGTTAGAATCTGATCTAAAATATCTTTGTAGAAAATATTTTTGTTAGAAAACTTACGTCTTAAACGTTGAAGTGTAGAGGCTTAACTTCTTTCCTACTGGTTTTTCATGCACCGATTACACATTTACTCTAACATCGTACGCGTAAAATCATCCGTACGAAGCTTATGGTGGATCGAAGGTAACTAAACTAAGAACACGTAAGTACAGTTTCATGAAGCACGAGAATACAGAAACCGGAAGCAACCCTTCGGTATCGATAGCTCGAGGTCTTACCGTGATATCTCGAAATAACACGATCGAACATACAAGATGGCGGCCCATTAAAGAGTTCATATATACGTGTAGTTGTTTTGTGCAGTGAATCTGTAGTTTTTTTCTTAACAATAAATTAACCAAGTATAATCATGGGGTAAGTCGTGAATTTCAACGAACGTAATTATGCTGGTTGAGAAACCATCGTTTTCGATGTATAAAAAGATACGTAAGATATGTAGTCTGTTTACATCGCATATACTTACGTGATCTTCTGTTTATTTTCGGAATTAATTTTCCACACCTTTAAGAAATTCTTTTTCATTTGACATTACGTAAGATAGCTTGATGGATTTCGAGAAAAAAGCTATTTTTCTTACACTATCATTTTTGGTACGAATCCATTGAAATAAAGTAACCTAGTTTTTGTGTCTTACAACATTCATATTTCGCAACAGTCTTCACTTAATTTCACTGGATTGAATTTTGCTAAATATTATATCGTATGGATCACATTTAAATTAATAATTAATTAAAAGAATATTAGCAGTACGCTTCAAGAAATTGTACAAAGTTTCTAACGTATGAATTAATTTATCGGATGGAATTTTATGTTTGATCTTATGTTTGAATATACATTAATTATGTCTTATCGCATAATTAATTTTTATATTACGTTTCAGTACGTCAGATCTAGAATGTTTAGAATCTAAGAGAGACACTGTCGGTGTAGATTCTGAATCCGACATGTTGAACGACCAAAGAAAGAAGAAGAAAAGAAAGCATAAGCATCACAAACACAAGAAAGATAAATTAATTGAAAGAGAAGATGGAAAGATAGAACGACAAGAACGGTACGTGCAATGTATATGTTATTAACGTTTTAATGTTGAGATAAAAAAATATTATCGAACGCGATCATTTTAGAAAAAGGCACAAGAAGCATAAGAAACCTAAGAAAGAAAGAGAGGTAGAAAATGGATCGTTGGAAGAGAAACCATCACGGCCGATTCAAAAGGACGTCGGTGTAAACGGGAAAGTAAAAAATTCGTTATTAGAAGTGGTTTCTACGGAAGAAAGCGAAGATGAAAAATTAATAGATTTAGATTCGGACGAAGTGGACTGTACAATTATTGAAGATGATATCGATCTTGAAGAGTTAATGAAACAAAAGGTATTATTCTTTATTCGAAAGTTTTACACGTAAATAAAAGAAAGCTTTTAATAATATTTTAATAATGCAGGAGCGGTTGCAAGCGTGTTTAGTACAATACCTCTCGGATGAATCTGAAAAGGAGGACAAAGAACCGGAACAAGATGAAGTAAAAGCTACAGAAACGCCTGATATTATACTTGTAGAAGACGATAGCGAAAATGACAATATACCCCCTAAAAAACGGGCCAGAAGTAAATCTGGCAGTAGGGAACGCAAAAAAATAACAAAACCTGAAAGACGCGTTGTAGTGGATATGAGCAGAGATCGACGAAGTCGAGACGAACATAAAGACAAACGAAGAGATTCGGACAGGAGACGGGAAGATAAAGTACGTACTAAAGAAGAATTAAGAAGGGACGATAACAGGAGAGATGAGAGGCAAGCGCGAAAAACAAACGATAGGCATAGAGAAGATCCCCGAAAAGAAGATAATAAAAGAAGATCGGAAGATGATAAACGTAAAGATTCTATCAAAAGAGACGAGTCGCGTAAAAGAGAACAAGATAGACGGTATGTGGAGTAAAATATTTAAATTTTTAATGCAATATATTTAAATGTTCCATGTAATAGCTGGTAGTGTAAAGAAAGAAATTTGAAGAAATTAGTTGAGAGTGATTGGTAGGCGAATTAAATAAAAAACTAAAACTATTAGTGATAATTAGTAATATAAAAGTATTTTTCATATTTGTATGCAAATTCGAATAGATTGTGTAGAGGAGTAGAAGCAAAATAAACAATATTTGATCGTAGGGAAGAAGATCGTCGACGTGATGCAGATCATCATAACAATTCCAGACCCCGTAATGATTACAAATCGCTAGATAAATCCGATAAAGTTCCTGCATCGAGACGTGATAGTCGCGATCGATTAGGAAGCCGAGAACGACAAAGCAGTCGAGATCGTCATGCCAGTAAGGATCGACCGGCTAGTCGCGATCGTCGTAGCCGTGATAGACCATCGAGTAGAGACCGACATAGCCGTGATAAAAGAGACAGCAGAGAGCGTCACAATAGCCGTGATCGACACAGAGATGGTCGAAGTAGTCGTGATCGTAATGATATACGAGATCGCCGAGATAGTAGAAATCGCGAAAGGATTCGTGAACGTTCAAGGAGTACAAGAAGATCTCGAAGCCCTGTTAGAAGTAGATTAGACAGAGATCGTAACGATCGGTATAAAAGTTCGAGGTCGTTGTCTCGAAGTCGTAGGGACAGAGACAAACATACCAGAGACCACGATAGAGATCGAGAAAAAAATGGGAAAAGGGAACGCAGCGATAAATACAAAGATTCATTGTCGGAAGGGCTGAAAGTAGAACATTCGGAAAGTTCAAGCGAGGAAGATATCAAAGATATCGATATTGAAGAAGAGGAAGACGAAGAAGCAATTATAGAACATAGAAGGAAACAAAGAGAAGAACTTCTTAAAGTATGTTGTTGATTCTACGATAATAATCATTTTTTAACGTTACGGAATAATAAAAATATTTTTGTTATGCAGAGGTTAGGTGGACCAAACGAAGACTCAAATATGTCTGGTGATATAAACACCGTTCCCGCTACTCCGCCTTCGGAAAGCCATTCAAACGTATCGCAAAAATCAATAGAAATCCCGTCTAATAATAATGAATCCACCTCGGAAAGTCATACACCACCGCTGCCCGAGAAACCAAAGTCACCGCAACCAGTTAAAAAGAGAAAATCTAGATTTGAAGATGCACCGCCGGAAGATATCGAGAAAATTGATGACATCAAACCAACAGAAAAGATCAAACAAGAGGAGAAGCAAAATGCAAAAAAATCAAACGAATGGGATATGTTTGCAGAAGCGGATAATATTGGCGATTTTAATGTACGTTTCTAACTAATGTTTGTTTCTATAGGTTTTAAGTTTATTTTAAATACTACTATTTTGTTGCAGAGTCCCACTGTCGAAGGTAAGCGACAAGGTGGGCCAGATAATCCAAGTTTAACGGATAATTGGGACGACGCCGAAGGATATTACCGGTAAACTATCTTTTTCTTTATGCTTTTTCCACACCATTATATTTCGATTATAAATTTCATTGTATTTTTAGGGTGCGAGTAGGCGAAACGTTAGACTCACGATACGTCGTTTACGGATACACAGGTCAAGGTGTATTTAGTAACGTTGTAAGAGCTAGAGACAGTGCTAGAGGCAATTTGGACGTTGCTGTAAAAATAATAAGGAACAATGAAATAATGTAATTATTCGAAATGTCTTGTTTCATACTGTACAATGGAAATCTACGATCTATAACATTCATCTCTTTTTGCCATTTTAGGCATAGAACGGGCCTTAAGGAATTAGAAATTCTTAGAAAACTGAATGATGCAGATCCAGAAGACAGATTTCATTGTTTACGACTTTTTAGGCATTTTTTTCACAAAAATCATTTATGTATGGTTTTTGAGCCTTTAGCTATGAATTTAAGAGAGGTAACTATTTTTTGTGAATACCTGTATAAAATTAATATTATACAAGGTGAAGTATCGTCCCCTTCCACGAGAAGAAAGCACAACGTGTTTGCATCCCCACTTTTGCTGCAGTCCACCGATGATTTACTGTCACCGTTTTCGACCAGTACCTGCGAGTCAGCGGACTGCAACAGGAGTGGGGATGTAAACACGCTGTGCCTTCTTCTCGTGGAAGAATGGTATATAGTGTCCGGGCCACGATATAGCGAGGTCGTAAACTAATAAACTCTTGAGGTGTAAAGATGAAACGTGTAAACTTTGACACCTGCTCGAGTTTACGACCTCGCTATATGTATCGTGGCCCGGACTATACTTAAGGTATACCACCTGAAGAACTTATCCACTTTTGATCAATAAATTTATTCAGGTTTTAAAAAAGTATGGGAAAGACGTTGGTTTACACGTTAAAGCGGTAAGATCGTATACGCAGCAACTTTTCCTTGCTCTGAAGTTACTAAAACGTGCAAATATTCTGCATGCTGACATCAAACCGGATAACATTCTAGTCAGTGAAAGCAAGCTAGTATTGAAACTGTGCGATTTCGGTTCGGCGTCCCATGCCCACGAGAATGAAATCACACCGTATTTAGTATCAAGATTTTATCGAGCACCCGAAATTAGTAAGTATCGCGTATCTTTATTATCGCATAAAATACGTATTCGTTAGACCGAACTGTATCAATTATCTTGAGTTATATTTATCGGTTCTTTCGACGTATTTTTAAGGTTGTTGTTTGTAAAATTAATTTAAAAACTCAAGGGATTATATACAAACCTCTTCTTACTCAATCGCTCTTCTATTTTAAACCAGCTTCCGATAGCCTTGCACTAAGCATGCCCTTTAAAAACGTGGTGCAATCGTATACATGCTTGATCCGAATAGATAATTTTGTAGTGGCTAGATTATATTAGTAACATATGTATAGTGTAAGTCTTCGACTTCCGCAGTCAGTTCGTTCCAAAGTTATCAAACAATTGTAAGAAACGAGTCTATACATTCTTATACATTTCTTCAAAAATGTACAAACAAACACAACTGCATAACTCGAGGACTCACCGTATATGTATATCTTTTCTATAATAACGGAAACTCTGTGTGACAGCTCCGATATACTGATCAAACCCACATTGGGGAGATCTCCACTGTCATAGAGATTTAGTAACGGTTGTCATACACTGGAAGTTAACATTGCCATTTTCTAGTTCTTGGTATACCGTATGATTTCGGCATTGACATGTGGTCCGTGGGATGCACCATATACGAATTGTACACGGGAAAAATAATGTTCTCGGGCAAAACAAACAACCAAATGTTGAAATTCTTCATGGACCTAAAAGGCAAAATGCCAAATAAACTGATTAGGAAAGGCACGTTCAAGGACCAACATTTTGACACTAACTGCAATTTCCTCTATCATGAAGTTGATAAGGTCACAGAGCGGGTAAGTTGTCTTTTTATTGTTCTTATTCCATCCTTGTTCCTTGCAGTTTGGTAAGTGTCTTAACAATTACGGCGTCAACGACGCGATTCGTAGTCGTTTTTTTTAAAATTCGAGTATGCACGAATCGTAAAATTCTCGACATATGTGGTTGTAGGAGAAAGTTGTAGTGATGTCAACGTTACCTGCCACTCGTGACCTTACCGCCGAGTTAGGTGGAAACTCTTTGCCCCCGGAACAAAATAGAAAAGTTGGACAACTGAAGGATCTTTTGGAGCGAACGTTGATGTTGGACGCGGGAAAGAGAATCACTGTGAACCACGCCCTGGCACATCCCTTTATACAAGAAAAGATCTAGGTAACCCTGTCGGGGGGGTCCTTCCACATCGGAGAATTCATTAACGTAACTTTGCAAAATGTTTGAAATGACACCGCTAACGATTCGTTCGTTGTATACTATAAAACATACTAACATAAGGCGGTGTGTCCTTATATTGACTGTGCCCTGTATCCGTTTTAGCAGAAAGAGGCGGTGCAAAATTTCACGTTTCACTCGCTCCGTCTAAGTAATAACGGAAATACATTTGGAAATATACAAACATACAAGGGAAACAAATTAATTGAATCACACGCATGACGTTGTACTCTATCAATCTGAACTGTATTATTTAACAAATGATAACTATTGCAGGTCAATAGAGTGCAATATTTTTATATTAATTATAACCAATACGAACGATGAATAAACATTGGAGTTCACCGATGCATTTACCAGCGCATAAAACTGACATATTTGTACGGCTCGGAACAATGTAGTGTATCAGGGCGTAAAAAATCTTATTTGCGTGTAAATTTTTTAATACAAGTTTCGCTTAGATTTGGTTTATTTCTTCTCTTTCTCTGTGCACAGCAGCAATAAGTAATAAATCAACGATGACGCTAGAAGAAGAGGCACGCTGAATTACGTGGTAATCGTAAACTATTCCGTGGACGATATGAACTGGGAAAAGTGACCGCCTCTTTCAGCACTGGCCATCGATACTTAGCATAATGGTGGTACATAGTATTTTTCTTTTTCTTCATCTTTCGATTAAAAAAAAAATCAAAAAAAAAAAAAAAAAAAGAAACAAACAAAGAGAAGCGCGAGTTCTTTACGAACAATAATAATATCTCGTATAAATTATTATATCACAAATCATTATTGATAATGCGTTCACGTTCGCGACGAGGGGATCCCGTGTTTGTGAAATTGTGAAACTTATGAATCTGATGATCGTACCGATTCATGAACAGAGTTCGTTCGTTGTTCTTCAGTGCCGACGACGTACGTGCACGGCACTGAAGTTTTAGTAAAACGAGGAGTCTTGTACTAACAGAGAAGAAAACAAATTGTATAGTAAGTAGGTTACTGAAATAAAACGACACATGCTTAACAGAATGAGAAACGAGCCCTGTATTTTATACTTTCAGTCTTTAAGCACGTGCTGCTCGTGCAATTAGAAGCACTTACTGTAGACGTATTTCAATCCATAAATAATATATAAAAAAAGAGAAGAAAAAAAAAAGAAATTGTAATCTGTTTCTTATCCAATGACGAGATATGATGATAGGTAGACAACGTGTGTTTTAGAAACTGCTGTAAAATAAGTCGACATGTTAACACTCATTTTACATCTGACTTTGCATTTATTTAGATATCGATGTAAAGAAATATGAAAAAAATAATAATGTATATATTTGCACCGAGAAATAGACATTACAAATATTTACCAGTGAATGAATATTGTTCATATTACGTATGAACGAAAATTATTTAACACTCGATATTAACATATCAATAGCGATCGTATATTTCTTAGCTTTTAAAATTTATTTTTTTCGTTTTAACAGATATATGTCCTTGGCATACGATCTCGTATCGTAGCTTCGTAAATTTTATTTTTTCCTTTTATTTAATATTTTGTTGTTCATTTAAGTAAGACACAACAGAACGTCAATGCTGTTTGAATGGTTCATGGTATGCATTTTTACCTGGCAATATTGTACGAGATTGCTTATGTTTCAGATCAGTGTTCGATTCAAAGCATCGTTATGCGCGAGTGGACCTTTGTGGGCTTTTAACGCCGATCCCGTTGCAAGGTATTCTTGGGGGACTGCCTTATGGGATATTTAGTATATCCGTTTCTCATTAAACAACCTGTATAGACAATCAGACCCTGCATAATTACATCGTAAACAAACTCAAGTTGTTCCAACGATCATTCTTAGTCTGCTCTCCTTGGGGGAGCAGCAGATCACATTTTCTTCATACGTATTTATAAATCACCATACATCGTTTTCAATACGAAATTACAAAGTTGTATTCATAATGGCAATATAATGGATAAATGTTAGAATTTTATAATCGTATTGGTAGCTTACACGGAGCATTTCGATACTTGAATCTATTTTTTGATCGGTATAAAAATTGAGAAAAATGCTATGTTAAATTTAGATATCAAAGGGGAAATAAATATTTCGGTCACATTTTAATACAGAAATAAAATGAATACATAGAAACTTGGATCAGTTTACAGTTTTCTAATTGGCAATTTGGTAATGTTTCACTTGTAGCCCTCCCTGTGAGGAGGGGAGGCAATGGAAGAGATGATGAAATCAGTTGATGGAAAGCAATGGTGATGAAGGAAAGGAAATTGGGTGAGATCGTCGCAGCTGCTGCAGCGTGACAACTGTATTGAAATGATGCCTATCGCAGAATGGATCGCCGAATATTTAATTAAATTTTTATCAGAAGGAAGGTTTCTCGTAGAATTTCACATTGAAATAAATAAGATCGTAAGTATGTGAACAGGTAAGGTACATGTGCGTGAAAATTTCAAATTACTATATTAAATTTGAAAAATACTTGAGTGCTGCATATACAACATATGTATACAGTCGAAATCTAGGTAATACCAAAGATGACATAATACTAATATCTGTGGCCTTCAGTTTTCAGATCACTAAATGCCAAAATCTTTGAAAATAATTCTAACACACTGAACGAGTTAATAAACGCGAAAAGTACTGTAAAGCGATATGTAAATCAAAATGTGTAACACGGAAATAATGATCAGAATAAATTACACATGTGCATATTGGGAGATAAATAAGTTCATTTCATGTTATATTTTGTTACAGTATCTTGTATCTAGCAATAAAAAGCAAATTACATTTACAGCCATACAATATTCAACCCCGCTGTCGCTATTTAACATCGTTATCAATTTTTGTATCACGAATATGTAATTTGCAGTAAATTTAGATCTATTTATTATACACCTCTTGGACATATTGTCACCTTTGTTTCAAACATTTATGTAAAATATAAGTACATTCTTTAAACACGTGTATTATTTCATTTTATGAACCTTAAGTGCCTGGCGAAATGCAACAAAATTATCGTGGTTTGCATACTACAATCAGAAGAACTACGATTTAACGCAAGAAGAAAAGCTAACTTTTACGTACATTAAACAATTAAATTATTTTTAAGTAATTCAGTTTGCGTTACCTTTTTCTATGTATATTATTTTAAGATTTTCAGTCGTGTTCGGGATAATACTGAACTAATATTTTGGCTAATTCTTGAGCCAAGTCCATCGTCGATGCACACAAAACTCGTCTGTTCATCACATCGAACGGACCGCCTGAAACCAAAGTGCAAGTGTTCGGGAAGAGTGAAGGTACAAGTTAATTACCTTAAAAATAATAAAAGAAATTACCAGCTGGATCTATACACACGCCACCAGCTTCTCTTACGATAAGATCTCCTGCTGCAACATCCCAAGCGTGAATGCCATATTCAAAGGAAACGTCCGCTCCGCCTAGAGCGACCATGCACATATTCAAAGCTGCGGATCCCAAAGCTCGTATTCTGAACAAATCATCAAATACATTGGACTAATAAAAAATTTAAGAAACAAAATAAAATAGAACTTTACCCATGAACTTTTGGGGTAAGATTGTTTGCATTCTCCAATACAATTTTCATTTTTTCAGGATCCCTGCTCGTACCCATTTCCATCATCACAAGAGCCTTACGTAATTCTGGGAAAATAAACAAAAAACATCGGTTAAATTTAAATATCGATCGGAATTGATCCATAAAGATAACGATTACCTGTCGCTTCGGACACTTTAACGGGGTTTCCGTTCAAAAATGCGCCCTCGCCTTTGCAGGCAGTGAACAATTGCTCCAAAATCGGATTATAAACGATTCCGATTTCAGTGGTTTTGTTAATAAGTAACGCAATTGATATGCAAGTGTGCGGTAAACCGTGCACAAAATTCATCGTGCCATCGATCGGATCGATGATCCATGTTGGCGCCTCCGTTAGCTCGATCTTTTTCCCAAGCGAACTCTCTTCCTCGCCAATAAATCTAAAATAATATGTTTTCTCATCGTTAAATTACAGCGAGTCACAGCCAAAATCGTACACCACGTATGAAAATATGTCTCGTTCGAAAAAAGAAGCGTGGTTGCTTTCGAAACAAAATAAGGCAGAAATATTATTCTAAATACATATAACTGTATTTATTGCGCAATAATGACAAAAGATATGAATATTGCTTAACATAAAAAAAAATAAAATTACTATAATACGGCGCGGAAAACATCTCGTAGCTAAAATCGTACGCTATTCCCCTACGGGAATACCCCAAAAAGAAACGTAGAACGTTAAATGAAAAAAAGAGCTCACATTGTTTCAGCTACTGGAAAGCTATCGATACACCTCCCCAATCACCTCACCTAAATATACAATAATATGTCTGCCTTATTTTTTTTCCAAATCATTCCTAAACTTCTTTTTTCGAACGGGTCATATTTTTTATATACGATATATGTACTAGCAATTATAAAATGGAATTAATTAATTTTTTTATTAACAATAAAAAATAATAGTACAAATTTTAATAACATTCTGCTGCCAATATTAAACTCGAAGTATTTTTAAAGCACCAATAAATTCTTTCGATAATCGTGGAACAGTCGAACGGATGGAAAGTTCCATTGAACGGGGCTCTTTGTTGCCTCCTACCCCATATCGCTTGTTTCAAACACACAGCAATGAACTTAAATGGGATAGTAAGTACACATCGAAGGTTTCGACGGGCAAGATCGAATTGCAGTCCATCGGATTCATCGCTCTTTAATCTCCAATCAACAGCAATTCGTTAAGGAAACAAGTTACATTATTTAATATGTAGTGTTTTATCGCTCTAACGACGATAGATTCGATAAATTTTTATATTAAAAAGTTACACCCGACGCGTTTAGATACGATAGATTTCCACACGGTGTAACATATGGTATGACTCATACAATAACACACAATTGTTTAATTATTTTATAAATATATTCCAATCTCAATGCTTTGTAATCGATAATGTTCATTTTCAATTTGAACATCGATCAAAATTAAGGTTATGTAATATGACCGCATGTGAGACGAACATTTCAATATTTTGTTTGAAAATTTAACAAGTGTTGAAATTATCTTCAAGATATGTATTTCATCTTTTAATGATGAAATGTCCGAACAGTTTGCGGCGATAAGACGAAACGTATAACTGTTAGAATTTGGTAGTTATTAAAAGTGGGTTGGCAACACTGGCCAAAAAAAAAAAAAAAAAAGAAAAAGAGACGCTAACAAGACGCTGAAAATGTTCAAGTTCAATTTATCGTTATATCATAATATGTACAATCAGAACTATACTTTGTTTTTCTTTTTGTATAATTAAGAGTTTAATAAAGTTCGGTTGAAACTTAACAATGACTAAATATAATAAGTTGCAAAACATACTTGTGGTCCGGGAATTTCGAAGATATACCATCGACTAATAATTTCTCAACTTTTTGATCCCATTCGGTAACAAGATCGACTTCGCACGATTTTTCCATTGCATTTTTAGGCTGGTTAATTTTTTCCCGAATGATCTGTAAAAGTTACAATTTCATTTAATTATTTTTTTAATTTCATATTTTTTCAACATCCAAATTGTTGCGTATCTTTGTACAACTTTGAAATCAGTATATGCTCTTTAACGCGTTGATTGTTCTGGTGACCGGCGATTCAAACGTGTCTCAAACTTGTTTACAGTTACACTTATTCTAAAAATAAGTGCATCGTTGAATTATTGAATATTTCTATTTTTCACACTATAATACGAACAAATATTGGGGATGTATTCAAACGTGGAACATAACGATATAAATTTAGAAATTTAGATATAATTACTTTTACTCGAGTGCCTAGTTTAACTTGACGATTGAACGTTACAGACAAATATATTTTGTCGGTAAAAGTTAAAAGCAAACGACACATAACAATTTAATAACAAATTTTTTATTTCCACCTGTAATTAAAGAAACACTTCAAATTTTCCATTTTGAGAATTTCAGTTTATTTCATCGAGAAAATAACAATTGTGAAAATATAAATCGTACATGCGTTTCGATATAATTATTAAATAATTTTTGCATATTAACATTATAGGTTATAAATTGTAGTGTAGCGTTGCGAACCTCCGCGATCCAAACACATGGCACTTCTAGGAAGCCGAATAAATGCACGCTTCCTTCTCTACGTAATAGAATTATCTATTCGCTTGAGAAATGCACGACAATCACAAAACTATACATAATTCATAAATAAATCGCGTTGTTAACACGTTGACTAGAGATGCCTTCGTTCTAGTGCGAAAAATAGAAATATTTGATAATTCAATGATACACCTGTTATTTTACAGCATTTCTATTCTATTGTTTTGTTATTTAGAGCTTAACAAATACATATTAGGTTCTTTCACTGTAAACAATTTTGCCGGTCACCAGTGATCACCACACAGCAGTCAACGTGTTAATCATATCGATCGAGTTTACGTTAAAATTTACATCACGTTCAAAGAAACAATCTCAAAAGAATGTTGATATTCGTGACTGAATATCGAGCAAGTAAGTACGGATTGAGATTGCACGAACATGGCACGATGCTACGTAGTTCGAAAAGTACACGAAAACAAAGTACATATTCATACTATAGAAGAACTTGATTGAAATTCGTATTTGCGTGCAAAATCGATAAACGTTGACTCGCTATCAGCCAAGAATAACTTTATACTACAAACACTTTCTCGCTTCTTATCATCGATTTCATCAAAGAAACTGACACTAACCGAGCCAGCTTCTTTCACCAAACTAAGCACCACGGAGTAATAGTTTTCGTTGTCGGAGGACATGATTCACAACTGACGTATTCAAATGAGAGAAAATTTCAGGCTCCCGGGATAACCGACACTACACTGGCAATAACGCCGTGCGTCTCAAGACCTGATCGATGACTCGCTACGCTCGATCTGATCAGCCCGCGTGCGTCCAATGGCAACGCCGTTGCCCGAATACTACCGACACAGCCGACACAGCCGACACTACCGACTAGCTGACGTAACATCTCGTCAGCTGGTTTTAAAAAGGCGGTTCTAACGTAACCCAGTCTTTCGACAAGAGCGACAGTGGCGACCCGGGTCGTAAACATTTTTATTCGTATCGTCGCAGGACGATACCGTTACGAACCAGTCACGAGACGAATCCATGCTTAATATCTTCAATTCATACGACAGATTTTGACATTTCATTTAATAATAAATTAACATACAAGAAGACAAACTGTATTTCCGTTATAATTATTTTTGTCAGTCGTGTGATTGGGAAATTTTCGAATTTCGAACAATAAACGTACGTCCACAGACGAGGTATACGAGTAAGTAGAGAAACTATTCACTGAATCAGTATTGATGGGCAGCCAGCTATAATCTGTGGTAAATGCATGTCAGTTAACTATGGAAGAAATTAAAAAACGCAATTTTACAACGACCATAACCCCTACAATAGCGAATGTATTTCATTGAACTTTATTTCTCAAGTAGAGATCATGAATACCTACAAAAAAATTATCAGTTCACATTTCCACAGGCCGTCATGCAAGTTTATTAAAAATGAAAAACGAATTTTTAAGAAAAATCGACAGACAGGTGTTGAAATTTTTCAGTGAAATTAAAAAATTTCAAATCGTCCCGGAAAAAATATTTTCAGTTGCAGGGGTCAATTACAATCATTTTTGGTCAATACGTATACCCTCGAATTCCTACGCACTTTTGAGAAAAAAATTCATTACCGAAAACATAGTTTCTGGCCAGAAATGCTACCCCGAAATTTCATGCGAATGTTTAAAATGTCATAACTCCTGAACGGATTGAACGATTTTAATGTTTAAAAAAGCAAACTACGCGTATTTTGCTAAGGAATACGAGGCAATTCTAAAAATATTCGAAATGTTGTTCCTTAACTCCGCAAAATGAGAAAAACCCCATAAAAATGACCCAATCTTCAAACGTCCATAACTTCTATAATAGTGAATGTATTCCATTGAAATTTAGTATGCAAGTAGAGCTCATGGGTACCTACAAAAAGGTATTAGACAACTTTTCTATAGGACGTCAAACAAAATTACTAAAAATTAAAAACAAATTTTTCAGAAAAATCGACAGGGGGTAGCTGCTGAAATTTTTCGGCGAAATTGAAAAGTTTCAAATCGTTCTGGAAAAATTATTTTCGATTGCAGGGGTCAATTACAATTATTTTTTGTGAATATACATACCCACGAAATCCTACGCACTTTCGAGAAAAAAATTCGAGAAGGTGTAAAATTTTTGACAAAATTAAAAAATTTTAAATCGTTTTAAAAAAATTATTTTTAGCTGCAGGGGTCGATTATAAGTATTTTTGGTCGATAGACATACCCCCGAAATCTTACGCACTTTCGAGAAAAAAATTCCTAATCGAAAATATAATGTATGGCCAGAAATGTCTGCCCGAATTTTCATGCGAATCTTTAAAACGTCATAACTTCTGAACGGATTGGCCGATTTTAATGTTTGAAACGGCAGTCAACGCGCATTTTGGCACAGAATATGTAGATATACTAAAAATATTCGAAAGGTTGTTCCTTAACTCCGTAAAATGAGAAAAACCCCATAAAAATGGCCCAATTTTCAAACAGCCATAACTCCCACAATAGTGAATATATTATGATGAAACTTTTTTCTGAAGTAGAGCTTATGGGTACCTACAAAAAAGTATTAGACAACTTTTCTGTAGGGCGTGAAACAAATTTATTAAAAATGAAAAACGAATTTCTAAGAAAAATCGACAGGGGGTAGCTGCTGAAATTTTTCGGTGAAATTGAAAAGTTTCAAATCGTTCTGGAAAAATTATTTTCGATTCCAGGGGTCAATTACAATTATTTTTTGTGAATATACATACCCACGAAATCCTACGCACTTTCGAGAAAAAAATTCAGGAATGTGGACAAACTTTTGGACGAAATTGAAAAGTTTGAAATCGTTCTGAAAAAATTATTTTCGATTGCTGGGGTCAATCACAATCATTTTTGGTGAATACACATACCCCCGAAATTCTACGCATTTCCGAGAAAAAAAATTTCTATTCGAAAATATCCGTGGCCTGGATCGTTTCTGTAATTTCATTTTCTATCTCACTTCCTTTTCTGTTTATCGCGCAACCTGTTGGTAATATTGCGAGTGACTCGAAAATGGTAACGGGATTCTACAGCCTGAGAAAAATGGGCGAAAAAAAATACATTGGATGTAAGGTCTACTCGTATACCTCGTCTGTGATAAAAATCATGCAAGGGACCGGTGTACGAGAGAAAATGAAACGAAAATCTAGTCGGATAAGTAAATTCGATAAAGCATAACATTTTTTATTTTTCATTCTGAAGCTTTACGCAATTTTGTAATAAAAAAAGATATACCGTCAATGTCCAAATAAAGTAGAAAAAAGCAACTGCTTCGCAAGAATGAATAATGCGTACCACGATTTCACTTAACAGACCATTAACAATTGTGTCCTTTAACATAGATATATTTACACATTTATATATATTTATATATATTTATATATATATATATATATATATATATAAAATGCTTTTGCATTAATTCATATAATATACATATATATATTTTTTAATATATATATCATTATCACACCTATAGTTGATTTGTTCCGCGAGGAATGATATGTATGTGACATGCTCCTAACGGAAGCATGAGGCAACGTTGCGTTTAGCTCATTTACGTATAATATAACAGTTCATTTAAAACCAGCCTTCTAAAAGTTACAGGAAACGCTGACTTTCATATAAAGTGCGTTAATAATCGTGCGTATATGTACTTAGGTCTGTCGCATCCCTTACCGTGGAACGGTTACTGTAAAAAAAATAATTTGCTAAAATTAAATAACCCGTTACTAGGCGTTTCTCGCCATTTTTCTCGAAACTTATTCTTAACGGCGCTTCGTATACCTAAAGGAAATTGAAAGTTATCGGTAGAGGGTTTTATGCTGTCGCTGATCGACTTCCAATTACAGCCGGGTCGGCAAGAAAGAATCGTCCCAGACACTTGGAACGTTGCGTCGGAAACATTATATGATTTTCGTTTGCAAATCTATATCTTCCATGTCATAGTAAGTACACGAGGTCGTTTCGAACAGAGTGTGGAAGAATTCTTTCTACGACTCGACCATATCAGTCGCGTTTCTCTTAACTCGAGGCAGGCTGTAATACTTTCATAAACTCGTTCGTACCTTGAATCGTTGACAAGTTACCTTTACGATAAACGGAACAAACACTTTACAGCGAGCTGATTAGAATTTGTACGAACGCTCCCGTAATCGGAACAAGTAAAAACTTAACGAGACGGTAAACAAGGCGAACGAGTATAAAAAGTGCATTGAGAAACCTAGAAACGATCGATGATGTTAAGAAACATAAATTAATTTTTAGTTTGCGCTTTGTGGCACTTTCTTAACTTTACTATATTCTCGCGACATAGTGTAACTTTATTGCATGCTCGTTCGATATATGTATAATTATTTATTCAAACGTTTTTGTAAACTCTTCAAAAGTTCTCAAGATACTTTCACATTGATCGATGAATTTTCAACGCATGCATTCAGCATGCGCATTATAAAATTGTTTGCTTCCTAACAAAGTCGAGCAATTGTTGCACGCCTTTCGATTGTGATGTTCGCCTATACAATTATTGTATTCGTAAAATATTGCTGTTACGAAGACGATCGGTGCACAGCGATTAATATACAGAATGCATCCAAACACGTGAGATACACTCCAGCGATGGATCGAGAACACAAAAACAATGAACAGAGCTTGCATCAACATCCGTTAGACCTCCTTCTTCTTCAAGTACAGCTATTTTTGTACTTCGGTGAACCTTCTTCTTAATCACAAAGTGAACTTGTACAACCGATTGATTCTACCTAAATTATTTGCATACAATGGCCTCTATAAAGATTAAACAAATTACTGAAACATGTCTGAATGGCGGATCTACAAGATTTCAAGATCTCGACAAATTTCTAGAAAGCTAGAGTAGCTGTAGCCTAGCTAGACATTACCACAACACAAAAATGTACAAAGAAACTTAAGTGGAACATATATTTACATGAATTTATTCCATTGCTTTGTGTTTCTGATCCGTCGCTAAAGTGAGTCTTGATGTAACGACACACCCTGTATACGGTCGAACTCGGTTATAACAAATACCAAAAAGTCCGATAAAATTTACTCGATATAATCATTACATGCTACGACGAATCAGTTAAATATATCTTTCATTGTTTTAATTTTTAGAAACATTATATTAAAAAAATTGAAATAAATATTAAGAGAGAAAATAGTGTATTTACATATTTATATATTATTTGTATTAACATGACCGTATAAATTACCAATCGAACAAACTATTGTACAATACACTTCCAAGTTATTCGATCAAAGTATAATTTTTAACCGCCGACAAATAACTTACACTTAATTAATGCTTAATAGTAAATGATTTAAAATATATCGACGAATAAATTGTGTTTGGTATTATAATGTCCGCGATTAAAAATTATACCGATTAATAATAAACCTCAGCAGTTAGTCTTATGAATAATGAATCTTAAAATTCATATTGTTTTTAACGATTTCACTTTGATATTTCTAAAAATTTCCCAAAATTTAATTCACACCTTAATTAAAATCAATATGGTTTTTACTTTCGCAAGTTATAACCAAGTTCGACCATACATCTATAGTCCCACTTAAAAAAAATCACATATAGATTTGCAACGTTCACAGTTCGAATAGTTTCTTGTCGTAAAGCTGTTAAACGAACAGCAATTTGCGAAAGGAACAGCATCTATCATCGCACAATATTTGCCTATAAAGTAATCGATAAATAGTACTATAAATACTAGCTTTCAACAGAAGAGAAACGATTCTAATATGAAAGAAGGAAGTTTCGTTCTTGAGACACAACATCAGAGCCAAAATTCTCCTTGTTAAATCGCTCTCAGCTTCAACAAACAAGTTACTCTTTCTTATCGCTTCTCAACAATAACGGCTCGCAATTTTTTTTTTTTTTTTTATCATTTTTTAGAGTAACGTATTATTATTTGAGATTTCGTATTCGTCCGGTTGCCGGAAACGCGTTATCTTTTCTTTTCTTCTCATTTTCTAAACTACTACGTTTCACGACATTTCCTTCGAAGATGGCTAAACTGACGGAGAAGCGAGGCACAGCTTTTCTTTAAACCTGTGGCCTCAATTGGAATAGGACGTCGACGATATTTTCGTCGGCTAATGTCGAAATGTCCCCGATGTTTCTGTCTCCTGCCGCGATCTTCCTGAGTATGCGTCTCATGATCTTGCCTGACCGTGTTTTTGGTAAACCTGGCGCGTACTGTATCACATCCGGTTGAGCGAAGGGACCGATCTTATCACGTACTGTTAACAAAACGCATTCAAATTAACCAACTGCTTGGCTGTTGTTGGAAGAAGCGAGCTAGATAATAACTTGCTGCCAATGGACGGACTCCATCGGTAGTAAAAAGCAACCTTACCAGGCCCCGATATTCAATGACCGATCGAGGAGTTTATAATATGTATATGTATGTACAGGGGGTGTTCAGCCACACGTAGGAAAAATTTTGATGGGAGAATCTAGAGGCGAGAATAAGACGAAAATCAACAATACTACTAATTTGTTGATGGAGGCCTTCGTTAAAAAGTTATTAACGTTTCAAGTTCCGCTCCTACTGAATTTTATAATTGTAAAAAATCAAATAACCAACAATTTCAAACTAAACAAAACTTGATAAAGATTATCGAAATTGCACAAGGTTGACAAGTTCTAATCTCTTTTCACCTTTCTTTTTAAGCTCATCCTGAAGCTTCTTATCGATCACCGAACCTTCGTTGGGTGTTACGAAACAATAAAGGCATTGTCCTTTGACAGGATGTGGTTTACTAACTACGGCGGCCTCAGCTACCGATGTGTGTTCCGTCAACACGCTCTCCACTTCCGCAGTGGACATTAAGTGACCGGAAACGTTCAACATGTCGTCGATGCGGCCGGTTATCCACAAATATCCATCCTCGTCGCGCCTAGCTCCTACAATCAAATACATTCTTCTCTGGTAGAAAAAAACGATAATATTTTCGATATTCAAGATAGACGTTATGAAAATGTTGCGTAAAGTTTCCAAAACATTTCAGAAATATATTTTTCTTTACATTGTTCTTATTTATGTCTTGCGAAAAAACATAATTTATATTATATGTACGATGAAAATTTTGTTGAGAAGTTTAAAAAAATTTATTTTCATTTCGATGATATAAAAAATAAATCTTTTATACGAAAAGATGAAACGAATTGTAAAGAAAATACGGACCAGTTCTTAACCAGTTGCAAGAATAACTCGAGCCGCAGAATTGAAAAAAATATGCGTTCGTAAATCGAGCTTCAATTGTTCTTCTTTAGAAATGGCTTCGCAATCATGTCCTTGATTTACAGAAATGTTTCGAAAAATTCCAAATAATAATTGTAACCATGTATGTTTGCCAACGATGTTAAAATCCTTGGAAACACCCTTCGCTAGATAAAATCCACGTTCTATCGGTCTTGGAAGAATCGTTTACAATCCCGAAAATACAAGTGACAGAAAAGTAAGAAGATGCCGATCCAAAAGGTTAAGGCTCGTCAGATTTTCGACTCGAGGGGCGATCCGACTCTGGAAGTGGATATAATAACCGACGTTGGACTATTGAGATCGTCGGTGCCATCCGTGTTGGTAGCAAGCCCTAACCAAGCACAGGAATTGAGGGACGGAAACGACGCTATGTACCATGGACGTTCCGTCTTCAGAGCTGTCGACGTCATCAACAACATAATAGCACCGCAACTTTTGAAATCGAGACTCGAGGCCTGCCAGCAAATGGAAATAGACAGCTTACTGACCAGACTAGACGGCACAGAGAATAAATCGAAATTTGGCGCGAACGCCATATTTGGCGTTTCCGTTGCCTGTTGCAAGGCTGGCGCGGCGAAGAAAGGACTTCCAGTTTACAGGTTATTCTATGTATAAGTCTAAACGTTTCGGATAAATCTCTTGAATTTTTTGTCGTAGTAATTATTCGGAAGATTCCTACAATACCGATTTTAATGATGCTGAAACATGTTGTCAAGGAGATTATTTAATGGCAAAAATTCGTTCGAAATAATGTTCTTGACAACATATTTAAACACGATTAAATCGAATGCCGGGGGACAGACTCGTCCGAATAATTCTTGTAGTTTATCACTGTAGCAGAGCAGTGTACTGTTGGAAGACGAGATGTAGAAACACATTACCAACAGGCAAAGCCTTTTTTGCCTCATCTCGTCTTCCGATAGATAGTAGTCTAAGATTTAACAATGAAAGTGAAACGATAGATAGGGGGATAGAGTATGATGATAGACGTGTCTCGGGAAACTTGTAAAGGTATATCTTGGATCTTGTACCTGTAGGTACATCGCAGAATTAGCTGAGAATGGAGAACTGTACATACCCGTGCCAAGTTTCAACATGATCAGTGGAGGCAGACACGCCGGCAACACGATACCTTGCCAAGAGTTCATGATCTTACCTATCGGTAGTGGTGCTAGCTTCCTCGTGAGAGTTCGTTCTTGGTTGACCGTATCGTTCGTTCTGTAACTGCATCAGGTGCTGAAAGTTTCGCCGATGCTATGAAAATGGGCACAGAAGTGTACAGAGTACTGGAGAGAAAAATCGCAACCACCGCGGAAATAAATCTGCCGCTTTCGGTCAGCGACGAAGGCGCGTTCACGCCCGAATTGGAGGAAGATCGAGAGGCATTGATGCTATTGGACGAGTCCATCAGGGAAGCAGGATACGAAGGGAAAATCATGATAGCCCTGGACATGGCAGCCAGTGCGTTTTACAAAGAAGGTTAGCAAGCAAAGGTTTATTGTATTTTCAATAAAGGGATAGACGCTTTCTTTCTCACACGTGCTCGACATCCTCCTCCCTTTTTCCTTCCTTGCCTCCTATGTATACTTTACTGACTTTTAAAGTGTGCGTTTAAAGCCACGTGTCTGTTACAAGATAAAAATGTTTTTTTCTATCTACAGGAGGATACGACTTGGCGTTCAAGACGGAAGACTCTGACCCTGACGAGTACATGGAGGCTGAAACACTCCGGGATCAGTACTTGGAATACATAACGGAATTTCCGTCCGTGGTCTCGATCGAAGATCCATTCGACCAGGAAGACTGGGACGGTTGGCTGACCCTGGCGGACCAAGAGATTCAAATAGTCTCCGACGATCTGACTGCCATGAACATCGACAGAATCGAGGAAGCTATCGAGAGGCAAATGGCGAACGCGATCGTCCTAAGAACCTCGCAAATCGGAACCGTCACGGAGGCGATCAACTGCGCGAAACTTGCGAGAATCAGCGACTGGGGATACATCGTGTCGGCCTGCGAGGGCGAAACCGAAGACAATTTCGCGGCTGATTTAGCCGTGGGATTATCCGCCGGTCAATTTAAGGCTGGAGCACCCTGCAGAACCGACAGAACCGCCAAATACAATCAGATATTGAGAATCGAAGAGGAACTAGGAAAGGACGCGAAATATGCTGGTCTTAACTATAGAAATCCTTTGTCCAAGTGACTTTAACTCTTCGAGAATCATCTGCCATCCAGCCCCCATAACCACCTATGTATTCAACCTGTGTATTGAATTTTTTAGTAACTCGGCAAACATTGTACGATACGAACAGATATCAATTAATGCCTAATCCGACACACGTTGATCGATTATGAGCATACAATTCTTAAATTCTCTGCTTTCTTCGTTGTTCTAAGAACAGATAACGATATTCAACTAAATATTCCATTAATATTAGTTTTAGACATTTTTCAACTGGATGAATTTTACTTAGATTAGATCAACTTACCGTCACCGGTGCAATAGTACCCATGGAATCTATCGAAATATGTATTCTGGAAGCGTTGCTGATTCCCGTAAAGCGTTCTCATCATTCCCGGCCATGGTTGACGGAAAACTAAGAATCCCTCACCTTCTCCCTCGATCAATCGACCATCTTCATCCACCAGTTCTGGTAAAACACCGAAGAATGGAAACGTCTGACAGAAGAATAATAGAATAATTTATTAGCATCGTATTATCTCGGTTTAAAAAAATAATAAGCAACAGGTATCCAACAAAATTCGTGCGATTATTGCATATTATAAATAAAACGTAAAAATATACACAAAATACTTTACTAATGATTTTCGGTCACGTTTCAAATTTCAATAAGTGTAAGTGAAACGAATATTATTCATGAATATCGAATAAAAATTCTATTCGAATGCTTCTAAAGTTTTAGTTGTATTATTTTTACCCAACAGAAACTACGTGTTTTCGTGCAATTTTTCTGGTAAACATTTTCTATTTTATAAACGGAAAATTTTGTTGAAAATTGCTTGCGTTTATTGTGTTTATTGAGCATCGTGATACAAATCGTGAAACCTGTGCATGCTGTAATATAAAACAATTCATACGCGTGCCCTTTAGTAAAAAAAAAAACAAACAAAAAAACGCACCAACTGTTTTGTTTACCTGATAATACAACATAATTGCTTACTGCAGATCCTGGTTTCATCGGCGTTGCACCAGGAAGAGGCGTAATCACGTGACCACCTGTTTCCGTTTGCCAGAATGTGTCCGCTATGCTGCACTTCTCGCGACCGATAAGATTGTAAAACCAAAGCCAAGCTTCGGGATTAATCGGCTCTCCGACCGAACCTAATACCTGCAACAATATATTTCCACTTAAAAGTGTTACATTCTTATCATCGATATAAAAAAATAACTTTCTTCGATTCTCGCGTTGATAACGATTTCTGGGACCCTGGTCGAGATTTATTGGAAAGATGAGTATTCTTAAATAGGAATATTCCATGTATACGACAAAGGAAATACATATGTACATACGTACATATGGAGGCTGTGAGAACCAAAGCAAGTAAAGATCTGTAAATGTGAAAGAGTATTTATTAAATCTTGGCTCACCTTTAAGGTGGAGAGGTTGTGTTTCTTCACCAAATCGTCGCCGAATTTCATGAGTGACCTGATGGCGGTCGGTGCCGTGTAAAATTGCGAAACTTTGTACTTGTCGATGACCGACCAGTATCGGTCATTATCCGGATAAAACGGTGTACCCTCAAACTATAAAAATTTAAATATGAATAGAGATCAAGCGATTGGACAATATTATTTATTATCTCTGTTCTTCGTTATCATCAAATTCGTAAATGATTCATGTACATATTAAGCAGCGATCGAATCACCCAAGGAATGGGCGTTTCAACGAATGAAAAAGGCCCAGTCGTTCACCTCTACAGTTTTAAAACTCTTTTTCCTATAATAATTAACAAATATCTCGTTTAAAAACTGCTAATGGAAATCATAAATAAGACTTATCTGGCAGAATCTGCTTTAAACGTGACGCCGTTTTAACAGCCTCCAATTACTCGATAGTTGATTACTGTACATATAATTAATTTCATCTGCTGAATAATAAGTCTTGTTGACGAGTCCAACTCGTAGATTCGGAATGAGACTTCGGAAGTAATATTTGTACAAGTGGTTATTAGTATCTCTTCCAACTATAATACATACTTCTTGTGTGAATTGAAAATAACTGACTATGTATATGTAGAACTAGGATCGTAAGTTTTAAAATCGGCTTACAATAACGGAAGTGGCTCCATTTGCTAGAGGACCGTATACGACGTAAGTGTGACCAGTAATCCAACCAACGTCCGCTGTGCACCAGTACACGTCACCAGGGTGATAATCGAAGACATATTTGAACGTCGTGGCCGCGTAAATTAAGTATCCAGCCGTTGTATGGAGAACGCCTTTAGGTTTACCCGTGGATCCACTATGTATCATCGAAACGAGAACAAAAATATTAACATTAACGAAAGTTTCACAAAAGAAAAAACTACTACTGCGAAAGAAGCGATAAGATTCTTTCCATAAATAAATTCTATAAGATAGTAAGTAAAGCAAAAATGTCGTGTGATCAGAAAAAAATCTCCTGGTAGAAAGGATTAAAAATCTTATTTAATTATTATTATTAAATGTTATTATTAGACTGCGGACCTTTATGCAAATTCATATTATTATTATTGATAGAATTAATGAAATGGGAGCTTTGTATAGGATTGTCTGAACCCACCCCTAAGTATAATAATTCGTATCTTACTTGAAGTATTTCTTATATTTTTCTATATCGAGTGTATTCTGTAGTATTTTGAGAATTAAAATTTCTCATGAATGCATAAACATCCGCGGTCTAGTTATTATTACAACCCTCGATGAATTCTAAACTCCCTTCTTGTGGATATAGTTGTACACCTCGTTTGAAAAACCCTTAGAGGCACTTTTTTTTAGTTTGTTTACCTCGTGTATAGAATAAAAAGTGGATCTTCCGCGGCCATCCAAACAGGATAACATCTGCTTTCGACATCTTCCATTTCATCGTGCCACCAACAATCCCGATCGTCGTCCCAAGGGATGCGAGGACCTGCCAAACCGTTTCCGTCGCTCGTGCCATTTACTCCATTCGTCTTCCCTTTAGAGAATTCCGAAATTAATCGAAAATATGTTTCTTCCTCGATTTACAACACGGATTATCTATTGTAGCATTTGTCGACTACGTTGGTTTATCCTAAGTCGCATTGATTTTCTGCTAATTGCCTGCCCTAACTTTATTATACAAAATGGACCATCCAACTTCCAACGCCTAAATATCTTTGACGATTACGAATATATGTAGATAAATATTGTCCAGGTCAACGTTAAATCGGTCCCGTATACTTACATATGAGTGATATGTTGTAACAGACTATGTATACGCATTTCTTGAACTCGACGCAATAATATAATATAATTTAACTTAACTTAAATTTTTATAATTCCTATAAGATTGTTGAAATTGATAACATTACGTTTTTAAATAATACTCATCTTGTTTTTTCGATACTGTTCAAGAACAAGGTTTCTTGATATTGTATCGTTATACATAATAGTAGTTTCAGTTTCCACTTACCCGTTGTGTCCGCCTTTACTTTACTACCCTGCGGTGCACTGAGTCTCCTCAGGTGGGCGACCACTACGCAACTCTCGACCTCGTGGCCGTTGTTCTTGACCTTGTTCAAAGCATCATCGCAAATTGCCTTCAGAAGAATGAGTTTATCGCCTCTCCACACTCCATCGGTCGTAATCAGAACCTTCGCCTTCGAATCCAAAATTCGCTCGGCTAAGGCATCCGACGAGTAGCCGCCGAACTAAACAGATGCAACATCGATAACATTAGCTCGTCCTACAAGTTCGTGTCGTTCGATAATATAAAAATTGTTCCGAATAATAGCTGTATATCTGTTTAGATTTCTCTCGTTCGCAACAGTCTTGAACCTCGAAATTATTTATTCTCAACGAATAGTTCCAAGTTAATAATAATAGTATTGTACAACGTCGCGACAAACAGTTTCTGCGTACAGTTTCTCTTCTACAACGTTCAGTTTCACCATAAATGTAAATTAGTTTAGTTCTTTCCTCTCTTGCTTCGAATAATAAGGCTTCGTGAAACGTTTACCGATTACCAACGACTTTTTCGCAATTAACCAGGGAACAGACCTTTTGTCCATATATCTATTGATAAACATAACTTTTCCTATAGTCGACTACTTTAAGCATTTATTCGAAAAATAGTAAATTAACACACAATTCTTACATTATTTTACAATTCCATTGGATTTTTTCATGGACATCCGCAGCAGACCATGCTTTATAAGATGTAATAGTAAAAAATGTTTTCTACTCTGGTCAAATAGAAATATTTAAACATTTAAATTCGTTTATACATTTTAATTTCACATTTCTCTTCTAATTAAAATCGAATTAAAATGAATCGTAAGATAACGTGTGATTTTTGTATTTATAAATATTTATTTAAAAAAAATTGTTGTTTTATTGTAGCAACGAAGCCTCGATCGATCCGATTCCACAAAAGAACTCAGTTTTATTCGGTATATTGATTTATTCACGATGAAAGACGATTAAATCGAAACGAAACAAACGGTTTCCTCTATCCTGACGAATATTCAAAGTTTTCAATATTTACGAAAAATGCCTCGTTATTTATCGTTAAAAATAAAATAATATTATTAAAGATGCCTCATTATTTGTCGAAAAAATAAAGTAATTTTATTAAAAATGCCATGATGTCAAAATCATGCTTGTAAGTAGGTACGTAAGTACTTACGCGTGTCTGTTTATCTAAATTATATTAATCCGATTTAAAATAAATGTCAAATTTCAAATTACATATTTAAAATTTCAAATTAAACTTTTGCTTATACATTCCGCTGCTAAAGTTAAACAAATTCGATTCACTGGCAGCGAATAAAAATTTTAGATTTATTCGTAAAATGTGTTTTCCCAGACGCTTTGTATGCTTGGACATCGGTTGAAAAAAAAACCGTTAATAGATTCTAATCTACTGATGAATTTGCAAATAGAATGTAAACGGAAGTTGGTATACGAATATAAAATGTTTACTGGTCGAAGCAGTCAAATTAGAGTAATAATCAAATAAAGAACGATCGATACGAAAAATTGAAAAAAAGATTTTTAAATTGGTGCATGCCCGTGTACCGTCCGTTTTGTTATTTTTAAAAATGTGTGCTTAGTGGTACAAGAAGTTACGTTTGCTTTTTCCGCCTAATGGTGTGTAAATGTAAATTCATAATTGCATTCAATAAATACCTTACTCACAGAGGCATAAATCTCTCAGGGGTATGATTCAGCCGTAATTACTATAGTTTATTCCATTATCTATTTATATATACACTGTAGACTATTATTTATACGGTTCGGTGCTTCTACACATAGAATAGATAGAGAGGGGCCTGCTTCCATTTTAACTGGAATGCTATACAAATGTTTACACTTTCAGATAGATACGTCTCGCCACATACGATAACCTTATTTAAAACATTTTGATCTACGTTACATAATTAAAGTTTCGAGAAAAAGTATTTGCTTAGCAAGTACCTACTTATGTAGTGTATTGTCTACTAGTTCACGTCTGAATTTTTTCAATTCAACAAATTAATGATAAACAACTTTTTATTCGTTACTCATGGAATAAGAAGTAAAATTTAAATAAGAAGAAAAATTTAGTTCTGGTATTTATTGTTCAAAATTTTAGTCATGTAACTGTACAGCCACTTGCAGTTGATCATAGGTATTTACTGTGAAAAAGGAACTGATAAACATTGTGAATATATGAACATCATCTTAATAAGATAATTTATAATGTAAAATATCCAATTTTACTTTCACATTTCCCAGACAAAAACTGTTTTTTTTCTCACAAGTAAACTATAAATAATTATGCACGTGAGATATGTAAACAATAATGTCTCATATACATTTACATTGGAAAACATTATTTGGTCAGATGTATCGTGTCTCATTAAACTTCCAAAAATATTTTATTCGACGTAATTTAGCAACATAACGTTATTTCATTAATCAGCAAAACAAATGTAACATCAAGAATATACTTAACGATACTTTTATAACCGACGACTTACTTATCGTAAGCAAATTATAATGTTTCGATACATTATAATTCGCATCGCAGTAAACTACAAGTACCTACTTTCTAAAAATTTAAATCAATCAACCGTCGACGTTTAATTTGCTCGTTGACAATGCTCGTTCTACATCACAGGATGTAATATTTAAATTTATTGATATACATTTAACGAAATATTCTCCGTGAATAATGTAATATGTATAGGTACATATGTATGTGAAAAACCTTTCAACGACGAAACAAATTTAAATGTCCAATTTTTCCAACTGTTTTTTATTCATATATATATATACATATATATGTATACATATATGTATTAGGTTAGGCTGATCATTTACTCATAATTCTTTGAGAAAATCCAGAAATGCCAAAAATTGTATTCCAATTCACTTCCTGACCAGTTAACTTAATATTGTTTCAAGATAATAATAACTGTAGTAACTAAAACATTTCATTAAATATTTTTTTTTTTTTAGTAAAAAAAAATGTTTATACTTTTTTCATATGAAAAAATCAATCCCGTCCAAGATTTATTTCGAACATTTTGTAGCATTTATAAAAACAGAAATTATAAGAATGAATTAGTTATTATCATCTAAACACTAATTTTGCTCGAAATCTAATCAGATCTTGAGATGAGAATACAGAAAGCAAATGGCTATCTTTTTCCGAATAACTTCCAAATCTTGAATATTCCATCAAAGATTGTAAATTTAACCTTAAATGCTTTAAAATAAATATGAATCCAATGGTCTTATAAAATGGCATTGAGAAAATACGACATTTTTAGAAACTGAGATTTAAAAAAAATGATTCGGTCGTTGATGTAGGACGAAAAATAAACACAATGAAGAAAACAGTATCCTATCGGTATAAAAGGAAACTTTGAATCGTAAATTCTGCTAAATAAATATCCTCGCTATAACTAAAAGTCTCGAGGAAAACTAATTGCCAATCAAGACAGTGGTTGGCACATTTTGTATTTCTACAGGATACATATATGTATGTATGGTTTATCTGTTTTCTGAGTCATAAACGAGAGAAAACAGCTGTTTGAAAATCTATCGTAGTAAATATGTATGCTGTTGAAAATTTGCCGACCTTCGAACGAAACAAAGGAACGAAATAACAGTGAAAATACGAGGAATTATTGCGACAGCACGATTGCAATAAATATTACTGGCAGGGGCGAATCCTAGCTAATGGGGCCTCAGCCTTGGGCCCCAACAGTATCTTATAATTTGTTGATTTAAGGTTAGCCCACGAGTCGTGTGTAGAGTTCTTTGATACAGTTTTCGTTGCTATTTTAACAGCTCATTAGGATGTTAATTAAAATATGCTTACATTTTCTTAAACGTTTTGTAACCAGCAGTCGGCACGAAAATTCCAAAATAAGAATTTACTTATATAATTTTCGCATTGCAAAAACGACCTCGACAAAAACTGAGGAAACAGCAACTCGGTAAAAATAATAGCTTCAAAGATACAAATTTATTTAGACGGCAAATTTGCCAAAACGATGATTTAAACAGCACTTAATTTTGACAAAATTCCTGATATTCAACGCAAATAATGATAGATCTGGCGTGTATTGACCTAAACGCGAAAGCGATTTTCTTAAAACTTGTAAATCTACCGACACAAATTGTTTCTTTAAAATTTTTCACGAGAAATAATAATATGGAAAGAAGAATATTTATTTTACCACTACGCTGTGAACGGCACCGATTCTTGTACAGGCCAACATGGCCACCGGAAGCTCCAAAATCATCGGCATGTATATCGTGACTCGGTCTCCCTTCGTCACTCCCTTCGATTTCAAAACGTTCGCAAACTTGCATACCTCCTCGAGTAATTTCCTGTAAGTCAGTCGCGAATAATCGTCCGGATCGTTGCCCTCCCTGAAACAAAATTATGTCATTTTAATCGATTAATCTGTTATCCGGCATTATTACGGATATTAATTCTCTTCGAAGAAACGAATCAAAAGTTACGCGACCTTTGCACCCATCAACTCATCTTGCAAACACGGTCTTTCCTCCTTTTTAACGTGTGAACGAACATATCGTTAAAAAAAATCCAACGCGTGAAAAATATTACAAAGATAAATAAAAAATATAACGAAACACCGCAGAACATCTTTTATTCTAATTGTAAGATCCTACAAAACGGATATATTCCTTTTATAATTTTTTACCGAAGCACTGTTGTTTATATCTCCTCTAAACGTCGTGTATTTATTTATAAATAAAAACTATCTAGAAAAAAAACCTAGAAAATAGACATTCCTTTTATAAGTTTCTATTCGAGCACTGTTATTTATATCCTTTCCAAAAGTCGCATATTTATTTATACGTGTTCCAAGGAAACGTATATTTTTGACGTAGAAAAATTTCAGTTTATTGAATAAACATGTTGTCCAAAGTGCGTCGATAGAATTAAAAAAACAAGCCTGACATCCTTCATTTTTTCATTTATACATATAGAACCGAAACAAAAAGTGATCACAAAGAAACAATATTTTATATTGCTATTTAATTCAATTTAATATATGTACATACATATTACTATTTAATTCACGTAGTATGCTTCATTTCAAAATAGTTGACATAAAATTTTTGGAATTTTTCTTCTGGTATTTAGACGTTCTCGGGGTGTCGCTCACTCACGTAGGGACAAAACAAGTGTAAAGTTCAAGATTCGTATTTTTTGTGCTTATACCACGACCTAGAACGTCTCGATACATATTTCTTTTGAATAGTCATAGTTAAACTGTTTGACGTAATATGGCGCGTGTTGGCGCGCGCGAACGTATCATCATTAATCGACAAAAACGAAAAAGGAGGGAAACGAAATTTTTCTTCGAGCAAATGCGGTTTACGATCGGCCAGAAATTCTTCCCGTATTTAAAGATAATTCGAGACACACAGTTTCATATTGAAATTGGTACGTGACCGTAACGCTCTGTCCACGAGAGTACATTATCATATTGAAACCTCGATTGCGAAACCATCATCATCACCCACAATTAGTTTATCTTCTGTTTATGATAACTTTTTCTCCACGTATCAGCAGACTATTCTGTGACTATCAGCAACTTGTTACGTACGAGGGAAAATAAAACGCGAACTGTGTCATGTGATCGAGTCAAATGATACAAGATTAAGGATATCGTAACAAGTTATGTAAAAAAATAACGATAGCTCTAATTTACTCGGTCGATAACGTTGGGGGAAAAAACAAACGACGAAAACAGATATTTGTTTTAAAAATTCTGTTATCCCTTCTTTTTTTTTTTTCTCGTGAAAATAATGTATCATTCAATTTGTAACAGTTTGCAGTCAATGACAGTTATCGCATTTTTGTTTACGATTCACAATCCAGACGGATATAGTAAGTAAACATAGATAACAAAGAGAAATAAATATTTTCAACTCTAAGCATGGTCACGATATTCTTTTAGGCAACCTTTTCGAGTAAATACATTGTAAATTGCGTTATACTTCTATTTATATTAACTGGATATTAAACGATAACGCGTTTCGACACTTGTTTCTTTGTTATGTAATGCAAATTGATGTAAATAAGCGGTCGAAATCAATAGGAGAAAGTCCAAGATACGCTTTTAAAGAAATTACTGCGTAGACAATTACAGTGTCTTGTAAAAATTCCATTAACTAAAATCTAACCTAAAGCAAACATCGATAAACATTGCTGATTGAAACTAAGGAAGGACATATGTAAGTACATAATTAATTACTCATGAAATAATTTCTTTGAAGCATTTCGATAACAATTACTACGGAAATTTACGCGTACCATTGCAAATGCACGACTTTACCTCGATGAAAAATTACATAAAGTGTAAAGTTCACTTTTATGTAACATTGAGTTTCTTTTGGCCACATGCTCAGCGCGACGTAAATAGAATTTCTGGTTATTTCCTTTCGATTATCATTCACGACCACAGCAATCGTCTTTTCTTTGTTGAAAGCAATCGAAAGTGTATTGAATTTTATTCGTAACTACTTGTTAGGTAAATGTAAATATTTGGTGTACACGCGATACTGAAACGTATTTGAAGGAAACCGCGTATCGTAGTCCGACAATGAGACAATCGCGCGCATCGGCGTGCACTCGACAAATCAGAACACGATCACCGGTAAGGTAAAGTCTCGACCAATCACCGAGCATCGTACGATATGAACGAACCATCGAACGCGTAAATGTCTGACTCATTGATCGATTGTAAGCGTAAAATTGTTCGAACGAATTTTTGCTACCGTCTCGTTCGTTGGTCTAAGCAAAGATAACGATATTTAACTCGAAAATATGTTTCACAGTATGTACATTCATATTAACATTCCATAAATTCTATTGCTATACATACATATGTATACTCACACGCAAAATACATCGCGTTTACCTACAGATGGACAATCAATTACAAAATAATCCTACGTGTCAAAAGAAGACGAATATTATTGTGGTAAAACCTTTCTTCATTTTTCAGTTTCGACAAAATTTCTAAACACCTTTTAAGACTTCTTCATCGTATTTTACCTATTAAAAAAAATAATCGCTATCTATTGCACGTGTTTCTGGTGACATTGATATACATATGTACGTACATTAGAAAAAACAACCAACTATTAAATGTAAAGATTATAATCTATGGACGACATTTGCTCAAAATTGAATTAGATCTGGGGATAGAAATGTAAAACTGAAATATGTATAACCATTTAGACTTACATAGTAAATCTAAATAATTATTTTTAACATTTTGATCATTCAAATATGAAAATAAAACTTTTCTGTAAAATACTTTCCTACCTTCTAGCGTAACGAATAACTACAATTTTTTAAAAGACATATAGGCTGATATTTGTTATAATTTTTGAAAAATCTCTGTTTCAGACGGAAGCGACCTTGAACTTTGCTACGAAAAAAATGCAACGCCAGTTCATCGAATTGTTCTATAATTAGTAAGAGTGTAATAATGTGTAACCAACATTATTAATAAATGCAACGCGTGAGTATGCAAATAAAACGAAACTGGTAGTTGTTGATCTTCCTGATAACCGTCAGCAGCTTGGCGAGAACTGCTCTTGGGAATGCTAAGTATTATAAACAAACGTGCCTCGATGTTGCAATAAACTGATATATCCGTGACAATTCCAAATATCTAATATCGGGCCCAAAATATATCTTATTGTAACGATATATTTTCGAAACAGAAATTAAATAATAGATAATCGTGCCATTAACAAGTCTCAGAAAATTTTCCAAAGACCGTGAAAGACTAAACGAACTTTCTAAAACACGTTTCGCAACAAAATGGGGAAATTCATAACTGTGAAAAGCATGAAGTTTACGTATTTTAATATGATACAACTATCCAGTCCATGACCTTCAATAACTTCGTTATTAAGTATTTTAAACAGACTTACGTCATTTAATATACATATATATTTTATATTATTTTATTAATTATGATTATACTGGCACAGTGCATGGATCGTAATTATATTCAAAGAAAAATATTTCCAAGATGAAAGTAGAATAAAAATATAAATATTCCTTCCATTCAACGTTACTTGCGTATTTTCGAATATTCTTCCTGTCGTTTCAACATACCGAAAGCGAAAGAAAATTTGTATCGCTTATACGGCGCTCGAATGACTTGCGCCTATAAACGCCTAATGTATTTTGCATAGCAATGAGTCGTTAAAAACACTGCTACTGAAATCGGTCCTACAGTTAGTTTTCTCGTCGATTTAAAGTTCATTGATTCTGGCAAAAGTTTGCATGCATAAACATTGAAAAACATATACATACAACTTTTGTTAACGAAAACATCTGAATTTAGAAGATCGCGACGGAGAGATTTAGAATCGCATTTACCATTTTAGAAATAAATAATCCTAAATACAGAGGATATCAACATCGACAACGAATTTGAAAATTGTTAGAATTTATCATTTTTGTGAAACTTTGTAAAAGAAATTGAAGGAAAGATAAAGTACATATTGAAAAATATAGAAAGTTTAATAATTTGTGTAAATTTTTCTGAAAGAAATCCAAGGAAAAATGAATTACATTTTGAAATATTAACACTATGTTGACGAATTAATGATAAAAGTTTTGTATCGAGTTTACGACAATCATAATTTACACACATTACATATAATAATCCACGTGTAAGATTATTTTGGATAGTTTTCGTAATTGAGTACACTCAATTTTAGTAGTCTGCGAGAATTATTATTATCAGGTTTATTTATCTAAGTTACGTCTGACGTCTTTCCTTCGCTATTAAAGAAAATATTTTGTGCTTCGTTCGCTAGATCGATTTGCTATTAAATTTTTTACACAACAATGTGCCTGTATAAACAGGTTTTACAATTAGAATCATACGATATTAAAATTTATCGCCGCGAAAAGTTACTACACAATTAGATTTTCCGATCGATCTTTGGAGCATTAGAAAAAACTTGTTGATAGCAGAACATTATTATAGAATGAAATAATAATAGAATTTTGTACAAAGATGCCCATAGCTTGGACTATTCATTTTGTTGCTTTGCACGCGATCTTTTCTTACGTCACGTATTATGTCAATCGAACGTATACCCCAGTTTCATAATAATCTATGACGTGCAAATAACGATTTGAATAACAGATGCAATATTCTTACCAATAATATGCGATCTTGTCGCCGTTTCCGCTCTTTACGTTTTTGTCCAACAGATTGAAGCTTATGTTCGTTGAGGCGCCTTCCATCCATTTTATGAAAACATCGCCTTTGTTTATGTCGAAATTGTACGAGAAGAACTTATCTTCTACCGCCGGGGTTTCCCAATAAAATTGTTTCGAAATCTCACCCCAGAATTCCACTGGATTTTTCACGGACCTGGAAAAACGTTACGTTTTATTTAAAAATGTCACTTAAACACGAACATCGTGAAAAACCGAGATTTTCTCGCTAAACTATTAAGCTATTGATCAAAAATATTTATTGATCCATGCTAATTCGTGCATATACATACATACAAATGTTGTAACACTCTTCAACGAACGATCAATATTACTTCATGCTATACTATATGTATGTATATTTCTTGTTTCGTAGAAAAAATCTTATTTCGTGACATTTTCACAGAAATGCAATTATCCATCAAACCGCGGCCTTTTTCTAATGCCGTTTAAGGTAATCTTCAAGATAGACAGAAATCGTATCTTCTGGCGACTCGCTAGAGGGGATCGATATCTTTGTTCTATTTTCATAGTAGACATGTATGGCGTTACATACAACGCAAAATGATGTTGCCAGATTTACAATACTCGAATGTAGGCCACCGCGAACTGAAAAGTACTTTTTCCATCCCCAATGTCCTCAATAAATTCTATCTTTTATTTTCACTCAAACAACTGCATGTACATATGTATATGTAATTACATATGTACATACAGAACTACATATATCTACGCGTAGTTACATATGTATATGTACATGTAAGTACTGAACACAGTATAGATTTGGGAGCTTTTTCAAGAGAAATTCTTAAAACTGTTGGAAATGTTACCAACAATGATATTTGCTTCACCGGAACGATATCGAAACTCTCATTCTTTCACCCCTTTAGTATCTCGAACAAACCATCAACAGCAGCTTCTATCAAAGCATGAAGCATTCTCCTATATTTAGCATAAGTAAATGTTTCAACGTATCGATCGAACGTCAATTGTTGATTGCGCTTGGAAGAAAGATTTTCAAGGCTCCGTAAAAAATTGACAAGTAAAATACGGAGACTCGATCCCGGAAATATGTATGTAAGTACGTACATATGTATATTTGACACCCTCCACCAGCCAGATAACAAATTTCCCCGTTTGCTCTCGGTAAAGTACTCGTGGAATCCACTTAATAAACACGCCTGTCAATTTGCCTATAATTTAACGTTAAATCCCCAATACGTTGTCGTTCATCCTCCGTCAGAGTGTCCCCTGGTTACATATTTCCCTAGAGCTGTTTCATTTCACGCTTCGCGAAAAGAAACTTTCTATCGGTCGCGAAACAGCTGGCATATCAATCTTCTTAAATAGATCGTCGATGATTGTTTTGTTCGGAAAAGGAAAAGGAACGAGTTGAGTTCCATGAAAAACACGCGCCATTCGATTGGAAATGTCAGTGATTCGAATCGTTCGTCCGTTTATCAAATGAAACAATAAACGAGCAAGACTCGTGCATACGGCGAGGTTTCAACAAAATTATTGATTCGTAACTTCCGTGTATAATGTAAGGTCGTACACAGAATGTCATTAGCAACTAAAGAAGTGGTGTCGGTTGGTGGGAAATTCGAACAAGCAATTTTCTAAAACGTTAATGTTTCTGGTATTCATTATGCATTCTGTGACTGTTTATACATTTCATTGGTATTTTAAAAGCAAAACTATAAATTAAAAAAATATTTCTGACAAAATTAGGATCATTGCGATGAAAAAAAAACATTCTACGTTATTGTAGGTTAGAAAGGAGTCCAAGTATTGATAAATGCAAGATACGGGTCTAAAAAGAGCCCAGCCATCGGTGTTCTGATAACAATGTATTTAGTGTGTGTGTGTGTGTGTGTGTGTGTGTTTAGGGAGTGTTAATACGAAAGTGGACAAAGACGCTGCTGTCAACCCTAACGCACTCACTTTTCGTGCATCCTTTTATATTGCTCCATGCAACTGCAATGCGCGTTCTTGGATAGCTCCGGATTGGGGTAGTATATCTTGTCCGCCATGTTGGTTGTTTCGTGTTCTCGGATGTTGATTCGACCCTTGGACGATTCCGGGAGCCCTTTCGAAACAAGTTCGAGCGGACGATCGATAAAAAGCAGTATGCGCGCGTGACAACGAATGAGATTCGGCGTTGGTTCGTTTTTCGCCTCGGAACGCTTTCGATAATTGAAATGGTCTCGTTAAGAGGGATCGGGACGGGACGGGACGGGACGGAACGGAACGGAACGGAACGGGACGAGATCTGTAATGAAAGAGGAGAGCACGAAGATTTTGATTGAAAACGCGCGCCTCCGTTTACTTCTGCGTCGCGGCTCGGCTGATAAACGACGACTGAACCAGCGATTGCCAGGCGACCCGGCAGCAGCGTCGACCACAGCGTGGCGTCGCGTCGCGTCGCGTCGTTAACGTCGAGAGGGAAGGCGCCGTCAGGGACGTCCTATCACGGGGATACGATCACTTTCTCAGACCCCGTGTCGTCGGGACCTCTTAAAAATAACAACACATTTCTTTTTTTCCCCCATCACTTTCATCGATATTAACACTGGCTAAATATTATCTTTTATAATGCTATTTAACACTTTAACTGCCACACGTCATCCATAAGTATTCGTACCCTCTTCGCTTGTAAGAGAAATTTGTTGAAATCAAAGGATGCGTTTAAAGTTTTGCAATAAATGGATCAACTAATAACAAAAATATATTGATTTTACTCTGCGTAGTACATATGTACATAATAGCAGTCCACAAAAGTATTCGTACCAATGTAGATTTTGTCGAAAAATCGCATACAGTTATGGTAACATACAGTGAGCCACGAAAATATTCGAACGCTCTGAACTGACAAATTTCAAGCTTAAAGAATACGAGTCATATTATGAATTACGTAATACTTTTATTTCTGTAATAACATATAAGAATCATGATTATATGAGTATATGTATATTAATTTCAAATGCCTTTGATAATATCAACACTATGGTATAAAAACATTTCTTGGCAACATCGACTAAATTCGATTTAGTCCTACCCAGAACCCCCTCTAATTGTATGTAAGTCATCCTTCTTGATTTCACGCACAATTCTATTCTCCTCCCTCTTCGTTAACGTTTTCAGTCGGCCAGAATGGACTTTATTTTCAAGGATTCGAGTAGTTTTTTTTATACCTTTTTTACTATGCAGTAAACGGTAGATTTACATACTTCTCCCTAACAATTTTGCTATTTCGCCATAGCTCTTGCCTTCGTTATGCCACTTAATTATCAATTTCCTGCCAGTTGTTTCGGATTCTTTTCGACACATTATTTTAAAAAAATTTTGCAATCTTATTAATACTTACACTGTACTGAACACGGGAAATGTGCTATACTAACTGGAGTCGCCATTGTTTACGTTGTGTCATATTTGAGGGTTTCTTTTCTTTTGCGAGGTTTATCGTTCGAATACTTTTGTAACGTTCATTTAGTCGATGTTACCAAGAAATGTTTCATAACTAGTGTTGATATATTATCAAAGACACTTAAAATTTAATACACTTATTGTTAGTCATGATTCTTATAGATATGTTATTATAGAAATAAAAGTATGTATTTCGTAATTTATAATACGACTCGTATTTTTTAAGCTCCAAACTTTTTATTTCGGAGCGTTCGAATACTTTCGTCACTCACTGTACATATTTACTTTGTATTAAAATTACGAAGCTATTTGAAAAATATAATAAGATTGCGACTCACATTGTTTATATCATGCGGAATGTGTAGTTGTAAATTTTGTAGTATTATAATCGATCGATATACATACTTATTTCATTTTCCTTTTTCCTTCACAGTTTCTCATAACAGATAATACGGTATACAAACCGGACAAATTGATTATGAAACAGTGATATCTGAACTAAGGTAACGCCGATTTACATATTCCGTCAGAAATTGCGTCTAGACTTTTAAAATTACGTATTTTCCTTTGTCTGGTGTATACGTAACGATGATCGATATCCGTTTTGTATTTGACAAGGACTCGATCGATGGTGAACGGATCACAGTCGTACGACAAGGACTTTTCGATCCATCGAACGATAACGTAACTTAACGTAACGCACCTTCTTCTTTTTCTTAGCAATCTAACGGAAAGAAATGAACAATAATGAACATTTTTCAACATTTATTATCTACAGAGTGTCGGAATTAAGCATTGGCAAGTTTCTTTAGATATTTTTAAGATGATATGTACAAAAATAAATAGAATTCATGAAACGGAATTCATTAGAAAAGGAAGATCAAAACATTTATCAATCATTATTAATTGATAGACTCGTTCTAAATTGAAAAAATTTTTAAGAAAATAAAATAAATGACATTTTTACTGAAATAGAAAAAACTTACTACAAAATGGAAATTTGTATAAGATGCACCAAAATAGGAATTACTAAAAATCATTTAACAAACAAAAACAGAATTAGAAATTTGAATTTAGAAATTTCTGAAACGGATGAAGCTCGATTAAAAACTGAAATTAATTGTTTTAAACCTTAAATAATTGCAATTTCTGCCCACGTAGTTCTCATACGGAACAAAATTTCCGTTGATCGTTTCTGTTTTGTTTTTTTTCTTTTAATTTTCAAGTCCCAAGAATGCATCAAAGTGCATCGACACTAGAGAATTATTATACTTTAATATTCCTATCAATGTCCTTGACCGTAAGAATGATAAAAATGCACGCTTGATGTCAAGAATCAATCACATGTTGTTAATTACATAATATCTTTTTCCGCGGATAAATAAGAGTTTTGTTGACTTGATGATTAAGTTGGAAAACAGTGCGTGAGAAACTGCTTAGAATGGATTTATGTCGTTATTGTGACGCCTATTACGACTTCTATTATTACCTTCGCTTTAGTAATCGTTTGAAATTTGAAAATCGAAAAGATAAGCATCAAAAGGCAAAACTTGTGAAACAAGAAGGTTTGCTTCATCATCTACTGCGCGCTACCGGCGACCCTATTCTACTCTCCTATCTCCTATCTTCCTCACTTCAGATGTAACCATTAGACGTGACACGTAACTAAGGACGACGCGTGGACACATTTATTCTATCAGATTACTAGTATAGGCTAATGGCAAAATACAAACTAATCCTATTATATTACAGCGTTGATTTGTTATCTTCGTTCCACGAAATACAAGGAAGCTAAAATAAACGCAAAGCAAACGAAAATATTAGACAAAAGAAGAAACAAATTGAAACTTAATCGGGGGTCATTCTCAAAATGTCTGCAATAATTGTAATATAAAAGCATGAACTTTGTAATTGATAAAAAATCTTATCTAATATTGATAAATTACACACATGGTACAAGGCATAGTACTTACGTTTTCTACGTTTCCTATGTTATCGACTTCTGTAGTTGGATCGTACCACCAACAGATTTCGAAATGAACACAAGAGGAAGTGAGATAAAAAATCAAATTACAGAAATTTTAGTATTTTTTAACGAAATGAAAGCTGTACAGACCAGAATTGAGCATCGATCGATTAATTTCATTGGAGTAACCAATCGATTAAGATTATTAAAATACGTAAGGATGTACCTCATTTATAAGTACACCGCAAATCCTCTGTTTTTTATTTTAAATTGTAATATATCATTTATTCAAAAAATAACTCGGCAAAAATGTATTTTCCACTCGAAATCAGTGTTATTAGATGCGCACCAGAACGAAGAAGGTACTTACTTATGTGGAACTATAAGAAGAACGCCAGCCATTAGCTCATATTATTTCCTATGTAATTAATAATTCTATTAATTACATAGTAAATAATATGACCCGGGTCTCACCGCGTGGAGGTTGCTGCGAATGGAGACCCGCCCTAGCCTCGCCCCGACCACCCTTCCTTTGGCGAGGAATTCGAATACCTAACTAAGGGAGAAGCTATCGAAAAGTTAAAAACGAGCTAGAAAAAGGAGCGTTCTTAAAAGAACTGCTCAATCAAGAGACGAATAACCTAACAAAATGTCAATACATGTGAGATGATACACATGTTTTCTAGAAACAAAATTGGAATGTGCAACCGCACGTACGAATCCTGATTATTAAAGTACCAATATGTACTTTATTATTAATTGTTCCTTCTTAATTATGACAGTGCCTAACCCAGACACTGAAGATCCAACCAGAAAAATGTGCAACTGCACGTATGGACTTTGCATATTAGAATACTAATATGTACCTTAATATTAATCATTCCCGCACTTAAATTTACGCACACGTTTCAGTAGTACTTAATATAACGCTGGAGAACGCTTATATCTACAATATACATTTCTACTTATATTCTAACGCAATCTGTGGAAACGAAGAAATATTTTCTTCTTGGTGTCTTCATCGATCCCACGATGTTTTTCTAAAACACACACTCGTATACAATAAATATAACCGACATGAAACAAAGAAATATGACAAGATATTTTCTTCTTGGTGTCCTCGTCACTCCCACGATGTTTTCCTGAAACAAAAACTCATATCCAATAAATATAACTCATATAAAACAGAGAAACGTGAAAAGATATTTTCTTCTTGGTGTCTTGATTAATCCCACGATGTTTCCCTGAAACATAAATCAGACAATAAATAAAATTGTATGAAATATTTCTCTAAGAGCGATCAAGATGGAATCCGTGTACCATTTTCAATTCCATTCTTCAATGATTATAGTATATTATTCTGTAACAAGAACTTGTTCAAAGGATTAACAGCTGAAATGAAAGTGTATTAATGAACACAGAAAAAAATACATAATTATACATCGTCAAGATAGACTAAGGGTAATCAAATTCTACTAAAAGTGATATTATGAAATTAATATTTGAACTAAAGTTTCCACGAGTAAAAATTCATATTAAAAAGTTTAAAAACATAAGTACTATGTAATTGAAATTAAATGAAAAGCTAAATTCGTCTCAATGTTAAGATAAATACGAAACAGATTGAAAATTGTATTCAATTGTTACAACAGATTTTAATTTTCGTTTCCTTTATGAAATAAACAATTTTTCAAGATCTATACATTGCAATAATTATATTTTACTGTATTCAAAACTAAATTAGGTTCATACAGAAAAAGCAATAGCGAACGAAAATGTCGATTCTACGCGGAAATGAACTCTCAATATGAAATATCGAATTGCAATTTGAATTACCCTTTTGGTACAAGCATTCTATTTCCCATCGATTAAAACAATGATCGCGAACAAACTTTGATTTATGCAAAGAATACAGAATATTTATAAAAAATCCACTATTTATAAATAACAATTAGGTTGAAAAGGTTATTATATCCCGTAAAAATGATCAACTCTAATAATGAATAATTGGTGATATATATATATATATATATATATATATATATATATATATATACATGAATCATGAATTTAATCTGTAACACAATTAATCACGATACAGCATTTTT